CTATTTCTTATTTTTAAAAATAAGAATCGTGAACTGTGATTGGTTCTTGGATTTCGAGATAATATTTTTATTTTAAAACCAAGCTGCTTGGCCGAGCCAAGCTTTCTTAAATAAAAATTTAAGAATTCACCAATGAGCGTGCCAGAAAATAAAAAAATAAGGGTGGACCAATCAGGGGGATGCGATCACACCCCCAAGTGGAGCGCGAACTTTGAAACTGGTATTGCACGTGTCAGGTAAAGTTCTCAGTATTGTAATTCGACGCGTTAAAATTGTTTCGACACCTTCTTCGTTCATAAATAAAGTTATTTACGCTCTTACTTATGATTTGGAATACATAAAAAAGTTATTATACAAATTATGAAATAAATTTAGAAATCTTGTATTTTTTGTCATAATGCTGGCTATGAGTGTCACAAAATTACTGTTATTCTCTGTAATAGACTCTTTTTTATGCTAAAACTTGTGAAAAAATAGCATTTCGATTGATTGTCCTGAAGAAATTAAGAGAGAAAGATCAAAAAGTTTGAAAGAAACGTGTTTGTTTGAGTACCCAGCTGATCGCGCACACTATTCTTTTTTAAAATAGGAGACAAGCCGCTGTTTTGAGTCAGCGCGTTATATCGTTATTTTCTTATTTTTAAATATAAGAAATAGAATATTAATATAAGAAAAAGCCGCTGTTTTGGGCTTTACTCTTTTTTTATTTTAGTCTTCATGACGCTATTAAACGCCGCTGTATATTTATATATATTTGTGTGTGTTTCAAATGCAACCTTCAAGCAAATATGTCACGGCTGGCTGATTGTCTGCCTGCACACACGCTTTTTTCAGCACTCGTCTCTACACGGCCAAAATAAATAATTTCATGGTTTTTATATAAATAAAAAATAAAAAATAATTTATTATTTTTTTAAAAAAATTTTATTAAATTTAAATGAAAACATTTTTTGGAGAATTAATCTATTTGTTGAACGTGGTGGTCGAAAATTGGAATAATTGTAGCGAAAATTATAATTCGGCGGTTGCCTGGCAACCATTCCAGCTCTCTCTCGAGTGCTCTGCGAGTTCAAGAGAATTGTGCGGGCTAAAGTTTGAACATAACTTGCTCCATGGATGGGGCTCGAATGTGCAAATCACTCCAGCTAGTACAATTCACACAAGGCACTGCTTGAAATTACTTAATTTAAAGTTGGTTCGAACGGACAATTTTCAATTTCGACCTAATTAAAATTAATTAAAAATTTGTCGTTTCTAATTAAATAAATCATTATAATGTTTTATTATGGATGGTGTTACGTCGATTTGAAGTTATATCGGTCGCGTTTATTTCAGTCGCTTGGACGTAAAATTTCTCACTCGATTTTTATCCTTTTTTAAAAGAACTGGTTTTCCTGGTTTATCTGCAGAGAGTGGCGCTCGCGAGGAAGCGGCCGATTAGAAAATCGCTGCAGTATTTCACTAAACTGGGCATTATTATTTTATTTGCACGTGAAAACTTTTAAATTTGCGAGCATTTAAATTCGAATAAATTACAAAGTCTATTAAAACTTTTCCTGGAAAATAAATGTAGCGACCCACACGTGAGAGCGGGACTGTAATAAAATCAATAAAAGCATTTTATTCTTACTCAGCGCTTACCGCCGCTGAAAAATATTATCACCCTTCACAAACAACGCGAATAAATTTAGATTTAATTTCCAAATCATGTGATATTAATTAATTAAAATTAAATAAATTTATTTAAATTTTTGTAAGAGGATAATTTTTCGTGTTTCTTTATTTTGCATTTTATGAAAGGGCTGCCCGGAAAAAAATATGAATTATTATCTCCGAGTGCCACGCTCTGAGTAATTCGCCGCTTTTATTGTTATTTCAGCGCGGCTTTTATTTCAACGGCGTCTCAAATTATGCTGCGAGTACGCAAGCGCCTCGCATGAATTTTTGAAAGGCTTATGTTCATTTGTCCAACTTCTCGTTCCTTTTCATCAGAGTGATTGGCACAATTTCCATCTTGGGCGTTCCTTTGATTATTTTCAAACAACTCGTCGCCGTCGAAACACCTGGCCGCAATCCACTTTTAACCGCATTTATTGGGCTTTTGTTTCATTTGAATGGTGCAAATTTTATTCCATTTTAGTGCATATCACTGATAATTATGAAGCTTGATGCATCCACACAAAATCCTCGGGGCCGACCCCCTAGTGGAATCTTTAACTTTCCTAGCGAACCAAGGAGGCTAAACATGCAGGTACCTCAAGAATGTCAAATCGTAAACATTATCCTCGCTGTTAACAAAATATGCCTCCACGTGTTTTTACAAATTCCGAATAAAATCGATTAAAATTCATTTTGAAGCATAAACATGAATTTTATAACAATTTAAAATATTTATTTTAATAAATTTGCAATTTTTTTTTCATTTTTATATTTTTTATTCAAAAATGAGTGGGAACAACGGTATTTTTTGCATGGCCCTCTCAACTCGGCGCTTAATTAAAACAATTTTGAGTTTTGATGTGCATGAAAGCAACAAAGTGGCTGGGAAACAATGGCATTTGTGTAACTGTACGTCCATGCTCGTCTCTCTTTCTCTCTTCTTGGCACAAAAGAGAGAAAAAAGGCTCAATAACTCAGTCAGTCAGTTGAGACGACGCTGCAGCGAAATAAAATCTCCTATTTCCTTTTTGATCTCTTTGCGAAATTGCCAACTTCCTTGTATGGAATTTAATCACGATTTTAATTATTCCCATTCAAAATCAATTCATTTTTGTCAATAAAAAATTTCATGAATTGGATAAAAATGAAACGAGCAAACGCACAAATAGAGAGCCAAAAATTGTGCCGCAGTTTGCAGGCAGCAGAACCCGCCAGCCAGCTAGCAAGAGCAACCAACCCTCGCTTGCAGGAGGTTCAATTCAACTCACCCTCTGTGCTCTCTCTTGTTCGGGCTCCTCTTGCGCTGTAATGGCGCGCTCTCGACTTCAAAGACAACCAAAGAGACCCTCTCCCAAATAAATCCCAAATTTCCTCCTCAATTTAGAGACAGACGTCCTAAAATTTACGCCAAACATTTTGCCGATTTGCGAAAAAGTAATTAATTAATTTTAACAACAGAAAATTTAAAACATCTCCGTTTTTCCAGGGCATTTAAATTTTTAATTAATTTCTCAGTGAATCACTTTTCCGACCCCATGCTTACTTAGTGTTTAGTGACGCAAAGTAATTTCCAACTCTTGTTTCGCGAGGATGAGAAATCGATTTTGTCATCAGACCAAAATCACGTTCCTTTCCATCCATTTTGATTAAAATTCGGCGTCCGCCCCGCAGCACCGAAACCCACTTTTAATGAGCAATTTTTCTTTAAACCAAATTTAGAATTTAATCCATTTTAACACTGGAGAAAATAAATTCATTTTAAAAATAAATTTTAATCATAAACTGTTGGATGCAGGCCAGGCCAGCGTTTTTACAGCGGGCCATTAGCCGAATACCAATTAGTCGGCTGGTATATCGAGCAGTGCATCCTTAAATTCGAAAAGCAACAAACAATGCCGCCAGTGCCAAATAATTTAATCCCAAGTGTTTGTGTTTACAGGCGGTGCGAAAATATTTATATATATGTGCGGCTGCCGCGTCGGTCGTCGGACACACGCACAAGTGCAAAATAAGACGTCACCGCGCCTTCCAAAATTAAACCTCTGCAGCGTCGACTCGCAGCAATAACCTCTCCAAGCTGCACAATTATATATCTCGGGCCGTAATTATCTCCGGCGTGATTGGAGTGCAAGTGCGCTATGATAAATTTTGTGCAAACAGGGTGTGCCACTCACCCCTGAAATTTGAATTAAAATTTATAAAATAAATTTACCCCGAGTTCGATTTTACTGCGATTGCGTCTTTTTGTATCGGGCGCGGGTTAAATAGGTCAAAATAAACATTCGTGTTGATCTGGCTTGTTTTTATTTTCATCGGTCTGGCATTTTTCCAGCTGCGGTGTTCCGAAAGGAAATAGAAAAAGTAGAAAAAAGCGGGACTGCAGCTAATTGAAGCAATTTAAACAACGAATCGATTTTTTAAATTTGCAATTCAAATTATGAACAAAAAGTCCTTCTCATCGTAATAATTTTTATTGATTGTTTGCACAAAGCGCCGTCACAGTTTGTTGCTTGCTGAATAGGCTGTTATTCGTTTTTAAGTAAAATTATCAACACCTTGGTGCCCCCGTTACCCCTCCCCCCGCGCTCTGACATTAATATCATTTACATTCTCCCTACACCATATATACTCTTTTTAATATTTATTTTGCCCCTCTTCTCGCTCACATCATTTCCAGCCAGACTCGCTGCATTCGTATTACGCTCCCACTTCCTGTCACTGCGCGCCGTATTAATTTTAGCTCTAATCAATCAAAAGTGATTTTTTTTCTTAGATCAAACACGAATGGGAATTATTTTATATATTTTGAAATTCAAAATTGACGACGTCGCTAATTCGAGTTTCGTGAGGCGCACCAGATGATGTTTTAATATTTTTTTTCTCTCTCTTAACTTACCAAGTGGGGTCTGGTTCTTATGATAATAATGGAACGTTATAATATAAAAAATGGGAGCTTTGCAGCGGCAGCAAGCAGAAAAGGAGCGGAGACGTCGTTTCCAATAAAATCCGCCAGGCTCCACCACAATCTAGATTTGATCGTGGTCGCGCGGTGTGTGCCGAGAATCTCAATGAGCATAGACTAGAATGAATCTAATAATAATATATAAAATGAAACAACGGTTTTATCTCCGGCCAGATGCAAACAATGCACAAAATTTCACCGCAGCGTCCTCTTTAAATATTCACGCGGTTTGCATTCTCTCTCAAAAGCAAACACAAATATTAATTGCATGTCTACATTTTTTTAAATAAATTCCCAAATAAACTCTAAAAAAATTTGTATAAAAAATATGGATTGAAATTTGCCAGTTGATAATAATTATTTTTTATTTTGTCCTCAGGATGAAGTGATGGCAATCACAGAAAAAGTGGTGCTCAAAGTGGACGACCTGATCTCATGGATCATTGCCGGCAGCGTGGAGTGGCGGTGGGGCCACAGACCTTCCGCCGCCCTCAATCCTGTCAAAAAGGAAGAAAAAGAGGAGGACACGCCCAAACTAGGTAAATTGCCATTTGGATTATCTAATCTCGCCCACGTTTTTTCTTTCTTTCCTGTCGAGAATGTCAAATAAATATTTACTGCCTCCCTGATTCACGGCAAAACTTAAAATCTTGTTACTAAAAATTGCAGATATTAAAAAAGACTCAAGTGAGCCGAGCACCGGCGAGTTCAAAACCAAAAACGTGATGGTCATGAGCTTTCCTCGGTACTGTCGGTACCGCAGCATGTTCAAAAGGATGGAGGGCGACCACAAGGCGTGGAAACACGCGGCCCTCATAGCAGCCCTCGGGGGTCTGCCCGACTTTCAGACAGACACCACTGTCCTCTTCTGCAGGGACAACTTTGACTACCCTGAATTAGAAACCCATGAGCTGCTCTGCAACCACTTAGGTAACTTGTAAACTATATTCTTGAAAAATTTATTAATCTTTATAATCTGCAGCACCAAAGTTTGCCGGGAGACCAAGAAAGAAGAAAAGACGCAATGCGTCACCTGGCTCGGAATCAAATGAAAGTGAAGGATCGTCATACTCCGTAGAATCGCTCGGAAAGGTAATTTTTCAAATAAAAAATAATTTTGTAGTCTGAAATCTTCAATTTTTTTACCAACTGGAAAATTATGTTTGGTTTTATTTTGTTAATCACATATTTTTAATGATATTTTTTTCAAAGGCAAATAAACATTAGACTTTGTATATGGAATTTCTATTATTTAAAATAAATTTGAGCGCATTAATAAGTTTAAATTTGTTGATAGAATTTTGCAAGTGTGTGGCGCTTTTATCTCACACAGGCCATGTTGATGAATAATTTATTTGATTTCAGGTTAAAAGGCTTGGCTTGAAGCAGCCACAAAACAACAGGCCAGGCGCAGGCATCATCAGAAAGAGGGGTGGACCGCGCAAACCACCGTCCAAACAAGAGGCGGAATTCCTCCAGGGCCTATATGCACACATGATTAAAGTCAAGCAGCCTATTGATAAAGTTCCCAGCCTTGGATTCAAGCAATGTGAGTCGACTTAAAATATTGTTTTCAACAAAGACTAATTTGAATTTTTAATCCTTTGTAGTGGATTTGTATGCATTTTACATGAAAGTGAGAGAACTTGGCGGGTACAAAAATGTCACCACAAAACGGATGTGGAAGAGGGTGTACGACGAGCTGGGTGGTAGTCAGACAAACACGAGTGCAGCCACCTGCACAAGGAAACACTACGAGAGACTGCTGCTTGTCTATGAAAACAGACTCATTGAAGAGAGCATGACGCCCAAGAAGAGAGGAAGGAAACCAAAAGTGAGATTGTTTGCAAATCACTGGATATATAAGTTTTGATAAATTATTTCAATAAATTTTTCATTTTATTCCCTTGTAACAAGTCACATTATAAATTATTATCAATTTGTATATTATTAAATATTATTATTATTTCTATTAGTTTAAATTTTTATTAATAATAATAATACATAATTTAGAATTTCAAATTAAAAAAGGTGGCAATAGCCACTAGTTGGGGTCCCACTGGAAATTATATTAAACTTAAAAGAGGATTGAATTCAAATTGAAGGATAATGATTTGTCCATCAAATTATGTTATTAGTCTAAATAAAACTGTTGCAAACTAGTGTAATGTCATTGCAAGGAATAGAAATTGATATTAGGCTGGGTTTATTTAAAAAAATTTATTTCTTGAAATTTGTAACTGAATTTAATGTGTTATTTCTTGAATTAATATATCCTAATTGGTAAAAATCTAACAATTATCTGTTAGAGATTTGGAATGTTTTAAGTGAAAAAAGTGCCTCCTAATAGGACCCCAATTCTCCAATTAGAGAGTTTATCAACATTTTAATTCACTGTCACATGATGTTTTACTTAATTAATTTTGCATGCATAGTTTTTTTAAAATATTTTATCTGCTTCAATTTCTTTATAAATTGTTATGTTTACTAGTTGAATTTTTTTTAAAGAAATCAAATGTTGCATTTTTTTATATGTTTATTTTACTACTCCTATGTTGAAACTGCATATTTCTTTTCACAACTTTTTCTCAAACAAATGCCTTTTGCAGGATATGACCCTGATGATGCAGCAGTTAGTCAGCCAAGCTTCTTACTCAGCATCAATGACCTCAACAACATCAACCGGATCCGTCAGTCCTGGAAGAAGAAAATCTTCCACTTCGGACGACTCGCCTTCCATGAAAAAGAGAAAGCTGGAAATCTTGGCCAAAGGTGGTTTAGACATCCGGCCTGTGGCCACAGGTCCTCCTCCCATCATGCCAGAGGCCGTGCTTTTGCAGCCGAGAACACAGAAACTGTCCAGCGAGGTGTCCATCACGGTCACCCCAGACGTTTCTCACATGATCGACAGACCTTCCTCAGGGTCAGGACAAACCTTCAAACCTCCCCCTCAGCGATCAGTTCCAAACATCAGCATGTTCTCTCGGACGGGCAGAGTGTACGGGAATCCAAAGGTGTTTGACTTGACTGACGACAGGCCGGACGGAAGTGTCCTCGACCTCACCATCAAACCTGTTCCCAAGCAGCTGTCCTCAGGTGCGCCAACGCCGAGGGGCCAGCAATTTCCAGATGTTTCTATACTTCCTCAAAATGGTCATCACCTTCCAAATAAGGTAAAAAAACTCAAAATTTTCAAAAGAAATCTTAACGTGGATTCAGAAACGAGAAAACCAATGCTCGGGAAAACGAATCGAAATGTCCTAATTATAAATTTCAATTATTTTCAAACCAGATTCGGATTTCTCTTTCCAAAATAATTAATTTTACCACTTATAAATTGAAACAAACGGCAACACCCTGAACATGACTAGGATCAGTTATTTAAATTTTTATTTTTATATTAAGTTAATTTAATGAATATTTTCTATTTATTAGAGATATTTATATCAACAACTTACACAACTCAATAATAAAATAATAAGCCTAAAAAATTGAAATGAATTGAAAATGGAAATTATGTTTTTTCACTTTTGGTATGAATGGAGTATTATTTTAAAAAAAAAACCGACAAATAAAGCAAACCTTTTTGTAAAACCTATAAAAAAAGGCATAAAAAATAAACGACAATTTTATTGATCTTCAAAAAATAATAAGAATATTAATAACAAAATAACTTCAAAAATCATGAACAAATTTTATTTTAACAATTTCTCAAACGGAACCAGGTTTAAACTTTTCTCTAAAATTTATTAATGTTTCAGTCAAAGAAAGGTGAAAAGAGTGGCTCGAGTTTGGAAATCACGTTGGTGCCCGCTGCGCCGAGTAAGGCGAACGGCAGCAGAGGAGGTCCAAAGCAGGGCAGCAAGGCGGAGGCAAGTGCAGCGGCGGCGGCCCTTTCCTCGCCCTACAACCAAATGCTGCTGCACCCCGAATCGGCCGCCATTTACTACAACTACAATGCAGCTCTCTCGCAAATGCTCAGCCAGAGTGCCGGCAACTTCGGCATGCCCGGCCAGTCTCTCTCCCCGCAGGAGTTCTACAAGAACCTGCTGTCAACGGCGCACCTGCCAGGCCTGCTGGCCTGCCTCAACCAAGCCAGCAGCTTCCCCGGCCTACCCAGGGACGGATCCACCTCCATCACCCCCCTTCCACGCTCATCTTCCAAACAGTAACTCTCTCTCTCTCAGTTCATTTGATTCCGAAACGCCATCTTTGTTCATTGTTCTCAGGGATTATTTTGCCGACGAGTCCTTGGATTCGGATTTTCCAACACAACGGACTTGAGTTTTCATTCATTTTTCATTTGTAAGAGCTGTGCTGGAGAAATCAAGCTCTTTCCCCACCACAGACTCAACTGTCAGAAAGGGTATTTAAAAAAAAAAAACAGTACAATCGTCAATTCCAGTCCCTATATAAATATTTGTTTGACTTGCTAGAGTACCTGTAGCAAATTTAATAGATTTGGTTCGATATCCGCCTACTTTCACAAACCGTAGCTATGCGTAGCTAGTGGAAGATGACTACTTTCTGTGATACTATGATTTGACGGCCAATAATAATTAACCTAGTTGTATTGATTGAGCGATTAATGTTATATACGGCCTTAATGTGTAACATGTTGAATTGTTAGCAGCAAATAGAAATAGATTTGTGAGTGTTTTCCAGACCCATCTTGTAAAGGCAGTTTTGCCTCTTCCAAGCAAAATCAATTAACCTGATTTCCGACAACGACCCATTTATTTTTGCTCGACGCTTTTATGCGTTTTGATTTTTTATGTACATAGACTGAAATGCATCGATTTTTCTCTCCCGACGGAAGCACCACTCTGAACCGACTGTTGAAATAAATTGCTTTTTTGTGTTCAGCTAGTTTTATATAATTTTGCAAGTACGTTTCAGGACTCTTGAATGATTTCTGTGCCAAAATGCGTTGAGAGAGTGACACATACACACACAAACAAACACAATTGTTGCGTGCAAAAACCCTGAAGATAGGACGTTTTTGCCCATGACCGTACATTCTATTTCCATTTTCAGTGTTCAATGATCTCTTTGTAAAAATGAATGTGAATGAACAAGCACACAATACTGCCAGATAAATATATATAAATAATTATTAACTAATTGCAAAATATATACGAGCGAATTTGTAGCGAGAAAAATGTTGAGGAGCACCTGGAGCTCCCGTAGATACATGATATTGTACATACTGCATAAATCCTTGGCTAAATTTAGGGTCAATTTGCAAAGCTGCGACGTATAGCAGTGGAAAAATTGTTCTTTTGCACTAATCTGGATGTGTTGCAAAACTAATTGAAAAAATAAATCATTCTGCATGTGTGTAGGAAAGGAAAATTGCAAGTGGGAAAAAGCAAAAACAACTCAATGACCTGTAAAATAAATTCTTATACTTTTATAAAGAAATAAAAACCAATAAAATTGTCCATTTGCATTTGAAGAGGCGTCAAATTTCATTTTTCATCCCACTTTTTACTATGAACAAGTGGGCACGTGAGCAATTTGCAGAGTGAAACGCCTGGGGCGGCGAGGGTAGGCAACCTGCCGCTCTCGTTGGAGCAAACGGTTGCATACCCCCTTGCGTGGGAAGGGGCACTTGAAAGACCATTAAATTTTCGGGATTTATACATTTATCTGCACCTATTAATTTCTCGTCACGCAAATTTAATTTTAATAACATTTTTGCAAACTTGTTTCAAGGCCAGTGAATTAATAAGACGGAGGTAAATTTGACTAAAATAATAATTTTTGGTCATGTTGTGCTATTTTCTGAGGCAAGGTGATGAGAGGAAGTGTGGGTGGGGGCTCAGGTATGTGAATTCCCCCTCACCTCTCCTCCACCTGCCGGCCTGTCGATTGCCCGGCCGCTCTGCCGGCCAATAAAGCGAGTGTGTGTTTTTTTCTCATTTTTTTCTCTCTCGTTCGCTACTTTACCAAAGTGAACACTACCTTGCGCCGCGTTCTCACTCCAAATAATCATCGCCGCCGTTGCCAAACTTCCCGCTGAGAGGCATTGTTCGCGACACTCGCACGTCCTCGCCGGACAAAAAACCTGATCTTGGAGCGAGACTGTCAATACCTGATTTGAATTTCTCGAGACGCACGCGGGAGTTGCGAGTTTTATTCTTGGACGTTGAATTTCAATTTGAATATCGTCAACTCTTCAAGCGGGATTAATTACTTCTGACATTGATCCTTTTTTATACAATCCAATTTTATAAATTTAATACATAAAAAACATAAGTATGGAAATTTTCATATTATGATAGATTATTTTGAGCTAGAATTTTAATTTATTTCTGCTATGCCTTATTTGATTAATCTATACTATAATTTTTTCTTACTTATTTATTTTTTTATGTTATAAAAATTTAATAAATTTAATTAAAAGAGACGGAAACAAAAAGCAAATTTCGGTTAATTTTTTTTTTAATGTTTTAACTAAATTTTTTCTTTGAAGAGTTAAAAATAATTTTGTTATTTCCGCCTTTTCCTTGTAATAAAGGCATGACGCTCTTTTCTCTCCAGTCTATATAGTTTTGACGAAAGAGTGATCGCGCGCGGCTCCCACAGTTCACCTCACTCGCCGGTCGACTCGCTCTCTGGCTCTCCATCTGAAGCGAAAAAACTACAAACCGCTCCAGCTTTCCTCGCTAGAGAAGGGGTAGCAACAAAGCGCTGCGAAAAAATGATTTCATTGTTACCGGAGAGTCGATGACTTTTTGTTATTTTGTTATTTTCTCATTAATGCACTTGCTTTGGCGGAGATGACAGGCAGATTTTTGCATTTTTCTTTCTAACTCTATAGCTTTTCAAAGATCTGCACGCGTTTCTCTTTGGGCTGCGTGTTAAAATTTATATGCAGTGCAAAAAGCAGCCGAGCTTGGTCTGCATCTGGTATGTGAAAAAAAAAACAAAAAAGAGCGGTCGAGGGGTGGAAAATTTGTGAATATATCCAAAAGAGGGAGAACGGTAGAGGGGAAGGACTATTGATTTTAGGGTGACACTTTGCAACCCTCGCCTCCCCCTTCTATCTTTTTCATCCCTTGATTCTCTCTCTCTCTCTCTCTCTCTTTCCCTAACTAAAATACACACCGAAATGTGCGCGCTCGGCTGGAGAGAGAAAGAGATGCGCTCTCTTCTCTTTCTCTATCTCGCTGGGTTCATTTTGGACTCGCGCCGAGAAGAAGGTTGAAAAATCAAAACTCTGCGCACTCAATAATTGAAAAAAAAAATATTGCGAATTCGGGCCAGCAGGATGTGACACGATTTGAAAATACAATCTGGTTTCCGTTCCATTTTTATAAAAATATATATATCCGTTTTTCGTTACAAAGAGAGATGATTTCAGCAGAGACTGACGGACAGCACTCGTTTTTCGACCGCCAGATAAAATAATACACGTGTCACACATGCTGCATTATGAATTGTCGCAATGTGTGTCGTTGTAAATGTACACACTCGGAATTTGTTTTATTCTGCGCTATTAACAAGTACGATAACGTGTGTTAACTTTAACAATTTTAACACAGCACGAACGTCCGCATTCTCTCTCATTGTCAGATTTCCATTTAAGTTGATTGTCATTTTTGGCAGAAGTAATTTCTTCATATTCAGTTGATTCATTTCACGGAATATTGCTACATAAATTTTATTTTTTGAGCTACAAATTCAGGTGATTTTTTTTCTAAATAAGATGTTGATACTTGCTTGGAACTTTGGTGTTTACGAAAGTATATGTTTTGTTATTTTCCTAAAAGTTCCCCCTTCTCTCTGCTCGATAAATATTTGTAATCAATTTTTAAACAAAGAAAATATCCATAATATAGGTAAAAACTAAGTTTTAAATTAATTTTCAACTAGCAAGGTGGTCCAGATTTTTACTGAAAAGTTTAAATATTTTTATAAAAATAATATGATCTGTACAAAAAAATACAAAGTTGTATAAATTAATTATTTTATTATTTATGTGATCGCTCACGCGTGCAATTTCCTAGCGTATTCGTTTCGTTGTTTTTTTGCTCTCTCTCGATATAAGTATACACAGAACGTTGTGCAGCAAAAAGAGAAATAAATAGCGCACGCAGACAAAGAAAAAAAACCAAGGAAAAGAAGCAGGATTCTATTATTTGTTGCAGGCCGGTGCTCATTAGTCTTAATTCCTTGGCGATCAAGAAGCGTGTCGTGAGAACACACCGAGCGTAAAAAATAATCGTCAGCCATGCCGTGCGCGAGTTGTAGAAGAGAAAAAATAAGCCCAATGAGCATGGCCGAGTCTCAAAAGGCCGCCGATTATTTACTCCGGCTTTTGTGCGAATTTTGGTCTCATTGCTTTATTCTTTGTCCACGGCAAGACCAAAAACAAGATAATTTGACATCGGCCCTGGCAAGACAAATAAGTACTTTTGGCACCAGCGAGTTCCGTCGTAACGACATTGAATTAAATTATTGAGCTGTTTATCAAGAGATTTGCAAAAATACGCTATTATTCGGTATTTTATTTGCGAGACAGAAAGAAATACACTATAATATGGATGTGGAGAACCCTCATTAGCAAACAAAGGCAGTTGTACTGCGCAAAATGATTTGATAAAAGATGTAGAACATCAGGGGTATATGTTTAAAAAGAGAAAAGTGATTCCTTATGGTTTTTGTAAAAATTGAGGTGAATTATTAAGTCGAAATTTTAATGATCGATTTGAAAAAAAAGAAACAAATGATATTAACTTAATAAATTTTATCCTCTCAAATTAATAAATTTTCAGAAAAATTGTGTGAAATCTGGTTTTTGGTATCGCTAACTGCACAACTCGACTGCTAGTGTGCAAAATTTCCAGTGAGACGGACACCTCGGTAAAGTACGCACGCAAACGAAAGAGAAAGAAAGAAAAGCAGCGCCAAAGGCTCGGAAGCTCTACGCGATCGTAGTGCGAGAGCAGAGGGGAAAGAAAGATAAAGAAAGAGTAAAAAAAGACACGAAAAGTCCTTAAGTTGAATGATCTTTTAGGAGAGATGGTGCCACACATCGCGGTATTAAGGTGCGCGCCGAGGTGTGCGGCGTGCGGCGGCGGCCGTGGGGTCGGCGGCGCCGCACGCAGTCGCCGGCCGTCGGCAGTTCCTCTTCGCTCAGGCCCTCCTTCGCCCAACCTGCCTTCTTATTCTTTCTTTCCGAGACACACACACAGTAGCTGCCGGTCTTTTGTAACGCGCGGCGCCATGAGCCTCGACAGGGCCCTGCCGGCGCCGAAACACTGCCAAGACCATTGTTGCGCCCATTGTTGCGGCCTCCCTTTGTTTGGCACCAGTTGACGGCGTTCGCCGGCCACCGACCAGCACCATTATTCTCTCGCATGCAGGTGACATTTCTCTGTCAACACACGCAAAATTCAATTGTTCAAACTCATTGTTGCTCAAAAAATGCAGTCCATTCTTGCAAATCCTCTAGATAACTATCAAATTTTATATTTCAACATACAAAATTTATAATAATTAAAACCTAAAAAAAAGGAAATTTAATTTAAGTACATTTTTCGTATTTATCAGTATTTATATTATTTATTTATTTTTCTGAGGAGAAATTAAATTTCCAAACAAAATTTTTTAATGATTACTCTGGATTACAATGAATGTATATTTTAATTTCTCATAATTATAATGTGGAGACCAAATTCCCTCCCTTCAACCCTTAAATTTGATCGGCGGGAAAGTTTTGCGACTTTGACGAACGAGATTGCGGCGCTTTGAATTTCTTCTTTCGATTCGGGGTAGAAATACTCGCCGGTCGGCACCTTTGCAAACACGGCAGCCTGGATACCGATACTGATTTTTGTATTTTCGCCTGATTTTTTATTGCTGACGCGAGTGAGAAAAAGAGCGAAACGTTGCAGCCAACGCAACGGAAATAGCTCTGGATTTAGTTGAAAGGGCTCTTCAATGACCTATAGAAAAGTTGTACTTTTCATCAACGAGTACGAAACTAAAAAGTTATTTTTTACATATTTTGACCTTCAAAAATATAGAATGCGTGGCTTATTCGTAATTAATTTAAAAAAGAATTGGAATTTTTTAAACTTCCTTTTACCAATGAGTCTGCGCATCATTATTAAATATTTTTAAATCACTTTTCGTAGAAACGAACACAGAACACCACAGAAATTATATCATCGTAAAAAAGAGTTTCATTTGAAATTTTTTAGTTTTTGAAGTTACATAAAATATAATTAAACTAATTATATGTTTCTTGTAGTAATTAAAAATAAATAATTATATAAATAATTTAAAGACAAATTATTTTTCTACATAATAAAAACTACTCGTAAAGCTATGATGGCTATTATGTCCATTCTATACAATATGTGAAAGAATCTCTTTAATGCAACTTCTGTAATTCATTATTTTTAAAAGTTTTCTAATAAAACTGTTTCGAGCGGACTCTTTCGTGAAGCGAAACTTGCATAGGAAGTCGGCCACTGACAGGAAATAGATCCACCGTTCCAATAACCTTCGAGAGCGAACTTAACCCCTTACTTTTCTGCAACTGCATCCAGCACGCTTTCTCTGGCGTGCCGGTTGCATACCTCCCGAGGAGCCCTTTCCCCCTCCACCGCGAGTACACTGCAGACGAGACGGAAGAGTCCGCCAGCGGCAACCCTGCAACCCAACAGCAACAGCGAAAGGAAAACCGGACGCTGATTCCCTTTTTTTGGCGAACGGAAAAGGTCTGGACGTAACGTGTCCTTTCCCTAAACGAGCAAACGCGTCAAACTAAAACGCCGCAGAACTATAAGCGAGGGGAACAAACCGGCGCCAACTCCGTCAGGTTGGCAGCGCCGCGTGTATAGATGGCGTTGTTTTGACGCTGTCATCTTGAAAGTCGCCCATTTTTCTGTCTGCTTTATCCAAAGAGAAGCAGCCAAAGCACAGCGGCTTCACCGAAAACACTGGCCAGGCGTGCAGCATGAGTGGTGGCGTGTCTGACGACTGAGATTCGGCCCGAATTCAATTGATTTGCGCGCCCTAGGAGCGGATAGAGAAGCCAGCCGAGAAAATGGGCCCGCGTTTCGCCGAGAATTTCGGCCGAGCACACCGACAATGAGGCAGGGCCGAGGTGCTCAGAGGAACAACAAGAAATGTAATCAACCACCCCCGCATCCCCTCCGCCCCTATTTTGGTCCAGGGTCTCGTTTAGGTCACATTTGTGGCCTCCGAGATGGATTTCAAACCGGCCAGAACGTTCGCTACTTTTGGCCGCGGTCCTTTTGGGCTTCGATTTTTTAATTAAACTCGAACGGATTCCCCGCGGAAATCGCTTCTGGAAACCGACCCGGTGTGTTTTAGGCCAAATTCGAATCGATTTTGGTTTCTTTCGGGGCCGAACAAAGTGCTTTTTGGTCAATGTTTACATTTGATCGCCACAGTTTTACGAGAGCTACGAAGGAACTTTTTATTGATATAAGTTTTCTCCGAAAAAATGTCCTTTCTGGTTTTTAAAATTTAATACTCTCATGAAATTATTTTCTTGTTTGAATTTTATCTTCAATCTATTTTTATTTTTTCTTTTTTAGTAAAGTAAATTTGTGTGTAATTTAAAAAGATGTGAATTAATGAAAATTTCATTCGCAGGTTGTAACAGACGCGTTGTGCCTGGTTTGAACCTGCCGTCAACCCTGGACGACCCGTCTGCGACGTGGAAGCAGGCGGGAGGCGGCGGAGGCCCCAACTCAGGACCGTCACCCTCCGAGCCTCCCCCTGGCTTTCCGCAGCAAGTTGGAAACAGTGGGCCGCCCCCAGGCCAGCCGCCTCCAAATCAGCCGTTTGGACCCAGTCCAGGCGGATTCCCCTCGGGCCCTTTCCCGCCCAACAACTCGGGGCCTGGCTTCAGTCCCGGTGGCAACTCAGGACCCTACTCAGCCGGACCGCCTCCGGGGGCCGGCACCCCCACATGCCCTCCCCAGTACACCCCCTCGCCGGCACCTTCGGGCTCTTCGACGCCGGGGCCAGGCTCGGGCCCTGGTCAGTTTGGCGGCGGACCCCCTCCCGGCAGCTCAGGCTTTCCAGGTGGAGGACCACCTAATGCAGGTAATTGAAAGGAATCAATATTATATATGTTTCTAGAGAATTATTTGAATTAAAGTTTTAAAATTTTACGTTTTGAGCAAAGTTATCCGCAAAATTTCGCTACTATGATTAAATTTAATCAAATTTAATACTTTTGCTGGTCTCAAATTTTTATATGATCTACATGCAGTTTTCATCTAAAATTTTAAGATATATTTTTGGTTTACTTTGCTTTGGAGACAGATTGCTTTGTGATTTGCTAATAATTGCAATTTGATTTAATTTGTGAATTAAAAAATTAATGAAATAAGACAGAAGGGTTAAAATTATAAGAAAATAAAATCATATTATTGTAAAATCACAAAATTATTTTTAAAAGATTCGTCAATCACTTGTTTGCTCAAGATTTGAAAATATTTTTGATAGTTTTAAGTTTGGTATAAACTTTTGAAATTAATGGTTTTGCAAATTTTTCAGGCGGTCCTTTGTACAACGGTCCAGGCTCGTTTCCCCCCAACGCCGGCTTTGTGGGCCGACCAGGCTCTTCAGGGCCTCCCTACGCGCCAGGCCCTCCTCAGGGTGGTCCCCACCCAGGCCACTTCCCCTCACCAGGACAGCCTTTCTCTGGTGGTCCCCCTTCCTTCGGCATGCCGCCTGGCTCGCCGTTCGGACACCCTCCCGGGCACCCGATGCCCCACGGGCCGCCTGTCCACGGCATGATGCCTGGCCAGATGGGCCCTGGTGGGCCCATGGACCGCATGGACCAGGGGTGAGTACTTGTTTTCCTGGGTTTGCATGAGGGAGCACATGGCAGTCACATGGCTGACTGGACACAAAGTGGTGGAAGACCTCGAAGAGTTCGTTTGTTTTGCGTGCAATATTTTAAAAGAAATCTTTTGCGACATGCTTTATATTTATTTAGTCAAATTAAAAATCAAAATCGAATCTAAATTTTAAATGAGTTCGCATTAAAATTTATTTATAAATATGAAGTATCGAGATAGTATTTTTGTTTTGTCGCTCGGAAATCATTGTCTTGAGAATGAAAAAGATTATTAAATTTCATAAAAATTATCAATTCAAAACTTTAACACTCTATTCTGAATTGTGGATGGTTTTAAATGCTAAGAATATAAACTTTTATCAAAATTTTATTTCAATATCAATTCATTTTATTTTGCTCCAAACAAGTCAGACAATCAATTTTAAAATAAAATTGGTTGGGAGTAAAATTCACCCTCGAAGCATAATATAAATTTCTGTTTTACGCTCAAAACTGAAACTGCAGTATATGAACCAAAAAATAAATTAGTGGCTTTAATTTTTGGTTACAAGATCGCATTTTGGTAAATTGCTTCGCTTTCAAGTGTTTTTTCTATATAAATTACCAATTTTTTCTTCCATTTTTTGCTGAAAGCAGAAAAGATAATTTTAAAATTTTGACGTCTCTAACTTTTTAAATTTGATGAGGAATCATTTTTTCACCTAAAAAACCTATTCTATGACCTTCGTTTCAATAGTTAAGATCCATTTATTTTTATATTTATTTATTATTATTTTTTGAGATCTCATTATTGCCCCCCAAAAAACCTGAAGTTTTCCACTTTTGAGCACGGTTGGGTGGTAAACAAAACAAAGAGCAAACACGCTCGGCGCAAAAGTTTCGAGTGCGCGCCGTTCCAAAATCGGGTCGTCATGGATTGGGAAGGTGAGCACGGGGGAGTATTTAGCATGATCCCCGCGAGCCCCGAATATTGACGTGTCTTGACATCTGGCACACGCAGGCGGTGCTGCCACCTGAGGCCCGCGCCGCCCACCAGCCGCCTGCATCGCAAGGGCTGCACTTCCGGACGGAAGTTCCGAATTTCCGTCCACGGAGGAAATTTTGCCGATTTTCAACAAAATTCGTCGGACGAAAAACGAGACGGGAGAAAATAAAAAAAAAATCTTTGCTCTCGCGCGCGCTCAGCTCACTTTTTCCCGGTTGATATTATTTTTGCAGTGTGTTTTTTGTACTTTTTGCATGCTGGCGTTGCCATGGCTACTGGATGGAGCTCTCGGTGCTCCTCTCCAGGCTTCTCTCTCCGGTGCCCTTTAAACAGTTGGTTAAAGCCGATGGACGGATATGCAGCGCGGTATTATTATGCGAATGCATCAGACGTCGGTCCAGTCAGGTGCACCCGATCGCGCCGCCGTCTCGCCCGCCGTCCACAGCAAACTTTTCATTTTTATTTTAATCCCTCCGGTTGACGCCAAGTCAAAGAAAGGTCAATGAAAGCAAGCGGTTGATTGATCAACAATAATTTCAAACTTGGATGCATTTATGGCGGTGACTTTGCTCTGCAATAATTACTTATTGAATATAAATTGCTTTCGTCCTGTCACGTTCGAAATAGACAATTAATATTGTAGGTTTCGTCTGAATATTTATTCAGTTTTTATAAGAAAAATTATAGTGCTTAGTAAAAAATTTAGTAAACAAGAGCACAAAATTTTAAAATTTGAAAAAAAAAATTAACTGATTTGTTCCAAAGCTATATATTTATATCAAAAATTATATTATGGAAATTTAGCACTTTTTGCAGTATTTTGATTATTATCACAAATCTTTTCGGTGATTTGTTGAATTTAAAGTAAGCTTTTCCTTGATGGGTTTTGTGAGTTGTGTATGATTTAAGAAAAACAATATCCTGCTCCAATAAACAACTAACAAAACCCATCGAGGAAAAGCTTACTTTAAATTCAAATCAACATGAATCATCCCTCAATCGTGGAATTCTACTAAAAAATCTTCTTGGCCAATTTATTTTCAAAACCTCTTGGAATTGGTGCAAATATTTATAAAACTTATTTTTCAGTGAAGTTGCAAATTATCAAATCAAATTGAAAAATATACCCTTTAGCTGAGGTAATTATATATAAATGAAATAACTAATGCAACTCTCTGGTCTCTTGTTTGCCTAAAATTCAAATTTCTACCAATCGCAAAGAGCACAATTGTAACTTTTTCGAAAGATTTTCCCAACTTACGTTTTTAACTATTATTAATTCATAAATGAGTTTGAATAGTTTCATTGTAGTATACTAAATAATATACTTTAAAAAAATTATGGTTCAAAATCAGGATTTTTATAAATTTCTTTTATCTTCCCAAATTTGTTTGCGTAAAAAAAACTTAGTAGGGCGAAAAGCATTTTTGTACTAAATCCGCAATAGTCCAACTCAGTCCAACTCACAAGGAAACCCTTTCAACACGCAAAAAAAAGTTAACGATTTTTTTACACCAATCGACTCTCCGCGCTGCCCTGATGATCCAAAAAAATTATTTTCGGCCGATCTTAAACGGCCGCTTCGGTAGAGCGGCCGAAAGTTGGCGTTTTTCAACTTATGCAGGCCCGCTTCACTTGCTGTGGAGCTCGACGCTTTGCAATCTTTTCTCGCAGCGAGCACGCACCGACCAGTTCGGCAAGCACACCGCCGGCGGCTCGCTCGCCACTCCACTGCGGTGCATACTTGCTGCGCTCTGCACTAATCGGCTATTAAAAAATATTTCCAACATTCTAATATAGTTTTATTTCATGTGTTAATAAAATGAAAAAATCTCAACTTGAAAATTTTAAACAAATTCGAAAATAATAATAATCTTCTTATGCAATGTTTAATATTTTGTTTCCAAATAAAAAATTACATATGCTATGGATTGCTTTGTTATTGAATAATTATATAATAAATATATATTTTTGCTGTTGCTAATCTCACTAGGTTAGCGGGTCGAATGAAAAAAAATTATCAAAATAAAAATGTGTAGACTGTGCGCTGGGTTCATTCCAGGTGAGGAATGGAAGATATTTGGAGTAATTTCATTCATCGTTTATTACAATTTAAAGTATGCAAAAAATTTCTTTCAATTGAGGGAGCAAAAATTGCATTGTTATTCGACTGCAGGCATCAGTGTGCATATGAAACCTGCACCATGAACTTCGTTTGTGTAAACTCTGTACTTGCAGAGCTTTTATTGATTTGCAAATTTGATTCATCGGATAAAGGTGTGCCTAACGATCGCGAAATCAGTCTAGCCGTTCTGCTATCAGGTAGAGAAATTATTTTTCAAATTAATATTTTAAATCGTCAAAATAAATATTAATTTTGAAATATTTCAGAACTACTTTTGCAAGCATCCATCCTGGAAACGGATAAATTCTTCCAATACCTTTGTATTTTGAATGGCGTGAAAGGTAAAATGTGAATCAAAATTTAAAATATAACTTTAATAAATCCCAGCATAGAGTAAGCCCTTCTTTATATTTATATTTTTTTTTTTTAGATTTTTCGTCTCACAATCAACATCAAGAGCTCCATGAGAATTACGAGCCGCCTGGAAATGAATGTGCGACAGTTGCGGGTTGGATTATTTTTATGAATTTTCTTTTAATGCTAACTTTTAATAATGCTGAAGGAGCTATTATTTTAAAATTTTTAATTAATATTTTGAATTATGCAAGATTTATCAATATTAAAATTTTTTTATTTTCTAGTTACTCACAACCAGAAAACTTTCCACTTCGAGCGCAATGAACGCAATTTCAGGAGACAGCTGTTCCCTTCTTCTTTTGATGAAAATTATTTTGAATGCAGTAAGTAATTTATTTCTTATAAAAATATTTATTATAAAAACAATGTGAATTTATAATAAGAAAATATTGTAATAACTCAGAATTTAAATTTAAATAAAAAAAATTAAAATTAACTCATTTTAAATTTGGTCTCTCATATGCAGGGCTCTCACCAGAACCAACAAACAAAGAAGCTGAAGTGACGTTGCAAGAGGGTGAAGAGACCAGCATGGAAGATGAGAAATTCCAAAATAATGTTGATACGTCTGCTGCCAACTCTGAAGGCAGTGAGTTTATTTAATAATTTTATATAAAAGATTTTTTTTAGTTGTAATTTTGAATTGCATTTCAAAACTAAAAATAATTGGCAATAATTTTTCTTATAATATTAATATTCGTAAAATATTTTAAATTCATTTCAAATATAAGTTTTACAATAACTTCTGTTTTAAAAATTTTAGTCCAGAAAATAACTAATTTAAAATTTGACCTCTCATATGCAGCGATCTTACAAGAATTGGCAAATAAAGAAAATGAAATGACCTTGAAAGAAAATGAAGAGACCAACATAGAAGAATTGCAATTGGAAAATGCAAGGACATCTGCAGAAGATTCCAATTGTAGTAAGTTGATTGAATAATTTCAATTTTACAGGATTTATCAAGGATTAATCAAAAAAATTGGTAGAATTGTTGTTACATAATACTTGAACATTAGTGGCTATTCATTTTTTCCAATTTGTTTGCGCTCTCCATCTAATTAAAGACGCAATAATTTTCCATGAAAACGATTGTTTTGAATGAAAAATGAAGCGTGTGAGAAGAAAGATTTTTAGAAGTTTTAATTTAATAAAATTGCTTTCAAATTTTATTCAATTAATAAAAAATTAAATAGTAGAGTAATTAAATTTCGATTATTTTGTTATTATTTCTTTTCTCATTGTCATAGGCAACAAAGTAGTGACATCAACAGGCTTGGCTGAAATTGAGAATATAAGGAAGAAAAGGACGGTTTTTACAAGAGCAGTCGCACATGAAGTTGACATTCATGACCAAAGTAAATTCACTTATTAAAATTTTATGGAAACAACTTTAATTAATTAAAAAGAATAAAGAATAAATTAGACATTTATTTTTATTGTAACTTTATAAATTTAAAAAAAAAACATAAAAATATTTATATTTATTATTGCTATACTTTTTGTTAATTTTAATTTGTTATCCTAATATATAAATAAAAATTGCAGATGCCTCAAACTGTCTTGACGAAGAGTCAATTGAGTCTGATGCTTTGACAGACGTTGAGAGCGATTGCGATGAATGTGAGCTTGATTTTTTGATTGGTGTCGAGGAGAGCGACTTGCCAAAACAGCAACCTCAACGGCACGTCCTAAGCTATTCCTTAAAAAAGGAAATTGTTGCTCATTGGCAGTATGAGGATAAGTGTGCTGAAGAGAAATATGGACCAAGGCGTGGAACAACTCGAAAATTGTCATCCATGCAAAAAAAGTATCCCAATGCAAAACTATGTATTAGAAAATTGTACCAATGGCGCACTGATATCAATGAGGGAGTAATGTTGAAATCTCATATAAAAGACATTGAATCAGACGTCTACGCCAAATTTCTCGAGTTTCGAGGAGATTTGAAAATCATCAAAGGCAGACATTTAAGGCAGTGGGCAATTGAATCTGCCACTTTGAAACATGGCTTATCCACGAAAGACTTTTGTGCCTCACCAACTTGGTTAGAGAACTTTAAACGCCGTTTTAAAGTTGGAGGAAGAAAAATCAACAAATATGTGACGAGAAAATCAGTCAGGGAAAAAGATGATATTCTGAAAAGCGCAACAGATTTTGTTGAAAATGAAAAAGGCGAGGTCATTCGGGTAGGAAGGGCTTGTTTCGGCAATCTAGACCATGTCGGGATCAATAGGGAGATGCACTCTGCGCGCACTTTAGCAATAATAGGCGAACGAACGATTGAAAAGTGTATTCAAAGCTCAAATAGTATGACTCACTCTTGGACGCTTGTTCCTGCTTGTGATGCAAGTGGTCGGCTATGGGAACCAGCTTATTTAATTTTGAAAGAAGACGGTGGTAAATTCGGAGTAAGAGTGCAAGAAACTGTCCTTCGGCCCGAAAATTTGTTTGTAACTTGCTCATCAAGTGGTAAAATGTTGGGGTCACAAGTGGAGGAACTTTTTACAAATTGCATTTTCCCAAATGTGAAGGGGAAAACTGCGCGATTTTTGATTGACCACTGGTGTGGCTGGAAAAAGAAGGTAAACGAACTATGCAAAATAGCAAAAGAAAAGTTTGGGCTAAATGTGACAATAGGACTCATTCCAGAAGGCACTACTGGAAAAATCCAACCTTTGGATGTTAATGTTAATGGTCCGTTTAAAAAGCTTCTACGTACTATTGAGGATGAAATACTTATGCATAGTATTCCCTTTCCCATCCAAACCCGAAATAACGGCATAAAGTTGATTTCGTTCACGTATCACCAGCTTTGCTCACCCCGATTCGAGTCGATGATAACCTATGCATTTTTTAAGCCTGGCTACATAAGTGAAAGAGGCCCAAAATACTTGACCCCAGTTCAGTACTGCTTCGCACTTTCAACCAAAACCACGTGCGAAATTCCTTTGTGCCAAAGTAAAAAGTTCATTGTGTGCGCTTGGTGCACTTCAAACTTGTGTTTTCAGCATTCCATAGAATGCCTTCACATGTGTGACAATTATTTGCCGTGATTAATTTTGTGCATTGTATTTTTTGTGCATTGTATAAATTGACTGGCGCAAATAATATATTTAAAAAAAACTTACTTCGCTCTTTTAATTTTACCAATTTTTATTGTTTCCAACTGTCAGGACATAATATCAAACGTTTAAAAAAGATAAGATAACAATTTAAAAAATAAAAAAATATCCTATAATTTGATTGGGAAACTTGATTGGGAAAATTGAATTTTTTTTTTTTTTTTGAAATTTAATAAAAAAAATGATATAATTTAATTTAGGGATAATAATTATTGGAGACAATAAAATTATTAGAAAAGAGAATTTAAATTAAAAAAAAAAATTCTAAATTTTCTAATCATTGTAAAAAAAAATAGTGCACATTTTTCCACTCATAAATTATTTGGGGTATTCATTGTCAAAATTATTATCATTATTGATTGAAATTGAAATATTTAACCAAATATTTTTTAATAGTTTTCAGACATCCAAATTATTTTTAATATCGTTTATTTTTCACAATAAAGAAATTAAAATATTGCATGATTTGCATTGCTAAATTAGAGAAAAAAAAATGGGAATATCAATGCTTTAAATTTCTTTTATAAGATTTTTTAATACATAGCCGATTAGTGCAGAGCGCAGCAAGTATGCACCGCAGTGGAGTGGCGAGCGAGCCGCCGGCGGTGTGCTTGCCGAACTGGTCGGTGCGTGCTCGCTGCGAGAAAAGATTGCAAAGCGTCGAGCTCCACAGCAAGTGAAGCGGGCCTGCATAAGTTGAAAAACGCCAACTTTCGGCCGCTCTACCGAAGCGGCCGTTTAAGATCGGCCGAAAATAATTTTTTTGGATCATCAGGGCAGCGCGGAGAGTCGATTGGTGTAAAAAAATCGTTAACTTTTTTTTGCGTGTTGAAAGGGTTTCCTTGTCAGATAATCAGAATAATTTTGAATGCGTTGTAGCTTTGCACCTCCGTAATTTCAATCAATGATAAATTGAAAATAAAATTCACTGCTAAAAAAAATTTGCAAACTTTTTAACATCTTAATCGTTTTTAAATTTTAAATTTATTTGAACATTTTTTCAAATTTTATCAATTTTATCCTTTTTTTTTCATCGGGGCAATACCGGCAAAGGTCCGCAGGGTCCGCTGGTGCTTTTTTCGTGTCCCCGCGGCGAAGTCACGAATCGCCGAGGGCACCGCGAGCTGCACTGCCGCACAGAGTTTGTTGCACCTTCCTCGGCAGCTTCGTTTCTTGAAATCCTGGGGCTTCTCGAGAGACGGTTGCTCGAGAGAGGTGGATGCTGGAGATGCCCCACGAGTAAATACATTTATACGCGCGCCGAGAGATATCTGGTGGAGCCTCAAGGTCGCACTCTCGAGCAATAATGTGCCGCCGGTGACGCTGAGATAAACCTAGCAGCAGCCTCACTCACGCGCCTCCTCTTCGTGAATATTCAAAAATCTCACCGCGTGCCTTTATGTATTTTTCTTTGCCTCACGTTTTTGGTTTGGTTTTGCAGTGAAAAAGAGAGAAACGCACGTTTTGATTTTCCCTCTTTAATCTGAACGTTCAATTTCTAGCATTGCCGATTTGTATGAATGTTGCTTTGGCCATTTTGGATGCGGACTCGATTCACAATGCGTTTCAAAGTAAGATGGAATTTTGAAAATGTTTTCGCACTCGCAGGAATAAATTTCAACATTCGCGCTGTAGATAAGTCGGCGCAGGGAAATTTATCTTGCTTGCAGAATGATAAGCGTCATTCACGCTCATTGGCTAAGTTTGCGATTGGATTGTTTGCGTTTCAAGAAATCAGAAATAAAGTTCTGGTTTAATTTTTTTAAATTAATTATTTAAATGCCAGTTCATTTTTTGGAATAAACTGAAAGAAAAAGTTTAAAAGAGGAATATATGAATGATTTGTTTTAAGTTTGCCATACGATTCTTAGAAAATATTTGCACCACACGAGTCCTATATTAAAATATCATGCTCATTATCTTGATTTTTGTGCAGTCTTTTTAACATTTTCTAGTACAATAACATTTAAAAAAACGCATTTGAAAGCTGAAAACCTCATTAGAGGTAAAAAATATTAAAAATTCATGCATGATACGAAAATGAATGTACTGCATTTGAAAAATTTAAGGTCATGCAAGTTCTTCAAAGGACGCGTTATGCGGAATCTTTTAATTGTAAGGTAGGAAAACCCACTGATTATAGAAGAGTTAAGTAATTTAAACCTTTTGAAATTTTCGGTTCAGTTGTGCAGTCTCCATATTCGGGAATTAAAATTTTTGGTCCTGAATTTTTGCAGGTTGCAATTAGGTTTTTTAACAATAAAATTAGATCTGAAATGTTTCAACCCAAAAAAAATGCCGGAGTCCATTAAAAAAAATCTTTCAGATTCACAGGACTGAAAAATTGTGGGAAAATAAATAATTTACTTGGAGCCAAATTTTTTTAGACTTCAATCTTTTGCTTCTGAAGTATAATTATTCATCAGTTAGAATTTCGTTGTCTTCTATTTTTAAGGCTTTTTTTTTAGTAATTTTTGTATGGGAAATGAGCAACAAAATTTAAATGAAACAAATTAAGTTTTAGATAAATCGTAGACAATTTTGACCAAACTAATTTTTATATTTAAATAACTTATTATAGTTTTAAAAATAAATCAGAACTTTTTGTTTTCCATCAATGTTTAACGAATTATCAAAGTTTTATTTCTTTAAATAGACATTTAATTTCTAAAAAAATTGTTATGGTATTTTTTTCTTTTAAAAAAAGCCTAAAAAAAAAATGTGTGCAGTTCCCCTCCTAGAAACCTTCAGATTGTTAAAAAATGGTTTTAGTTTCCTGTAATATCAAATTTATTTACTAATGCTGTGAAATTCCGTTGGGCGATCAAGTTCGCTGGGGAATGGGGCGCTTAAAAGAAAGAAGAAAAAAAGGAGTCACGTGCTGGCGCAATTTATTTCTAAAAATACGAAAGCCGGCCGGTCGGCTTTGTGATGGCGCGCGTTGGGCGTCTCACGTGCCTGCCGCGCGCACCCCTCCGGGAGCCGCGTGCCCCGCGAGGGCCGGGGTGGCGGCGCGGTCTTCACCCCGCCGGTGCTCACCACTCACTGCGAGAGCGCCAACGAGAGAAAAAGGGCCTAGCCTCGTGCAGGAGCCTCCCCAGATCGATAGGCACTGCTACATCCCCCTGCCGACTTGCATCCCCTTTAATAGTGTGCGTTGTGACGTCACGCACATTGTAATATGCTGATCTCGCCCGCTTGGCGCATACACTGGGGGGTGCGACTCGCTTGTTCGCCCTCGATTCCGCACGCCCTGCCTGCCTGCGTTCGGCTTCAGTTTCGCCCAACTTTGCGGCCAAACTTCGCCAAATCCAACCCCACTGCGAAGCGGAACTAAACTTGCCTGCAAACTTCGGAGACAGACGAAAATTTAACAAATCTCAGGCATTGTTAAATGCATTTCATTGATGAAAAGTACAACTCTAAAATAAAATTATTTTTAAGGAGAATGAAAATAAAAAATGAAGTGAAAATTTTAAACATGTAAATTTAAAAAAAGAACGATTTTTTTATCGCTTTGAAAAGTTTATTGTACAATTTAGAAATCAGTATTTGAAAATAATTTTCAAAAATTCAGGATTTTATGTTGTAAATTTAACATTAATTTTTCGTTTCGAGTAATTTAAAATCTTCTAATTGCAAACTAAACTTATTTATAATTCACCAAAAAGGCTTTCTGGATAAGTTGCGGTTTTGTTTTTATTCTATGGGGGTTGTGCACTTTTATTAATTTTCATTTCACGCCCGTTTTAATTCTAGAAAAGATTGATTATTCTCCTGAATGGAATCTTGGAATTTACATCAATTATAAAATGAGCTAGATTCTTTGGAAACTTTAAAAACGCGTTTTAGATGATAAACATTGTAAAATCACTGCTCTTCTTATCAAAAATGATAAGATTTGTGTTGTTGACTTATCGTTTTAATGAAAGACATAAAATCTTGATTACAAAAATTGCACCAAGTTATTAATATTTTACTCTGCCAGCGAAAATTAGATGTAAATTTTCAATTGCGCTTTTCTTTGATTTACGCTTAGGTTGTCAACATTTTCATGACGAGTGTCATTTGTGAATCACTTTCGAACTGCAAATTTCCTTTGAGACTAATCGGCGTGTTCCTTTGGTACGAATTTAGCACTTCCGATGCCCGCGAGCGTGTTCAAAGAGGTGCTAATACCTCTGCAAATAAATATCGGGCGGCGCCATTCGCGAATAATAGCGCAAAGGTATAAAGAACGTACACACACTCAGGCTATATTTATTCACCGGTGAGAATGAATCAACACGCAAATGCAAACACGCCAGCTCGTTTTGTACGACCCGGATTAAGGTTGTAAATACCGGCACGCGGCGGGCATGAAAGGAAAAATTAAATCGCCTGCGACGACTGCCTTTGACTTCACAAAGTTCTAATTTGTTTACCTTCGTTTGATTTGCTTCGATTTGGGGCAGGTCAGTTTAAATTCTAATTTTAAACATAAAATCATCTAAGGGTTGAAATTTTTTTGCAAAAATGTGTGATTGATGATGTTTTTACATAATGTCTGAAAATAAAAAACTGCCACAGATTGACGTGATATAAAAAAATTATTTTATTCATAAATAAAAATTATTAAGTGGACTTGAATTATGTTCAAAACATTGATCAATGGAAAAAATTGCAAGTTATCACGAAGTTAGTCAACGTGGTATGATCTGCTCAAGTCAAAATCTCAGCGCGCCATCAAGTGAGGACTTGAATTAGGCTAATCCAATATGTAATCTTTGTAAGCTTGAGATAAAATTGATGGCCGCCTGTTGGAATTAACTCATTGAATCGGACAGGTGTAATTCCGAGTGGCGATCGCAGCCAATTAATTTTCCAGTCTCGCGCCTTTCTGGGCGTAAAGAGCCACTACGTGCCTCCCTGGTGGCGAGAAAGAGTCGTCGTCATTCATATAAGAGCCACTGGCCAATTGATGAATGACCGAAAAAAGCAATCGAGCAAGTCGTGAGCGGAATTCATCATGCGAAAAAAATGTTGTCGCCGCCGCGTGTTGAGAATTAATTCCGCGTGACAAGCGGCCGCCGTAAATCGAGAGATTAGCTCCTTCCATTCATGATAATGTATTCCTTTTGAGTGAATAAATATCTTTCAATTAGCCACGCGCGAGTACGTTTCCGCGAAACCAAACAAACTTGGCTAACCTTTGCTGCAGCTCCAGGGGTTAATAAACGTAAGCGATACGCGAGGCGTAATGAATGAGATTTTTGTCGCACGTAATTGCCGTTGAAAGCTGAAACGCCTCTTTGCTCTCTGAAATCGCAGATTCAAACCTACAGAGATCAAATTTCTTTGTTCATTGAATACTTTGCTTCAAAAGGGGATTCTTTTTTTATATCTTTTTAAAATTTAAATTGACTTCATTGCGCAGATTTCAAGTAAAATTTAATTGAAAAATATTTTAAGAAGTTAAAGTTCAGCAATTTCTTGGCATCAATCTGATCAAAAAATTGCACAAGTTTGATTGAATGGTTATAAAATTAACTAGATGTGCTCCGTGGCAACCTTTAATCGGCTCTTTTTCCTTATACAATTATTTAAGAGGCAAAAAATCAGGCACTTTTCAAGTGATAATACTCAGTAATGCAATTGGTGAATTATTCAGGAACAAAGTTCTATTATAAATATTCTATTTCTTATGGGAGATTTATTTAAATACAAATTTTCTTGAAATTAAATCTCCAAGACTAAATTGTTAAAATTGAAAAAAAAAACATTTAAAAAAATGAATTTTTCATAAAAAAATTAGTGATTATTTCGCCAACTCCATAAGTAACGACTATTAAAATATAGTCATCTTTTAAATTGATATCATTTTTTTAATGTCAACATTTTTATTCATTTTTATTATTATTACGTATTCTTCTCGGTCAATATAAAAATTTTGCGAGATAAAAATTACCCTGTCATAAATGGGCACCCACAGCTCTTCAAAACGAAAAAAATCAAACCGCCCACGGTATAATTTATTCACATTGCACCACTCCTTACAAACGATGTTCTGCAATCCTGTCATTTGCATACATTTTTATTCAGTACTGCAAGAGTGGTCCGCAATTGGAAAATTAAAAAATAATAATGCAGACTGACGGAGGTAAAAAAAAATATTTATTTTCGCGCGGAAAAAATCGCGTAGTTGGGGTCGGACGGGCGGGCGGGCGCTCGGCGACGGAGGTACCCTGAAACACGTGAAGTGCGCGGCGCAGGTCGGAGCGAAATTTCGGCGGCCTCGGCAGGGAGGCTATGCCCATGCTCAGTGCCCTCTATCTCCGCGTGTCTCGCTCGCTCGCTCGGTTCTCGCTCGAAACGAACGAGCGAGCGAGAGAAGAGCAGGCAAGGCGAGCGAGGCAGTGAAGCGACGGAGGCGAGCGAAACCGGCTCGCTGCTGCTCACCACCGCCGGGCCCACGACCCAGGGCCCGCGGGCCATGCCAGTGAGAAGCAGGGCCCGGCGTGCAGCCCCCGCCTGCCCCGACCCACCGCCGCCACCGCTCGGGGGCCCCTGCTTTCTCGGGCCCAATGCGGTCCCTTGCCAGCCCATCATGAACCTGCACAATGATCCCTTCTACTGTTCACCCTTCGGCTCGCCCTATTTCAGGTGACCAACTCGGTCCTTTTCAAAAAACACAAATTTTTTTTCAATCAAGTCCGATTACAACAATTTTAAAATTTTTGCAATTATTCTTAATTTAAATAATTTATTGTTCATTTTATCATTCATTTAAATAGTTTTTTTCTACTCCCATTTCTGAATGTTTTTCTTGTCACACGCAATTAGGAAAGAAACGGGCACTTGTTGATTCCTCCTTGTACTTCCTCCGACGGCTGGCGACACTCGGCTCCGCCGGCGGCGCTGATGGATATATTTTTATTGGCACCTCCAGCTGATCCTCCTCTTTCTCCTCTCGCGGCCGATCATACAGTTCTAATTGATTCCTCCGTTCTTTGCTCCACGCGCTTCCAGTCTTAAATGTTTGGCCTTTATCAGTCGGCCCCGTCGCTAACTTTGCTTTGCCGTTCACTCGCAGATAAAGTGTCAAAGGCATACAAAGTTCAGGTGTTCAGATAACAAACGAGCTCTTCCGCCGCGATTACAGTACATGTGTAGACAGTAGCACTTTGAATCTGTCGTAATCCAAAGTTGAATAATAATTTTTCTCTTTTTTCCCGCAGGCCCCTGCCAGTTCCGAGGCGGCACACGCCGTACTTTGGACAGCCAGACTACCGAGTTTATGAACTCAACAAGCGGTTGCAGCAAAGGACAGAAGTGAGTAGCTTATATTGAATTCGATCATATTAAATCTCCCTGCTTAAAGTACTATTTTTCCAAGTTTGTTCATGTTTTACACCAAAATTTTTAATTTGTATCAATTTCACGACAAAAATAATTATTTCTGAATATCATTCTTGGTTTTGCAGGAAAGTGACAATCTGTGGTGGGACGCTTTCGCCACCGAATTCTTTGAGGACGACGCAACGCTCACCCTCACCTTCTGCCTAGAGGACGGACCCAAGCGATACAGTAACTGACCCTCTCTCTTTCAACAAAACATGTTACTAATTTGTTCTTCTCAATTTCAGCCATAGGCCGCACACTTATACCAAGATATTTCCGTAGCATATTTGATGGCGGGGTGACGGAATTGTACTACAGCCTCCGGAACCCGAAAGAGAGTTTCCACAACACTAGCATAACCTTAGATTGTGACCAATGCTCCATGGTGACCCACCATGGCAAACCCCTCTTTACAAAGGTTTGCTGCTTATACGACTAATTTTGTTTGCAATTTTGACTGGTTTGTGTTGCAGGTGTGCACTGAGGGGCGTTTGATATTAGAATTCACTTTTGACGACTTGATGCGAATTAAGTCATGGCACTTAGCGGTCAGAACGCATAGGGAACTGATTCCTAGGTCTGTAGTTGCAATGCATGCGCAGCAAGATCCAGGCATGCTGGACCAGTTGAGTAAAAACATCACCAGGCAGGGCATCACCAATGCAACACTCAACTACCTTCGGGTAAGTTAAACCTCTCAAATAATTCAACATTCCCTTTGTCAAAATCTGAAATTTCTTATTATTCACTTGTTTTCTTTCAAATTGAGATTTAAATTTAAAACTTTTTTACAGCTATGTGTGATTCTGGAGCCAATGCAAGAGCTGATGTCTCGGCACAAAGCATACGCCCTCACGCCTAGAGACTGTTTGAAGACGACTCTGTTTCAAAAGTGGCAGCGCATGGTCGCGCCGCCTGGTAAGAGAGGTAGAAATGCTAATACTTTACACTGGATCTCCTGATCAGCACACAATCAGTCGCCAAGTCTCTCCTCTCCTTCTTCGATCACGCCCACTAAAACGCTTTGCACTAAATTTCTGTTCCAACTTGAGTAGTAAAATGTTTTGAGTTTGTAGTTGTGCACAATCTGACCTTTTCACACCATGACTGACTGTGTGCTGATGACCGAGATGGAAATTTGGCACGAATTTGTGTGCCGAAAATTAGGGAACTAGAATTCAAATCGATAAGTCTCACTGGAGATCCTTGCACACCAACACATTCACTTAGAAAGTCATTTGGTTAAACGTAGAAGAGCATGTTTTTATGTCAAAATCGCATTTTTAATGCGTCTAACATTAGTCGTTCCCGCAGAATCGCAAAGGCCTGCAAACAAAAGACGAAAACGCAAGGGTTCGACGTCTGGGGCCGGCGCCAACAGTGCTCCTCCGGCACCTAACAAGAAAAGATCTCCAGGACCTAACTTCTCTTTAGCCTCTCAGGTAATCAATCAGTTTTTATTTTAAAATTGAAATTAAAATGATCTGTGCCAGGATGTAATGGTTGTGGGCGAGCCCTCCTTGATGGGCGGCGAGTTTGGGGACGAGGACGAGCGACTGATCACCCGACTCGAGAACACCCAGTACGACGCGGCCAACTCGTTAGACGATAACAACTTCTCAGACTCGCCGCTGCCTGGTGGGCCAAATAGTTGGGGTGGTGGCGGTCCTGGTGGGCCTGTACCTGGGGGCCCTGACTCGAGGGGTCAGCCGCCGGGGCCGGGAAACACGCCCTCAAGTCAAGATTCGGAGAAGAAGTCGCCCGCAGTGAGCCAGTGAAGTGAACAAGCACCCACTTAATGCATTTTCCGCCTCGAGTGCGCGCGCGCACGCAGAAGTTGGCCTGACTGAGCGAGTCTGGCCGAAATTTACCTCTGCCGCGCGGAACGAAAGGACGGACCTGTACTTAACAAAGGAAAGCTTGTTCGGCGCACTGAGGAGAATGAGTTTGTTTTCAAGTTTAACTAAGCAAGGGACGCAGAGTGCACGTGTCATATCAAAACCACTCGGACACTTTTAACTAAGCAGTAATAATGAAAGCAATTCTTGCCATGATTAAAAACACGTAACGTGACGGACAGTATTTAATTAAACGGTTAGTTAATTTAGCAGCCAAGACTGTCGGTTGATTGACTATTGTGTGTGTGTGGAGACTACTTCAAACGGTGTACAGTTTTTAGTGAAGCAAGCATAACTCTGTTGGAAACCAGCGTTTCAACAAAGCCACTTTGGTACTCCTCTAGGACTAAAGTTTACCTCCCTCACCTATCGCAACGGCCCGTTCTCAAAATTATTCACTCTCGACTACGGTGGGCGCACTCGGATCCTCAACTTGGGTAAATTTTATTCTCATGGGAGCTTTGATGATCTCATTTTATCCCAGGCCAAATTTTTAAACTCTACGAATCAGGTGATGTTTTGGAAGCAATTGAGGATCCCCGACTATTTTTACTTTAAAACTATGTAGTGGGCCTAAATCTTTTATCTCATTTCCAAACTGGTATTCCCCCCAAAAAGGATCCAATGAAAGCCAAGTCTTTATCGCCATTGCGAGTAAGAATTGATTTTTTGTAAGGATGATTCCTATTTTTGTTTGTGAAGCAGATTTTAAATGATGTTTATTTTGAGATGTTTTATTGAGAGAATTGTTTTATTGTTTTTAACGAGAAGAAGTGCCGCTGGACAGGTGGTCGGTTGCCGTCTCTGTAGCTGTTCTAAATTTTAGCCATTTTTACTTGTTCGGTAGACTTGGCTTCTCCTGCCGCCGCAAAAAAGGCCTCCCATTTTATTACGGCGAGACAGTATTTTCCGTTCGATCGTTCGGTTGAGTCCACTTGACCCAAAGCATCACAAAGTAGACCGAGGGATGAAAATCGCAAACCAACAACCATTTATACACAAAAGGTGAAAAATCAATCCTTTCTTTCCTCCTTTAAATGTAAACGTAGGATTTTCTTCTTCTGTGTTGTCGTATTGTTAAAATAAAAATTAAACACACTAAACGGTTGATTGGTTCTAAGTTTTTAAGAGAGATAATTGAATTTTCATTATTCTTCCATCATGAGTGCGTTTCGAACGACAACATCTGTGTACGTACATCTCTAATTTATTGTTTCTGACAAAGTTGAAAAGATAATTATGTATTGTATGAATATCTATATAAAACAATGATGCATTTGTGTATTATAAATTCAGTATTAAGCATTTCAAAGTACAAATGAAAATGGCACTTCGTGAACATCATCTTGTCTTGCTTTTCTGAACTAAGTAATTTATTTAGCCAAAAAAGTTTTATATGAGAAGTTAAAAAATTAGTAGTGCTTTTGAGAAGGCAGCTATGATAGGTTAAAGACGCCTCATGCATGGAAGGACAACCAGAAAATTGTAAAAAAAAACATGAAATTTTCAGCGACTACATTAAGATATTATACTGTAAACATGATTGATAAAAAATAATAATGTCAAATAAAAATTACCTTGTTTTTTTCCATTAAACTCTCCTGACAATGAAATACTCCTCATTGGCTCAAGAGTTTGCTGCTTTAATGCAAGAGCAAACAATACAAAAATTATTCAAGATTAGCTAGTTAGTTACAACAAGAAATGTAAAATGTCTAAATTGCACTGGAATGCCAACAAAACAGGTACCGAACAATGAGAAGAATTAATTGCTCTAGAGATAAGACCTTTGTCTCTTACAAAGAGAGCAGTTCTGCTCCTAATTCTGTGCTAATAACACTCAGTAATCACAATAAATCATTTTGCTTTACAAACTAATTGAAAACGAAAAACAAGACATCTGTTTGCAAGCTACCATACTAATAATTGGCGTTTCAGGGCTTGTCCTGATGTCTTCTGACTGATTTGTTACGCAGAATTTGCTCGTTAAGTATTTTTAGCCTAGAGTTCAGATTTGTCGTTAAACGTCGTCAAACAGCCCCCTGGGCAACTGGTTGAAGCGCGTCCTCTCCGGCAGGCGCAGGGTCTCGTCCTCCGGATGCAACTCTGCCGAGCTGTAGTCCAGCGGCTCCACGTCTCGCAGCAACACAGCCCGGGCAGACTCCTGGCTCTCCAGCTCTTCGCTCCGTCGAACTGCAACACAAGAGCATGCCCATGGTGCTCACTTCTGGTGTCTCCTCGGAAGGATCAACTTCTGTGGTTCAAATTGGGCGTTTTAGGGCAAACACTTAAATTGATAAGCCAATGGCCAAACTAGACAGAATAGCAAGTGTCCACCAAAAGGTCCAATAAGAGAGACAAATTGCGCTTGCAAAGGAAGTGATGAGTTTCATGCACCCAAAACACTTAATTTTAACCACTCTTTAAAAAAAATTACACAAACCTCTGTCGTCATTCCTCATCCGTCGGATTCCAAGAGAAGTTCCGAACCGTTCGTGGAAGTCTCGTCTCCTAGCCGAGGTTTCTTCGGTGCGCTGCCTTCTTCTCTTTTCTGCACAAAATACACTAATTTAGTTTGGAAATAAACAAAACTTTAATTTATACCTCTTTTAACCAAATCCCTGCCTTCGTCAATCAGATCTGCGGTCATTTCGTCTTCGCCTCCAATGAACTGGTGGAAGCCGAGTGCTGAGAGGAGCCGCGAGCCAAGACTGAAGTAGGTTGCGGCGCACAAAAGGAGTAGCACGGTGGGGAAATAGATGTTGAAGCCGTCGGACACAATGCCTATTACGTCCATGTGGCCCATCACCTGCGTGTAGTGCGTTTCGAGAATGCGGGTTTTGATCACGTGGCTGTCCATGTGGATCAGACCCAGAAAGTTCAAGCACATAGGCGGCGTCAGTCGACACAACATCCTGAAAATTTATTTTTAATTTTAGACTTGGGAAAACTCTTGAATCCGTTTTTCAGCGATAAACAAACCTTGCTTTCATTAGGCCAAAATTATAATATTCACCGATTTTGCATGTTAATTTCAGATGAATTATTTAGAAACAGCTTTGAGTAGTGGGATTGTAAGAATATGTGTTCAAAATTTAAAATTATACATTTGCAAAACAATAGCAATCTTAAAATTATTGTCTAAACTAAGGAGGAAAAGCAAGACAAATATTGAGCATATAGTAAAAACTAGCTTACATTCCAGAGAAAATGAGACTATACTCGTCGGTGCCATGGTGACCAGCAAGGTAGTAAAAGTTGAGGACGCGCACTTTGAAAACAGTCGAGTACGCACAATAGCACAAGTAGGCGATGACCAAAGTTGAAATCAACTGAAAGTTCCAAGTAAAATGAGATTTTTCTTTATTTTTTCCAAAGCCTTGATCTTACCTCTATAGTGAAGTAATCGTAGTTGGATTTGGCCAGGTTGACTATTCTAGCAAAAATGGAAAGCACAGGGTCTTTTACGAAGAAGGTCACTTCGGACCAAATGATGGCTGCCGACAGGGTTCCTGCGCACACCGCAGCTGCCTTCAGGAAGTACTCCTTCCCTCTCCAGTACCAATCTATGCAAACAAAATTCAGTTTTGCTTTATAAATGTGATTTATCTTTTGATTACGCTGACTAGGGGGCCACCACGAATTTGGCCTGGCGTGGTTGCTGAAGAAGCGAGATGCGTCTTCCAGGGCAATGACCTTGTCCAATAAGATCACCCACTGCGCCTCAGTTCTGTGCTGCATTTGAAGAGCTTTCTTCACCTGAATCAACCAATAAGGTTAAGTGCTTTTAAATTTAACAAAAGTTGGTTGACATACTTGTTTGTGGAGTCTGACAAGCGACTTTTCTGTTGGCTCGTCTGGCACAGAGCCGTCGGCTGGGGGTCGTCGACCCATTCTATCTCGGATTTCTGCCGGAATTTTCTGCATGATTGTCTCCAAGTGTCTGTGTAGGTAGTGGCCCGGACCAACCGAGAGAGTCACTGCTTGTAAATGCTGTGGGGTTTTAAGCACAGTTAAAAAAGACAAGATCAGGCTTTTAAAATTCAATTTCTTCAATAACTTTTTTTTTTGAAGAAATCAAATTTTTAATTAAAGATCAACGTCAAATGTAATTGTTCTTCTCAGTCTAATTTAAATACTTTGAAATTTTCATCTTTGAATATGAAAAAAATTATTCTTAAACTTTAAATCTGTCTAAATCCAGAAGAAATAATTTCTGAAATACATTTTGTCCCAAATAATTGGTCAGTTAATGTAAATCTTCATTACCTCTAGAACATCATCAACAGCCTCCTCAGATTCGCTCCGTTCGGAGCTCAATTTTGCTGTTCTAAAATAAGCTTTGCTGAGAGAGTGTCCATAAGAGCTTGCGCGCCAAAGAGAGCGTGGCACCTCCACCAATGCATGCCCCAGCAAAAGCACCAAGAGGAAAAGACCCCAGGTGTTACTGGCGCTCGAGGCAATCACCTTCAGTTTGCTCCTTAAAACAAAATAAATTTATATTTATTTCATATGTATTTCATGTATCTGAATGGAGAATAAATAAATAAAAAAATAAAAAAAATCTTATCATATTTTAGAAAATTAATTATTTAAAATATTACCCGTCAACATCAAGTCCTGGCTTCAGGACTAGATAGACAAAAAGCACGCAGCAAATAAAAAGGTAGGTGCTGTAGTAGATGGCATTGTCAATGAGAGCCGATCGCAGTTTTCCTTTCACGGTAAAGTCACCTGCTTTCGTATACGATTGCATCAGAGGAAGAATCAACCTGGAAAGAATATATATTAAGATTTTGAACCATAATAAATGATAATCTTCATATACCAGGTGAGAAACTGAGAGGTCCAGTAAACGACCCTCCACAGGTCGGGGAAAACCTCGTCAGGTACGTAACTCCAAGGGACGTGACAAGAGGGAGAGTCCGAGGAGGAGCCATTCTTGGTCTCTGGCGGCTCAGTCGAGGCGTTCAAAGTTTGCATACATTGTCGGTACACAGTCTGGAAAAATATTCAAAAGTAAATTAACAAGATCAAATGGAAGTGATGTTTGTGTTTTTAAAACCTACAGATGAGACGTCCAACGGCAGCACAAAAATAATCAAAAACGAAAAATACCAGGCGACGAGAACGGACACGGTGACAATTATGTGGTGCTTGAACCAGTTGCCATATCTGTAGTAAAATATATATTAAACAAATTTACACATAATTGATTTCTTAGTAAATTTCTTGGAATTATTTCGGACCTGTAGAGCAAGCAGGCTGCAAGGACGAAGGTGATGACCACCTCTCCAATGAGTGGTCCAAGAGACATTATTATTTTTTTTCAACAGATTGTAAATGAAAAAAAAAGATTTAATTTTTAATTGGACTCGGTTTTCGTCTGCTCGTCTCTGGCTCGCAATTCAGCTTCGCGTTGCATCTTTTCCAGTTTCTCCAGAGTGACGGTCTTCAGCGGCATCAGTTTGGGTTTGCACAGAATCAGACTGGACACGTCCTCGTAGTGCAGAAGGCCCTGTTTCGGCAGCACCGCGCTGATCCTCGACTCGTCCGACTTGCTGGCCATCACGAATCACGCGGTGCGGGCGTAAGTACGGCTCGACCGGCGCCGAATTTACGTGGAATTCGGTGAATTTGACGTTTTGCTTTTGCTGCCAAAATTTTTGCCAACGCAGCCAGCTGATCGATAAACAAATAGTTTTGGCGGTGGATTTGAAAAAGGTGGTGGATTTTCACGAAATATTTAATAATTAACATGTTTCGCTATTTTAATAAAAGCTGAATTATATTTTAAATGCATTAAATACTAATCATTATAAAATAAATGAGCAAGAAACTAAGTATCGTTAAAATACAGTATTATAAAAAGTGCCAAAAATGTATTCTTCAATTGAGCGATTGCAGCGCCGCCGCAAAACTTTCTTTTTCAACTACGTAGTAAACAGAGACGTCCAATGCGTGAGGTGCTAATAAAAAGAAAGGTCGAAGTCTTATCAAAAAATAGTGGAATGCAGCGGGACGCGTTATCAATGAGCGTCACCGAAGCTGCCTATAGGTAAATATGTAATCACGGCACACAGTCGCCGCATGACCAATGTTATCTGCAGCAGGATGAGCTTGAGCTGGCCCCAGCGATCTCTAAATTTGAGCACCTCCTTCGCAGCAGCGATTGAAAGGCAAAACCTGTAGTCACCGCAAGAGTCATGTGATCGCGACCCCCAATTGAGAAGCCTTGCAAAGTTTTTAGGTAACGCTTGAGCGACGGACCATTGAGTCGTCGTCGATCGCCTCTATGTACGTGTGATTTTACTCTGGCCAAACAAGAATTATCATCGCTTTTGTTGTTGAATTTGGATAGTGGAACCAAGCAGGAAGGAGGGCCAGAGACGCGAAGATGTGGTGCTCAAGGATTTGTGGCCAGTGGCGCCTCTGGATCCAGCCAGTGATCATGATCCTCTACGCCGTCATCCTGATCGTCGTCATTCCTTTGATAGTCAATAAAAGCATCAACAATGGTTTTTCCGCCACTGATCAGGTAATAAACAATGGAATCACAATATATTATCTTTTATTTTTAATTTTTCTATTGAAAAAGTTACTAAATATATTAAATTTCTTTTTATAAAGGAAACCACAGTATACCTCGTCTTGTTTGCTTTTAATCGCATAAATTATAAATTTAAGTAAATTCAGTAAATGTTTAATTATCTTATAATTGCAGGGCATTATTATTGGTGGTGTGTTTGTGATGATGGCGTTGCCGATCTCCTTCTGGGACATTACACAGCACCTGGCGCACTTTACCAAGCCGTACCTGCAGAAGCACATAGTACGAATCCTGTGGATGGTTCCGATCTACGCGGTGAACGCTTGGATCGGACTCGCCCTTCCGTCCGCCTCCATCTACTTCGACAGTATTCGAGAATGTTACGAGGCCTATGTGATCTACAACTTCATGAGGTACCTGCTCAACTACCTCCAAAACGAAATCGTCGACTACGAGATGTCCCTCCACAATAAAATTGAGGTGAGAAAATCTCTCCAGAATAATTCTAAGAAAGCTAAATTTTCAAAATAAAAATAAATAATGTTAATTGTTTTCATCTTTTTATTTTATGAAATTTTTAATAGAAAAGGATGTAAATAGAAGTTATGTTAAAATTTTGTCTACAAATGGAAGTTTTTCCTTTGAAATTTCAGGTGCACCACATGTTCCCATTGTGCTTCTTGGCGCCCCGAGAGAACGGCCCTGATCTCTTCCACTTCTGCAAACACGGCATCCTGCAGTACGTCATTGTGCGGCCGCTGTCCACCTTTGTCTCGTTCATCTGCGAGATCAACAACGTGTATGGCGAAGGAGTTTTCACGGCCACCGTCGCCTGGCCCTACATCATGCTGGTCAACAACTTTTCCCAGTTTGTCGCCATGTACTGTCTAGTGCTATTTTACCGCGCCAATCGGGCCGAACTTGCACCCATGCGACCCCTGGGAAAATTCCTCTGCATCAAGGCTGTTGTTTTCTTCTCATTTTTCCAGGCAAATATAAACATTTTTTTTTTTGCATCAAATTCAATGTAATAATTTCAAATTTTTTCAGGGTGTGATCATCACAATTCTGGTGTATTTTGGCGTAATCGCCGCCATCTTTGGCACAACCGACACGGAAAGCACCAAGGATGTGTCATCCAACATCCAGAACTTCTTGATCTGCATCGAGATGTTCCTGGCCGCCATTGCCCACCACTTCACCTTTTCGCACACGCCCTTCATTGATCCTGAGAGCGAGCACCGTTCGTGCTGCGAGTCCTTCCTGCACATGTGGGACGTGTCCGACGTGCAGCAGGACATTCAGGAGCACTTTGGCGTGGTGGGCAGTTCGCTGAGCAGGAGGATTCGGGGCCAGTCGTCCTACCAGGCCATCGCCACAGTGGACGCCGACGAAAGGTCAAAGTTGATTTACTCGTCGGCAAGTGATTCCGAGTCGGGCAGCCTGAGATCAAGTTACACGGTGGCCTCGAGCACAACGGAGGAACCGGCTGTGCCATATTATCACAGTTTAGCATGAGGTAATAATTTAAGACAATTAAAAAACTAAGAACTAGCTCAATACTTGCACTGAGATATATATTTTTCCCATGAAATTCTTTTATGTTTAATGAATTGATACTATGATAATTGCATAAAACTTAATTGTTTTTTTCTGCCGTTAATCACAGATTTTTTTTTTTTTTTTTTTTAAATCAATATCCCGCTTCAGTTTTAACTTTTAAAAATAGTTTTAGGTTTTTATTTCAAAGCTAAAAGTTATAAATAACATGTTTTTATATTTACAACAAACAAAATGATAAGCCATTTTTTGTTTCAATTAAACAACTGACTGGACTTGGTTTTAGAAAACAATTTCCGGCACTGTATTTTAAAGAAATTAAACTTTACATTTTGTATTTTGTCGGAAACCTCATTTGATTGACTTTGCAGTCATGAATCGATCAGTGCAAACACTAAGTCTGACCTTTGCTGCCTGAACTTTGATGCGTGACATTTCGTGCACACAAACTGGCATTTCATTACCATCCTTGATTCCGCTCCCTCACAAGCTCAGTCTTTCCTTGAGAGCCGTCTGATAAAGTCCTTTTATACTTGCATGGTACAAAAATTTTGCGATTCCTTTTTTTCCTAAAAGTAGCTCTGCTTATTGCACAAGGTTATAATAAGCTTCACTTCTATTTCCAGATGTTTGCTGACAAAGACTTTGTTAGCTCAAGCAGCCAAGATGAAGCCAGCGAGCTGCAAACGCGCCTTTTACGAGCCGACGGGGCTTTGAAAGTGACTGACATGGACACTGAAGTGCCAAACACCGACCAGGACGACCTTGAGGAAGACGTCGAGCTTCTGAGTGTGGACCTATTGAGAAACTGTGTCTTATCTGTGGGCAGTGAGGAATCAAATGAGGTCAAGGTTCACAACCGCAATGTGCTCAGTAGATTGTGGCACTTCTTCAAAGTGACGTTTTGCTTATGCTACTCGAGCAGATCCATGTGATCAGCTCTACAGAGCAAAACTTTGCAGTTGAATAATGAGTTTATTTTTTGCAACTTTTTCGGCAAGTGTACGAATAATATTCACTAACATTCTTCTCTACATTTAACTTACATAGATTTTCCACGATATTTTGTGATTTTGAAATTGTATCAAAAATTTAGTCTGAAATTTCTAATTCATCACTCCTGAATCGGATAAATTGGATATTTCCTCTTTATTTGTGCTGACTGATTCTGCATTGTCGTATTATTTTCTGTTGTACGTATTAAAATTTTTACTCTTGATCATGCGCTAATCAATAAAACAAAACTTTATATATTTATTGTAAGTTGTTGAATTTTAATTTATTTGTCTTACAATTACATAGTCTTTTCACACTTGATGACTTGCCCACAATGCAATAATTCGTTTTCCCAGCAATGTATAATTTTGTATAAGTTGTGAACACTTAGTAGTAGGACACCAACATGCACATTTAGTTTTGAAACAGTAAAATAACGACTGGCTAAATGATTTTATAAAGTGAGTGTAGAAAAAGAGACCTGCTCTTGCTAGGTTTCAAAAAGTTTGGCAGAGAGATCGATCGGATTGAACATTAAAATTTTTTTCAGTTATCCGTCAACAGCATCTGTCTTTGGGATTTCTATTGCAACTTAGGCCAATCACTACTTCTTGAGGTGTTTTTCATTAAAATGCAGACTGGAAAAAGAGGAATTCGGCGCGAGTATGCGTTTCCTTAAAGTTATTGAAAAAAAAATAACACCTCCATGTGCAATGAAAAATCAGCATCTCCGAGCGCCTGCATGTAAATAGTCAGAAGAAGTTGTTTTGTGGTTTATTGAGCATCAAAATCTGTAGCGAGCTAGATTTGATCTGCCTCAAAAGTACATGTATGCATTTAAAATGAAGAAAAACGCCGCCCCCAATTTCAAACTCGATCAGTCCTTATTCAGCACTCGGATCACAGGTCAGTCCTCAAACGGCTATGGAGAAGTCTTCGGGGGCGCCGTTGGCGCCGCTTGGCCTCGACCACAGGGACGACGAGGCGCGCAGTTTCAGCTTCTTCAGCGTGTCAATATCACATTCAGCTTCGCTCAGCTCGGAGGGGTAGGGCGGCGGCCGCAGACTTTGGTAGAAAGGAGTCTCGGCCACGTTGTGCGGCCTCAGGCCGGAAGAGGGCGTCGGCGCCCTTTGGGCCGGCCGCACGCCTGGAGTGGGCACCCCTATCCATCGGTTCCTGCCAATTAGAATTCAATGTGAGAGACGCAGTTTAGTCTGGGGTGGAAAGTTGAGGCGACAGAGAAGGGCCGTTTAATTATTTGTGACCCTTAATACATTCATGCAGGTCTGGCCATTGATGTTTTTTAGATGAACACTGATTTCATTTTTTTTTTTTTTTTTTGAAGACTCAAATTAATAAAATAATGGATTTTTGATTGAGTCTATGAAGTTTTCATGCTGCTTGTCAGGGAAGAATTGGGGAATTTTCTGAGACTGCCAAGATAATCTATAATTTTTTTGTTTGGAATGCAATAAAAGCTGCAAGCATTTAATTGTTTGCCAGTTTTGTTTGGATAGAAGTAGAGACAAATGGAAATATAACAAGCACATATTGGGAGTACAGTTAAAATTCTACCTACATACAACTATCTCAAATTTCATCTTATGCAGTCTGGAAAAGAAACAAAAAATTAAACAATCTCACAAAATTTATAGAGGACTTCTACGCAGAAATCGCTTGTATTGTTAATTAGCTATCGGGGCGGTGGGAATTAGAATTTTGAAAAACTGCTTTTTGTGAATTTTTCAGCCAATGAGGAATAAAACATAGTGATTATGCTTTCTTTACATATTTATAAATACTGAGATAGACTAACCTGTTGCCTTTTCCTCTTCGTGGTAGAGACTTTTGATCAGAGGTGGGAGACAAGTCTGAAGAGGTACTAGACGCAGCTCCATGATACATAAAATCTACAAAACGCAATTTTAATTAAAACATAAACTTCACAGAAGGTTAAGTGATTTAATTTAAATCACAAAATATTTATTTTGAATATTTTAAATTACTATGAGTTGGTCTCTGGCGACCGTCGAGCTGATTGGAAGATTCAGTCCTGCTGGAGATGACCTGGTCAGGGTCAGAGTCTGAAGGGCTGTTGTACTCTTCGCTGTCAAACCCCTTCTTGCCTTTGATCGTCAGTCTGGCAGAGTTGCCGGCTATGCTGCCCGACCGCCTCCTCTTCCCGTAAACCTTGAAAAAATGAGCGTGCGATTAACGCCTGCGAATCTCGCGAGCTATGCAACCCGCGAAGTACACGAGTCGGGCAGGCTGCTTACATTCATTACCGAGTGCGATGGGGGAGAGGCGCACCCTTCCGTTGTGGCCTGCTCGTGGTAGATGAAAGAGTGCAGGAGGCTTCCTGGAGAAGGTTGCGCGTGTCTTGGCACCGTCTCGGCCAGGTGGAAGGTCGCATATGGAGAAATATCCTCGGCGCTTTCAGGAATCTTGTCCGCCGCCTGCAGAGCTGCTTTGTGAATGGTGGCGTAGTACTGCTCCCGTTGGTGCTCCGAGTTGTGTTTGTTGTCCCGCTCATCCTGACACTCTTTGCCACCCTGAGGGTCACCTTCTGAAAATAATTTTAATTTCCAGGGAAAATATTATATTAAAAATAGATAAATGAAAACTCACTGTTTTTCCAACACAAGCAAAAGGCGACTGCTGCACTGATCACTGCCAAAAACGCGGCCAAAAGAGGAAGCACGATTTTCATTTCTGTGTAAAATGGTTTCTGGCCCATGTTCTTTTGAATCAGTTCTGGCGACGCCATTTCTGTAACATGGAAATTGAAATCTGACGTAAATTAAGTAATTACATGAATATACCTCCTTCTAAAGTGAGAGTGGTGAAAGAAAATTCATTTGCTGACTGGCCAGCAACATTGAAGGCAACGACTTTCAGGTCGTACATGGTTGCAGGTGACAAACCAAAAATCAGGTGCCTCCGCTGAAGGTGCTGCATGTTTCCTAAAACTGCTTTTCAAGAACCAAAATTGTAATTGATTTTAAATCAGACAAAAAAAGCACCTGTGTTCCAGTGGTCCGAGCCTGCCTGTTTGTAAAAGAGTTCAAATTTACTGAGTGGACAGCCACCGTCTGGCCAGTTGTGCAGACGCACTAAAACTGAGGTAGAATTTGATTGGACAATTTGACTGTTGGCTGAGAGCGGTGGACGGCCAGGGACGCTACCCTGAGTGCGCACTGTCACTTGAGAGGAGGCAGGACTACTGCCCACGAGTCCATGAGCGGTCAAGAAAATCTGGTACTCGCTTCCGCAACGCAAGTCCTTTTAAATAAATCATTATTATTTTCACATATTTTAAATTTACAGTTAAAATAACCTTTAATTCATAAGTGTTAATGTATCTTGGCAGTGATAATTCTTCCCAGTCACCATTTGTGGGTCGGAAGTGCAGAGAAAAGCCAGTCAGAGGTGCTCCACCTGTGTCTCCAGCCTTCCAGTGCAAAACGACACTGCTGGAGGTGCTTCCACTGATGTAAAGACTCGGAGCAGCCGGTGGAACTAATTTTTAATTTTAATTAAATCAAAACGTTGTAATTTTTATTTAGTAGGAACCTTGGACTGTTATTTTGTACAGAATCCGGTCTGCGCCCTCAGAATTATGAACGTGACAGCTGTAGTTTCCCTCGTCGTCCCTGGTAATGCTGTCAATTCTAAGAGCCCCTGAATCTGTGATGTAGGCCCTTGATGCCTCATCTCTGGACAGCAGACTGTTCCCTTTTGACCATTCCCGACTGAATGTAGGCAGCCCGACGGCAATGCACGGCAAAGTGACAGACGTCCGCCACGGCTGGATGATTTGCTGACCAAAGGATGCAATTTTGGCAGGAACTAAAAATAATAATAAATTTAGTAATTAATAAAAAATAATATTGATTTAGAGCAAAAAAAAAAAAACTTACCTCTGCCACTTGGCACGGATGAAACAATTCTTGAGCCAGGTCCATCACCTACTCTGGTTGATGCGCTGACCCAAAACTGGTACTCAACGCCTGTCCTGAGGCCATTCAGCTCAAAACTGTTTGCTCCCGGAGGCAGCGCTCTAGGCGAAGGCTGCATATCCGACGGAGCCTAAGAAGGATTATAAAAATTAATCTTTAATTTTATTAGTCACAGATTTACCTGTTGAGACCCTGGGAGAAGCAGTCTGGTGTGCAGAGTGTAGCCTGTGATTGAGCCTCTGGGAGTGGATGGGGGCAGCCATGAAACCAGCAGGGTCTGAGGACCGCTTGCTATCACTTTAATATCTCTAGGAGCACCAGGAACTGAGGAAAAATTGTTTTGTAATTATTTAATAAAATAAGGTATAATAAAATACCATCCTCGGCCGTCTTGCAATAAATTGGCCTGCAAAGCGGTCCGTCTCCAATTCCAGTGATTGCTGCCACTTGCACGGTATAATTTGAGTGCCTGGCCAGACCCTGAAGCACGATTGTCAGGGCGGTCGTTTGCCTGCTCTCAGGTGCCGACGACGCGTGGGTGCTGGCCAGCTCGGCAAGTTCGTAAATCAGTTTATAGCCCTGAAGAAGGCCATGAATGTTGGCGGAGGGAGGTGGTTGCCATGAAACCTGAATGGATTGGGGGGAAAGGGCCACGCAACGAACGTCCTGAGGAGGCTTTGAGGGAACTGAAGAAAATTTTAATATTTAATTTTTCATCAGTTTACTTGAGCTTTTTAATATAACCATCTTCCAATGTTGTGGCTGCCACGGGTTCTGATAGAGGTCCCGCGCCTTCCTGATTGATGGCCTGGACCACAACCAGGTAGCGACTGAATTTCCTCAGGTTTGAGACGAGCAAGGTTCCACGACCTTCCTCCGTATCAACAGGCACCGAAGTGAAGTTGAAGCCGTTTGAAGCACCACTTTTAAATTTGCAAGGTTTGAAACGCGATTAAAAATTACTAAGCTTGAATACCTGGCTAACTTTACTCCTACGTTGTACCCTGAGATGGTGCCATGTTGCAGTTCCTGGCGTGGAGGGGACCACGAAATAACCACAGTTGTAGATGAGAGGGCAGTGACGCTGACCTGTAGGGGAGGACCTGCAGGCTTCTGGGCCTGAGTTGTAAACCTGAGGTCAGGGCTTGGCGCACTGCGTCCGGCAGGACCCTGAGCAGTTACCCTGACGATATACCTGAAACAAACGAAATTTCCTGAATTATATTTTTATTTATAAAAAAATTATATTACCTTGTGGCAGGTTGTAGGGGCTCAAGGACTATGCTATGTGCGCCTCCTGAGACCGTGTTGACCCTGGCCTGGTCCCAGGGAATGCCCTCCTGGAGGTATTGAACAAAGTACTGAGTCACGTCTCCCGCTGACCCCGGCTTCCATTGGACACTAGACGAGCGACTGCTCACCATGATCATTTCCACAGCATTCGGACTTGCCGGTGGCTCTGCAAAAACAGAAAAACATTAAAGAAAAAGTAAAGTTGCTAGACGCAATTTCTTAAAGTCAAGAATCACAATTAAGGAAGGAAATCGATTGCCAAGGGTTGGCTCCTTTTGCGCGGGGGGGAAAAAGAAATAAGTCCGTGAGCCACAAAAGCCTGTGTTTTATTGGCTTGGTTAGAAATAAACACACTTTGCCAGAGAGCAAAGAGAAACGAGCGAGATTAAAGAGAGCAAATAATGCGGTTTCTTTTTAATCCGCTGGAATGAAAGGCAAGTCTTAATTAAGTCAACTCCTCCATCTGTCTCTCCTCTTTTTTCACTTTATTTCGCGTCTCATTCTGGAGACAAAATAAACCCCGCTTAATCCTCCAACGCCGAACCAAAATTTATTTCCAGCATACCTTGCACGGCGAGCTGCACCAGTTGTTGGTCCCGGCCGTATACGTTTGTGGCCTGGCAGTAGTACGAACCGGCGTCCGACCCTTCGGCAGACATGATTTGAAGGGTGAACGACACCCCTGAGGGAATCATCTCTTGCTTCGTATTATACCTGCAAAAAAAAAATTATTTTTAGGTGAGGCCAAACCAAGCGTATTATTAAAATTTTCATTTCATTAATTATTTTTTTGATTTCAAAAAATCTCACCTGTAATTGCTTGAGGCCGCGACGATTTCCTTTCCTTTGAGCCAGACAACATTGATAGGCGCGTCGCCACTCACGTCGCACTTCAGTTCTGCGGTCTCGCCCTTCCTGACTGACACTAGCTTGGACTGGACGGCGAAATATGGGGCCGCTGCAGAGAAAATAAACTCTTCTATAAATTTTTTAATAAATAATAACCCCATGGGCTTTGAAATTCCAGTTTGAATTTATTATATGAACCCCCAAAAGAAAAGAGAAGACATATATTTGGGCAAATTGCGTGCGAAGGGCGACTGCACTCACAGTTGACGTGCAGCTGGATCACTTTGCCAATTCCCTCGCCGATCCCGTTGCTGGCCTGGCACAGGTAGAAGCCCTCATGGTCCTCTTTCACGTGCTGCAGCAAAAGCGAACCGTTGCTAAGCAGCTTGTATTGGGCGCCCCACGTAGACGAGCCGCCTCGCAGCTCTTCGTAATCGCCAGATTTGCTACCTATAAGCAGCATCATTAGAGGAAAAATCAGTGCACACACTTGCCATTTGCGATTTGTTATTGGTTGGGCTTCCACCCCAAGGGTTTCGCGTTTGCGGCAAATCCTTTTAATCTGTCCGCTCGTCATAATGAGAGAGGATCGGATTTGGGGAAAAAAACCTCTACTAATATCAGGGCAGTTTGAAGCCCATATAAAAAAAAAAATGGAAATCGCATCTGTATTATAGAGAGGGGATTTATTTTCGGTTTTTACATCGGTTTGACCTCTTAAAATATTTTTTAAAAGATCTGTGATTTTTTTCATGAATTAATCGATATGAATTCATTACACAACACATGCACAACTAAAAACTGGCAAATTTTGGAGAAACCATTTTCCCGTCACTGTTAAGTTTTTAAATTGAAATATCAACAGAACAAATTTTCTAAAAATGATTTCCTTTTTTTAAAACATTCTTCAAACTTATAAAGTGCTTTAAATGTCAAATTTTTTCTCAACAAAAACCTCCATTTCACATTTTCCTCTACTTGAAATTTTTCTGCCTAATCTGATTATCACAGATTTAATGAAATAATAAATGCTTATAATTTAAACAGAGCCATTTTTTTGAGCAATGAAAATTTTGCAGCTCACACGTCTGCATATGGTTGGGTGGTTGGAAAGCGGCTGAAAATGGATTGACAATAAAGGGAAACAGACCTCTGGCCTTTTTCCAAGTGACGGTGGGAGTGGGCACGCCGTCTGCCTGGCACTGGATCATGACGTGCCGACCCCTCGGAGCGTTCGTGTCCACCGGCTCGACCACCCATTTGGGAGGAACTGCAAATCAATCTGCGGTCACAAGTCTGGCAAACGTTCTCTCATATTTATTCGCGTCGGGTTTTTTTTTTCGTTCTTTTTGTATTTTTAAAGCCATTATTTTTAAACGGGAAATGACGTTTATATACTTTTATATGCTCGAATGTTTTGGCACGATTATTTACAGGGTTTTGGTTGATATATTTACAGAGTTTATATTTTACAAAGGTTTGTTCAGAGACAAATATATATAAAAAAGGTGCAGGCTTATCGAAAAGTAGTGTGCAGAAAACGCATGCCAAAAGAGAAAAGATCGTCATGCGCAAGAGGAGATAGTTGTGAAGTGTAAAGAGAAAGAGGATGCACTGCTTTTAATATAATTTTAAAGATATTTATGTAAAATTACTTCAAAGTAGGTAGGAAACAGTGAGAGAATATATTAATATATAAAAAGTGCCATGCAAATAGAGTTACATAATAATTACTGTTTCTTACGCGTAGTTTACCTGTCTGTTTATCAAACCACCTCGTATAGGATTTTTGGGTTTTTTGTGTCAAATCAATGTGTGAGATTAAATCAACATACGTTTATAGATTTTGGCGGAAATTTAATCTGCTCTAGATTTGTTGGCGGAAATTACATTCATTCAGCTCGTTCTTATAGACTGATGTGTATGTCAAGTCAGAAACCAAAAGACCACACAGATCAGCTAGTCTAGAGAAAATAACCAAAGAGTGAAGTAACAACGCATTCGTTAGAGTTTGAAATTTCTGGAGAAAAACGAACGTCGTATGTATTGAGAAATGAAAACAATATGTCCACAGCTAGAACTGGACTGTGTGTGTAATTTCCAAAGTTGTTCGGGAAGAGTGATAGTATTATTTTAAATTGTTTAGTTCAACTGATTTAAGTTAAGACATTTCACAGCAACCATTATACTAAATCTACTTTAGTTGTCACACTGCATTAATTCTTTTAGTTTGTTTAAGAGAGCGACGGCTGAGAAAAGAGCACCATGAACAAAAGATTGTTTTTGGTTTATAGTAATAGTATACAAAGTTTTTTTTTTAAATTATAGCTCGTAGATATTTATAATAGATTATTATTCATATTTACGACTGATATTTTTATTTATTAAAATTTATTAAATGGAGGGATTCATAGAGGAGTATTCCATTAGCACGCTTTTAGTAACTATGCATCTCATTTGCCTACTTTCGAAAGTAGGATGTTTTACAAGTAACTAATCTTTAAATAAAATGACTAAATTTAATAATTTATTATACAACCCTTTTTTGTCTTTTGAATAAATTTCTCAGGACAAGATTTTATTTGAATTTAAAATCTGGACATTTTTTTAATTAAATGAAATAAAAATCATTACTCAAAAATGAAAAAGTATTATTTTTTACTTTGAAAATTTCAGATTTCAGACTGTGCTTTCAAATTGACGTTGCTGAAATTAATTTATCACAAACGCCTTGATTGTGGGTGGCAGCCGGTCTTCCATTAGAACGCAATCAAAAAGCGTAAAGCGTGCAGCGCGAGACGAGAACTCCTCGGAGACCCTGCCGTGCTAATGAAATTAAACCTCGCTCTTTTGATTCAGAGCCCAATTTCGGCGTTTGATGGGGGAGCGCTAATCAGGCCAGCGCGAAATTGGATTCTGAAAGAGCGCCCTTTTCTCAGCGAGCATAGAAGAAATAGTTTCTCGCGTTGGAATTTTAGTGTGGCCACCGTACTGGTTGGTCTCTCTCGTTATTCGCAGTTGCAATTACCTTTGACGCTCAAAGTGGCCGTGAATCTGACTACCGCAGCCAGGTTGGAGGCAACGCAAGTGTAATCGCCCGAGTGTTGAGCGACGAGTTGTTTGATATTGAGCAAGCTAGAGAAGGAGTCAAGGGTGGACACGTTGACTAGATTGTCATTGGCAATGGGAGCACCGTCTTTGAGCCAAGTAACGGAAATGGGCGGATCGCCGCTCGACACCCCGCAAATGGTGCGCGTCCGCATGCCCTCGGACAGGCCCTCTTGGAACGAGAACGGCTCAATGCTCGGCGGAACTGCCAAATCCAAGCGTTAATCAAACACAAGAGCACCAACACCAAAGTAAAAAAACAAAAACATAATTCTTTCTTTCACTCCAAGTCAAACCTGTTGTGCTTCTCGGCAGCCTCTGCTTCTCCTCTCAGGCCTAGTGGAAGTTTTTTTTTGTCAGAGGCGAAAGTGGAAAATATATAGATCAAAAACGGCATGGCAAGCAACGGGAGGAGTTTTTTTTTCACTGACTTAATTACAAGCTCAGGTACCGCGGCCTACTTGGAAAAAAATTCAATTTATTTCTCATTCCCGGAAATTACATTTTTCTCCTTTCCTTCCAAGAGGAAAATTGAGATTTTTCGTGTATTATTTTTTTTTCCAAGTACGCCGCGGGGGTGACAATGCAAAAAATGCAGCATACAGTAAATAATCGGCGTGTTCAGACGAACCGCACTGACCCAAAATATAATGTTCGATAATATGTATGTATAGTAATTACACGAACAGTAATGATAAAATATACAATAGCAAAAAACAGCAGGCCATGACAAGAACGGTAGAGAAAATCACTGGCAATGAATATATGTAAAATGGTATTATATTTATAAAAGTATGGCAGCAGACACACACAAATGAATCGAAAACAGATGCATGTAGACTGTACAACAGATGAGACTGTACAGCGCGGGTGGCGGAAAAGGGCCTCCGGGGGGTGTTATAGCATGTGGGGTGGAGAGGGCGGAAAATTGACAAAAAGTATATATCAGATTTCGCGAATCGTATTTGCGTTCTAGGCTGGCTGGTTGACAGTTTCGAGCTGAATAAAAAAAAGGGCAATTTGCTTTGAAGTTCAAATTCACAAATCAATCAATAAAATAAGAAGGAATGCAAGAAAACTTGGAAAACAGTTGTGATGGAAGTGAAAATAAGTTTTTTTTAAATTGACAATTGCAAAATAATAATAAAAATGGAACAACAAACTTACAGCCCATCTGATTTAATTTTTGTTATTTGCTTTCCTTTCAATTAATTTTATCTTGAAAATATGTTTTAAATTAAATTGACCTTAACGAAATAGAAATCAAATGTCTTATTAAATATAAGCGAGCTTCTAATCGTTTGCAAATATTTGGGTACAAGAACGTTTTTGAGACAAAAAGTTGTTTTTTATTTTTTAGCCACAAAAAGTCATGAATTGGTAAATTTTGCAAGAATCCTACAAGTCTTCAATCAATCGACATCCTGAGTTTTGGAAATAATTTTTATGCGAAATTGTTTTTTCATTCTTCAGGATAAAAAATTGCACAATTTACTATAAATGAATTATGCTACTTTCTTTGTCACCCCATATCAGGATTATTATGCTCTTTTATATTTGAATTTAATGAAACAAAAAAATATTTAGTTAGCTGAGAAAGCGTTCAAAAGTTACGTAATCTCCATTTCCAAGAAAAATTCAATAATTTGGTTCCTATTTTACTTGAAAATTTGTCAACCAGCAGCGATAGTCGATTTTGTTCAGAGTTTGGACGTTTCGGTTTGCTGCTCGCGCGGGTGTTTTTAACTTTTTACCATTGACTGTGATTCTCTGTGTGTGGGTGACGGTGCTGGCCTGGTTGCTGGCGCGGCACGAATAGTTGCCGTTGTGCTCCGGCGAGAGGCTCTCGATCAGCAGGATGCTGTTAAACGGATCCACCTGATTAATAGACACAGTGGAGGGCGAAAGGGTGCTTCCGTCGCGCAGCCAGGTGATGACCAGGGGCGGGTCGCCGCGCACCACCGAGCACGTCAGGGTGGCTCGTTCGCCCAGATGGAAACTCCGCTCCACCGAGAAGGGGCTAATTTTTGGCGGGACTGCAAACGACACACGCACACACAAACACGTAAGGCATTATTATTACTATTCATTTTTTTTTATCTCAATTTGAATCCTCGCCAACATGTATAAAAATTCAATTCTTCTCTTCTCTCGCCCTGAAAAAAAAAGAAGTCCGAGTCTTTTCTCCGAATTCGCCGATTGGCACGCAAACGTGAGAGGAAAAAGTAAAGCTGACCGCCTGGCCGCGTGGAAAAGCGGAAATTCAATAAGGCAATCAGTGAACCCGCCAAGGAATAATAAATGTCGCGATGAAACGCCCATTACGACCGAGGGAACTGGCGCTCGGCCAGACTGCCCGCAATTAATGGCCACGTTCAAAGGTATTAAACGTTTTCGCCTGTTCCTTCCAACAGGGTTACGTAAGATAGTCATTTTCTCCTCAAAAGTGCATAGAAAAATGTTGAAAATAATACTATAAAAATAATATGGAGTAACATAAATTACGGTACAGGTCAAAGCTCCGCTTAGTTTAAACCCAATTAAGAAAAAAATTATTGGAACTTAATTAAATAAACACTTTCAACTTTCAAGGACCAGAAATTCATTTTTTTTTTTTATTGTGGAAAGTTGAAAGATTCAAATAAACATTAAATTTATATTTATATGAGAAATTTCCACTATCTGTAATTTTAAATAGCAAACCTTCAATGTGTTCCTAACTTAAAACTCACTTTTAGGAATATTTGTTTTGTAATAAAAGAAATTATTCATACAATGCATACTGTATAAATTTGGATTATTTTCCCCATCCCTAGCCGCGATTTTTCGCTTGAAAACCACAATAGATCGCCACTGAATCAACTCAAAGCCGCGGAAAAGAGGAACAAAAGGCGTGAAATGCGATTTTGCGGCCAGTCTCCACACAGCAGCGCGCATTGAATTCATTAAATTACACCCACTGCAGGCGATACTTTTTCCGGCGGAATAAATTTCGCGCAAAATTCCGTCCACGCGACGCTTTTTTGCCTCGACCGCATTAATATTTTGCCAAAACAAACAACGCGTTGTCTTTTCTTGACGCATAAAAAAGAAAGTGCGCGCCGTAAAATCACTTTTATCGCTGCCAGGAAATTAATAAAAAAAAATCGCACGCTTGATTGACTCGGCAAATGGGTTTCCATTAATATTTATGAGCGGAGAAAAAACTCGGACGGGGTGTCACTTCGGCGGCTCGAAATCGACTTGAGCATCGAAAAACAATTAGCTGCGAGGGAAAAATAAAGGGAGACACTCACCGATCACGGTGATTTCGCCGTTGCGACGGGAGCTGTGGCCCTGCTTGTTGCGCGCCGTGCACGTGTACATGCCGGCGTCCGTCGGTTTCTGCACGTGTCTGATGGCCAAGGTGCCGTTCGGGAACACCTTCTGCCGCAAGTCCACCGGCAGCTCACGACCATCTGCTCAAATTAAAATTTTGTCTAAATTGTTTTGCATAAAATAGTGGTCGAAAAAAATCATCATAATTATGATTAGGACCACATATAATCATTTCAATAAAAAAGTTGATCATTAAATTAATTATAAAATTTAATTAGATAAAGTAACAATATTTTTAGTTTATCATTGCACTTACTTATTAACCAGTATTACTTATTTAACCAGTTTTAACGTGATTTAACTCGTAGTGTAAACTTTTTTTGATAAATTTAATCCTAGAAATTTTGTCTAAAATTTGGCAACAGAAACGATGGGGTAGCATAAAATTTTTTATAGCAGTTTGCAATAGTAAAAAGATTTAAAAAATATAAATGTTTGTAAACTTCGCTAATATATACAATTAATTTTAATTATAGTCATGGAAAATTTTAATGATTAAACGTCCTTATAAAAGTGACCAGTTTTTGACGTTTGAATAAGATTTAAATTAATTTGTATATTAAATGCACAATAACTCCAAAGTGTTGATATGTAAACTGATGAACCCAAAAATTAGCAGAAAGAGAATAAAAAAAGAAACTTTTCATTGTTTTTTTTTTTTTTTTTTCTTTTTGCAACACTTGGAAGATTGAAAAATTTTAGCAAGCCGTGGAGGCAACTCACTGCGCTCCCAGCGGATGTCCTCGATGGGGTATCCGGCGACGGGGCACTTGATGTAGAGGGTCTCGCCGGCGACGGCCGTCACCTTGGGCATGGGCCGCACGTACGGCAGGCCGTAGACGTTGAGGCGCGCAGCGTGCGACGCTCCGCCCGCGCGGTTTTTCGCCGAGCACGAGTACTCGCCGCCGTCCTCCACAGCCACGTGACTGATGTTGATGTGGCTGATCACGTCGCCGTGCACCGTCACGTACTGCCCAATGTGGATCCTGCACACACACAACCCTTCCATTCAAGTCTAATTTATACAAGCACGGGCCAATCTCCGGAGGGCAGAAAAGTTAAAAAGGGATTTGGTTAAAGATAAAACTTTATGGCAAATCGTATAATTTCTAGTCTCCATGTATATTTTTTAATTATTTAAATTTTAATGCTACGACAAAAAAGTTTGACTATTATTATTTTTTTTTTTTTAAACAAGAAAACTCATTTTATGAATTAAAGTTTCTAGTTAATATCGCTAAAATAATAGAAATTTATGGATACTGGTAAATTTTTTACAGGGGCGTATATTTTCCAGTTTTTTTAGAAAAAATATATTTGCTTAAATTCTGAGAATTTAGGTCAACTGTGCAGATTAAAGATAAATAAAGCAAATCCATTATGTACATATTGAATCAGCAAATGTCATTAGTCTAATTAATGCAAACACCGCCGAACCTGTTTGCAATGTCTGTTGGTGGCAGAGCGAATCCGTCCAGTCTCCATTCGATGCTTGGCGTTGGATTACCTGCAGCGCTGCATTTCAATGAAACGGACGGCCCCGGCTGCATTGTTTGCTCGATGAAGCTGTACAGAAGCGACGGAGGTGCGTCTGTAATTATATTATTACAAAACCGATTATAATTAATTAAAAATCATTTCAAATTTTAAGCGTCATAAAAACTTTAGAGTATTATTCACCATTATTTTGATTTTCACATGTTTTTATTACTGCAAGTGCTAACCAGTGCATACCAATTAAACAAAAAAACGCAAACAAAGAGGAAACCGAGGAGGTTCATAGCCCTTTTATTGTTACGAATCTGTTGCGAATATTTTTTATTATACCGCCGTGTCATGAGTCCCCCTCCCAATCAGCTCGACCACAATTAGCTTTTTTTAAATGAATTTATTATCAAATTTCATTTTTCGATTGAAAATTTTAATAAAGGAAGGAGCAGTGGAGGAGGCTGCGCGTGTTGTTTTTCGCGGGCGTTGGTGTTTTTTTTTTTTTTAAACGAATCCCCTCTCCTCCTCGGATGCTGGATGCTCCATACGCGGGAGGTGATCACAGGTACAGCTGATCAGGTGAACAAAAAATACAAGGTATACACTAAGACGAAAGATGCGGCCTGAGTTGTGCCGACTTTGCGAGAAGCCGGCGGCCGACGGCGGATACCGAGCGGCCGAATTGGACAAGGAGAAATTGGCCGAATGGTGTTTGAATTACTTAGGCACGACTTTGGCCGAAGAAGTGAAAGACAATGACCTCTTTTGCTACTTTTGCGTTTGGGACGCCAGGTATGAGATAATTTTTATAAAAGATCCTAAAATTTAATTGCGGAACATTATTATTTTATATTTTCAATTATATTGATCTTAATTATTTAAAAATTGACTATTCATGTTATATTTAATTAAAAATTACCAAAAAATAAAGTGTTGAATTTCGTTACGTTAGCGCGTTACCAATTTTATAATTTTAGATTTCAATATGAGAACGAGAAAAATCATGGATTAATTTGCGGACAAAGTAATTTGAACCTATGCTGGTGGCTTCAGAAAGATGTGGGAAGAAATATTCGTATCTTGTTTGAGAATTACGAAGGTGAGCAAAATTAAAAAAAAATGTTTTGAATACAAAAATTGAATTATGATTTAAGCTGGAATGGTGCAGCAGTGCTGGGTTCCTTTGAAAAATATGGATAACAAGCAGAAAACAAGAAATGCAAGTAATACTAATGCTGAAGAAAAGGTCGAACCAAATAGCTCATACAAAAAATGCTGCTATTGCAGCAAACTTAATATTCCAAAAACAGAGTGGACGAAACATATAAAAAATGAACATGCAAATGTTGCAATCAAATGTAATTATCGCAAGGACTGTGTCTCTTACTTCAAAAATGTAGAGGAGAGGGACGCTCATGTAAAAGAATTTCATTTGAAACCAAAAGTAGAAATCCTCTATGATTGCATTTATTGTCCTTTAAAGCGTTTCAAGCACAGGAGTTTTTTAAGACATGTAAAATCAAACCATCAAAATGTAGCCATCAGGTGCGTTAATTCAAAGTGTACCATGTTTTTCAAAACGCAGGCAGATTTGGATTTGCATTTTAGCTCAAAACACAAGAGCATTGAGCAAAGGAAAAAGTTCAAGTGTCCATCATGTGATTACAGAGCTTTACATAAGACACACATTGCACACCACATGTACAAAAAACATCAAATCACAGAAAAAATTAATAAGTGTCCCGACTGTCCAAAACAATTCTCAAGCCACGTGCTTATGAATCGTCACATGAGTCAAATTCACAAATTTAGAACGTGCCCCGCATGTAATCTAAAAATTCCAATGTCCGTTTTTTTCCATCATTTTACAAAAAAATCTTGCGGGAAATGCAAAAAGGAATTTGATTGTTCAATGTCGCGAAAAGATCATGAAAATTTATGCAAGCTCAAATGCGACATATGCTTGCAAGTTTTCAACAAAAGATTTCAGTTGAGGTACCATAAAAAACGTGTACATTTACTTCAGTAAGAAATGCATGTGAGATCTACTGAAAACAAATGCTAACAAGTCTTTTCAAGAATTTTATGCGTTTATTTCATGGTACTAGATTTTGAAATACTATTGTTGAGCAATTTCGCATGACTATATTGTAGTTCGGTGGGAATTTTTTTTTTTTTTTTTTTTTTTTTTGAGGGAAGACATCTTTATATACTTTCATTACTTGTTGTTCATTGTTTTCTTTCTTATCTATTACTATTGATAGTGTTTTCTTATGGTTGATTATACTTCGTCTGATTTTTTTATGTAGAGTGTGTAAAAATGAATGGAGAGTAAAGAGATCGCTGCACTTTGGAACACAAATAGCATTTCATTAACATTTTTTCCAATTATTGTCATTTTTCCTATTAAATTTACGTTCAATGAATTTATAAAAGTATTTTATAAATAGAAATAAAATGACAGTATATAGTATCATTTTTGAAAAATAAAAAAATAAAATAATATAAATTCATGGTGATTTGAATGAATCAACCCTCGATTGTGAAATTCTACCACAAAAATAATATAAATTCAGCTTTAAAGATAATTATAGAAAATATAATTATATTATTTATTTATTCATAATTATAATAAAAAACTTCTGTGGAGTTGCGTAAGTTTGTCAATAAGTTAGTTAAAGATTCAAGGAAAAAGGTTTTTAAATTTGAAAAAATTTATTAAGAAATTGTGCCTGCCTATTTTACCATCCATTATGTGTTGCTGTTTGGTGCAAAAAAATCATATCCCTCCCCCCACCAGCCGGAAAAAAGGCATTTTTAACATAAAAACCGCTCGTTATTGAACAAATAAATGTGAAACTTGAAAAATTTCTTACCTCCCAAAGTGAGTTCGGCGGCGGCCTGGGCGGTGACGCCCTCATCAGATCGCGCCACGCACTGGTACATGCCCTTGTCCTCCCTTCGTACTGGCCGCACCAACAATCGGCGGCCAGTGCCACCGGCCACGAGGCGGCCATCCTTGAGCCAAGTGATTCCGGCCACGGCCTCCTCCGGTCCAGCGTCGCAGTGGAACTCGGCAGTGGCGCCCAACTCGACGGTCTGCACCCCTGGCGAAAGGTTAACCCTGAGCGGGGTGCTGACGACCAGACGCAGCTCCGCCCCCGCCGCCCCCGCAGAGTTGTTGGCCGAGCAGCGGTACATTCCTGCGTCCTCGGGGCCGGCGCCCTCCAGGGCCAGCAGAGGCCCGATGGCGCGCGCCCTGCCTCCCACTTCACCTGACGGAATTGACAGGGGCTGACGACCTGAAGTTGGTATGCGATACCACCTGAAACAAAAACGTAATGGTTCACCAGGAATATTTTCCAAAAAGTCCTAGATCTAAGTGTAAAAACTAATATAATTATTGTAAATCTTGTAAAGATCCATTGCTTATTTTGTAGAATTTTGAACATTATAACTTTTAATGAAGTAAAAACAATTTTGAAAGATGGTCAAAGTAGCATAAATGGCTTCAGACTGAAAAAGGTTCAATAAGCTGATTTGAAGCATAATTGAAACCCTTAAAAGGATTAATACTTTAATAAAAAAAATGCAGTAGCTGCTTTAGTTAATTGAATTTTAATGCTTACACTTAAATATTTCTATGAGGATAGAATTAATATTTAATTTTACATTTCAAACTACACGGAGTCAATTTATGCAGAAAGGTACTTTTTTTTAGAACAAAATGAATGACTGCGGCCAACTAATCCCTAAACACCTTCCCCCAATTATAATGCCACATTTCTGGGGGAGCAAATAGCTCATGTGGGAGAAGTTTGGCGTAAAAAATTAACGTCGATGGGCACGAAAAAAAGGAGGAACGGCGGTCGTGGCGAAAAGTAATTGGTTTAAAAGTTGGTTTGACTAATGGCCTGCATTCTAATGTGAATTTACGCCGGTGAAAAAAGCGGCTTATTAAGCACAATACGTGTGCACGCGTCGGCGAAAAAGTTTTCGGAAGGCTCCTTCATTAGCTTCCATTAATAAGTTATGCAAGCGGCTTGTCACGCCTGCTTAGCAAAAAGCCTAACTTTCGCTGCCGACATTCCGGCGGCGCGTAATTGGACAGTTTGTGTTAAATTACAAGCGAGGCCCCTTGAAAATTTCATCTGAGCTCGAGTAGGCTCGCTCTTGAACCCCCGCCGTCATAAATAATCCTCCAGCCCTATAATTACATGATAAAAATTTAATTAGAGTCACAACAAAAAGATGGCTGGCGGGCCTGAGTGGGTGGGCGCGAGGGTGGGGGCGCCTCTCTTGTTCTCCACCCTTTCGATCCGCATGCAAATTGATTAAAAAAAGGGCCGCCCTCCGCTGTAATTTAATGAGCCGCCGTGCATAAAATTTCAGATGCATCATCAACTGATCGATATTCGCTGGCGTCGCCACTCGCTTGACATCTCCTTTTTGTCTCGTTCTGCGCGTCGTTTAAATTTATAACCGAGGCCCGCCGCTGGGAAAATAAATTCAGATAAGATCTATTGCAACGACGGTTCATTTTCGGCGTCTTTTCGTACTTCAAGGAAAAAGCGTACAGCTTCATTATTTCCTTTGACTCGTCTTGTTTTCAGTTTTTGATCAAAGAAAAAGGGTAATTTTTCTTTGTCTGCGACTCTTTCAACCTTTCGCACAAAGTCGTCATTAAAAAAGGACTGATAAACAAAAAAAGACACTTTCTAAGAAAAATATTGTTAACCTACTTTATAAATGGAGCGGGGCTCGTAGAAGGGACCTGTTTTCCCTCAACATTGATTATTTTGTTCCAAAAAATTATATTTCCAATTATTATTCGAGATACAATTTTGAAAAGCAATGAAAAGCAATGGATTTAATTATCATAAAAAGTAAAATTTTTTTTACACAAACCTTACGTTCATTTTAATTTTTAAATTTTTTTGTGAATTAAATTGGCAGAACAAAGTCAGTGCCGTCTAGCCTGTCTACATAAGACACAAAATGAAGATCGTTGAAGTTGGCACTTTTGTATTACCGCTTAAACAAAAAAAGGGTGAAGAAGATTAATAAATTTGAACCACTTTATTTTCTTCTATCCTAGGTGAATGAATCAGCTTATTTTGGTGATAGAGTTTAATGAAAAATCTAGGAAAATCATTATTTGATTTTTGTATTACTTTTCTAAAAAGCAACAACCTGACTCAGCACCTAAAATGAATTATTAATAATAAAAAGATAAAATAAGATATAAATTATATAATTTATCATTTTTAAATTTGAAGAGAAATTGGAATATATATGTAATATTTTAATTTAATAATTTAATTTTTAAAATCACATTAAATAATATTATTGAAAAAATTAAATCAAGGACTACAATTTGTTTCCATTAATGTAATTTTTTACAAATCAAAAATAAATAACTGATTTAAAATTAAATTAAAAAAAAAAAAATATATATTTCGCTTTATTAATATTTTTAAAAATATCTTACGCTAAAACGTCTCCTGTCTCCTTATTTACCAGTTAAGAAATTAATTTTTTAACTTTGAAAAACTGTATATTACTCAAAAAGTTCCTTTTTTATTGCTATATGGATGCCAAACAAAAAAGCGCCAGTTTTTCCGCATCCAGAGCTTTCCCTCATCTCTTTGGCGTGTGTTTTTATTTTGCAAACCCGGCAGTTCTTTGAAAGTTGAAATTTCAATATCGCGCAAAGAGGTTGAGAGCGAGGGAAAAAACTGCGCGCACCAGATTCTAATTTCAAAGCCAAATTAAGATCGATACTCGCGTCGTGACAGAGCGGAGGGAAAAGCTGTCTCCAGTCTGGCAGCGCAAACACAAGCGAAAAAGAGAGATTCCGCCTGCTTTCAATATCCATCGCTGTGTTGATGTATCAAAATATATATATAACGTATAAGGGAGGGCATATTGGAGAACTTTGCAATGTAAACAAAGCCTTCTTCTTTCTCATTGATCGCATTTGACGCTTAAGATTTTCCCTCTTTTTTTCAAACTGCGTTCAGGGTTTTGACAATTGGAGAAAGAGGCTATTTAAGAAGTGGCCCTCGTAAAGCAGCCAAAGGAGAGCGAAGTGCAGTGGCTGGTGTAAAATTTTATTGCTCACGCTCGGCTGCATTTCAATCACACGCTCAATTTTGCTTATTTACAAACGGCTCAAGATGTTGCCCGAGCACAATAACCGCACGGCAAATTGATTTTCCATTGATTGCCGCATGGAGCGGAAAATGCGCGCCGAGAAAAGTGCTTGCCAGCACCAAACCGAGCCTCTGTCACACGTGGTTTAGCACACATCTTATTCAAGCAATTTTGCTTTGTGCTGTGATTTCAAAACATAAATTATTCAAACTAAAATCCGATAGGAATTTTGAAATATTGATAGTAAATTTTAAATGTAATATTTTTATTTTTCAAAATAGCAGCAATACAATTATAAAAATTCCATATTTGCAATTTAAAAAAAATCTGTAGTCCGTACAAACCAATTTTGAATGAAATGAGTCTCGAATAAGTTTTTTTTTTAAATTTTGATAATTTAATAAATTTTAGTAACTCTTTTTAATTTCAGGCCCACAGTTTAATGTAAAGAAATGGGGGAATCTATTTAATAATGAAAAAATGATGGAAGATGATTCAATATTATTTAACTTTCACTAGTGTTTGGGCGGCATTGACCTTAATTTTTTTATTTTTTCATTGATTTCATAATTGCTTGATAGTTGAAAAATCAGTATTGCTATGTAAGTTTATTGAGCATTAAATTAAAAAATAAACAGCTTGAAAAAAATTAATAGTTGTATTATTATCAAATATTTGTTATATTAAAACAAATTGGAAATGATCTAATTATATTTTTAATTTATAATTTGAAAAAAAATTTAAACATATTAAGAGTTACCTTTTTTATAAACAATATTATTGTTGATTAATGTTATATTTTGTACCAAAAGACATTAATTACATTTTTCAATGAAAAATTATAATTATAATTTTTGTCAGATGTTTTCATTGTTTCAATTTTAAGCAATTGCTATGGGAGCTACTTTGCATGCGGCGCAATTGTCCAACTTAGATAGCAAGCCCGTCATCTATTGCTGCACGAAAATCGCAAAGAACTCGTCTGGCGCTGCTGCACCTTATCTCGAGGGGGATTAATTTAAATTAATACATGAATAATGAATGACGCGCACAGCAGTATTTAGGAATGGTGTGTTGCTCAAGACGAGTTGTCTGCTCGCAACTCTCTCTGCCATTCCTTCTTTTTACTTTTTAATACCCTTTCTGTTATCTTTCTCTTTATGTGCCGCTCCTCCTTCTTCCTCCTCCGGCGCTAAAGAGCTCCGAAGGCAAAGCCACTGTATTCTTTTCCTCCCTTTCTTTCTCTCGCTCGCTCGCAAGCCCTGTGCAGTGTGTATTATATTTTTTTTGTACCACCGGCGCCGGCGGCGGAAATACAAACACTTGCACACTCCACACGCAGCTTTCACGCTCTCCAAATACTTTTTTGTTTCTTCCATTAACGGAATAAATATATATATAAAGACAAAAAGAATACAGACAGACGCTTTGGCGAAAAATAATAACGAGAGAGAAACCCGAACGCACTTTGCAAAAATATGGATGAGAGCGGAAGGAAAGGAAAGATTCCGCTTGTGTGCGAGAGAAAGCGCGGAGAGGTTGGCAAAATTTTTCCAGCACGCCTGCTGAGCCCAAACCAGCGATTCGAGGCTGCTGTAAAATAAAATATCATTATTCTGGGAGAGAGGGCAGCTAGTGCAAAAGTTTTTCTTTCAAATTCATATTTTATACATTAGTTACTTTAAAAAAATCCCTTTGTTGAATCCGAGTTTGTAGTAAAAAAGATAATTATTTCTTTTTTTCACTTCTCAGTAAATTATTATTATTATTATGTTTTTTTTTTAAATTAAAGGTTAAAGAAAATCGTGGAAGTAATTAAAAAAATCCTGAACACAGATTGACTTAGAAAATTACATTTTATTATTTATTTCATTGCCTGCATTAGGCGTCTCTGTGACCTCTGGGGCTATATTTTTAAATAACAGTTGTCGAGTTGAATAAACAATAACAATATTAATAATAAATCTCTCCACTTTCTGATTTTGAGAAAGAAAAGATTGTTTAAACATTTCATATATGTAAATTGATAATTTTATTTGAATGTATGTATGATGTACCTGGGCAGTAATTGCCTTCTGATACAATCACTAAAGACACTTTGCAACTATAATAGCCGGCACTGTTTACTGCCACTTTATTAGTGCGAAAATTTTGATAAGATCACAATGTCTTACGTTTTGCGTTCCTCTACGACGTCTACGACCACAATCTGCGTTTTAAAATCAATTTATATTCATCATCTTATTTTTAATTGCAAGTTTACATAAAATAACAAGAAGTAGCAATAGGAGTCTTATAGGAGGCTGCGCGTGTTGTTTTTCGCGGGCGTTGGTGTTTTTTTTTTTTTTTAACGAATCCCCTCTCCTCCTCCGATGCTGGATGCTCCATACGCGGGAGGTGATCACAGGTACAGCTGATCAGGTGAACAAAAAATACAAGGTACACTAAGACGAAAGATGCGGCCTGAGTTGTGCCGACTTTGCGAGAAGCCGGCGGCCGACGGCGGATACCGAGCGGCCGAATTGGACAAGGAGAAGTTGGCCGAGTGGTGTTTGAATTACTTGGGCACGACTCTGGCCAAGGAGGTCAAGGACGATGACCTCTTCTGCTACTTTTGTATTTGGGACGCTAGGTATGTACGAAAATACGCGTCAAAGCCAATATTAGCAAAAGCATAATTATGAACAATTATTCCATCTCTATTTCGCCTATCTTTGTTATTATTATTAATTATTATTATTCTATGAGAATAGTTAAATCTTGATAATTTTAGACGTTTTAAGACAGGACTATTTTTTTAATGAAAAAGTTTGAAGAGAATATTTATTTCTTTTGTGCAACTTAACCGTCCAATTGAATTAAACGCCTGATCATTTTACTTTGCCGTTCATTGCAGGATTCTCTATGAAAATGATACCAGGATAGTAAACGGCTGTAATAATCAAATAAATTATTGCAAAATTAAATGGTGGCCCGAACAAGAGACTGGAAAAAGTGCTAATGACTTGTTTCAAAACTACAAAGGTGAGCTTAAGTGCATTAAAGTTTTTCATTACTTTTGTTTTTTATTGAGCCATGAGAACATTCATTTTATTTTATAAAAATTTATATTTTGCGCGATTATAATTCTTAATTTATGTAGGATGAATATTTAAATATATTAATTTATAAATAAATTATATTGGCAATGATTTTTCAGCTGGAAATGTGCAGCAGTGTTGGGTTTCTTTGAAACAAGCAAAAGATCAGAAAAGAATAAGAAGTTATAATACTGGAAAAAAGGATAGTACAGAAATATTCAGAACATGCTGTTATTGTGGCAAAGATATTCCAGCAAAAAGCTGGAAGACACACATGAAAAAAAAGCATGCTGACATTTCAATAAGATGCAATTTTTCTTCTATGTGTTGTATGTACTTTCACAATGTTGAGGAGAGGGACGCTCACGTAAAGGAAATTCATTTTAAGCCGAAAAATGAAGTTCTTTACGATTGCATGTATTGTCCTTTAAAACAATTAAAAGTGTGGACTTACAAAAAGCATTTAAAATCGAAGCATCGTGATGTTGCAATAAGGTGTAGCTTTCGTTGGTGCCACAGATATTTTAAAAGTCGGGATGATATGAACGCGCACTTGGAGACGTACCACAAAAGCCGAGAAGAGAATAAAAAGTTCAAGTGCTCATTTTGCAATTATAAAGCTCATAGCAGGCCTGCAGTTGCACAACATGAATTCAAGAACCATAAAAAAGGAGAGAAAAATTTTAAATGCTCCAATTGTGCAGAAAAATTTTCATGTAAGATGAGTAGAAAACAACATATGTATAGCGCACACATTTTGAGAGCGTGCCCTGCTTGTGATTTGCAAATTCAGGCATCAAAATTTAATCAGCACTTCAAAAAAAATTCGTGCAGAACATGCCAAACTGAATTTGACTGTTGGGGTTTGTGCAGAAAGCATGAGAGAAAATGCAAACCTAAATTCCAATGTGAAATTTGCTCAAAGGTTTTCAGGATAAAAAGTGACTTGGCCTATCACATGATCAGTAATCATTTAATTCAAAAAAAGAAAGGTGTAAAAAGTAGAAAAACTGTTAATTTGCCTTCAATGAAACTTCAATTGGCAAAAAGACCAAAATTTAAGTGTGCTCATTGTAGCATGGAATTTCTGCATAGAGCAAATCTTCGGAGACACTTGGCCACAGTGCACAACCTTATAGACAAGCAGCATTCGTGCATACAATGCTTAGAAATTTTTTACTTTGCTTCTGAATTGAGAGTGCACATGAACGTAGCACACTCGAAGGAGATGACAAGATGTAAAATTTGTAAATTTTCTACAAAATCGTATTCCATAAAGCAACATATGATTAGAGCACACTTAATAGCGTAGCACATTTGATGAACAATTGTTGATAAATATCAATGAATGTAGGAAGTTAAAAAAAATGTAAATATGTATAAATCGTATAAATAATTTCTATCAAATGTTCACAGAGAATTACATCAGCAAATGTATTTTTTTCTATCAAAAAATATTGTATATAAATGATATTTAATTGACGTTGCGAATGAAATATAAATATTATATAAAATAAAAATTTATAATAAAAATTTCCAAAGCATTTAACATAATATATTGCATCAATAAATAACTGATATAAAAAAATTGATCCACCTTAAACCCTTTTCTATGTTTACGACTCATTTCATTGAATTTCTCACATTTTCACTATAACCTGAAAGTTGTAATTAAAGTAATTGTGTTATGAAATAAAATAAATTTAGTAATCAAAAATTGACCATGAGTAGCTATTTAATTATTTACCATGACTTATTGGCCTAACGATTCATTTTTTAAATTCAAAACGGGATGAAAAGTTGAAAAATAAATATTAATTATCAAAATATTCCTTATGCTAATTTTTGATGTGTCTGTTTTGGCACACTTGAAACCCAATTGATTAATTTATCCTTCAATTCATCATTATTTTATATTTTTTGATGGAATTTTATAAATCCATGTTTAAATATAATACATCTGTGCGAATGCATATTGCGAAAAAAGACTTGGCACTTCCCTGCTCGGAGCCACGCTGGGCAAAAATAAATCTGTGAGGAGCGGCGGGAGTGCGATTGCAGTGCCAGAAGAATCGCAAAAGAAGTCTGCTCTTCCGGCGTGCTCCGCGCAATAATAATACGTGCGGCGGCGGGTATTCATCTGCGTGTGGAAAAGGAAGAGGAAAGGGAATTCTTCGCGCCAAGTATAAGTCGCTTGCGGTCCGGAGATGGGTTTTCGCGGGCAGCCGCACCACCCTCTGATAACGCGCGCGCGCCTCCTTTGTGTGCAGATGCGGTGTTTAATGCCGCTCAGATTACGCGCGCACAAGATTGGCCTCTCTAATTCTGATTCTGGCTGCGCTCGACCCACGCAGCAGCTTCATTTGCTTCATTTATCTCGGCCGTAATTGAAGGGCTGGCCAGTCAAAAAGGGATCGGAAAATAAATTGTGGAGCCTAAGAGGTCTTTTCAAGAACTTCTTACTTAGGGGTTTAAAAGATTAGAATAGCAGAACGCCAAATTGCATTAAAAAAATTAATACGAATTTCATATTCAAGGGTTGATTCATGATGTTTGAATTTGAAATCGGCTTTCATCAATGTTTATTTTCATTTATTATTTAGTAGTAAAAATAATGCCTTGCTCTACGTCTACATGTTTTGGCTGCAGAAGTGGTTAGAAAATTCAGCAAAGTTGAGACACAACGCAAACGGAAGCAACCGAATTTTAAGTGTCTGTAAAATCTGGAAGAGGTAGGAAGAATTTTAAATTTTTATGTTCTGAAAGTTTCCATCCTGCTAAAAATAAAAGAGGAAGTTAGCACATTAGCAGGTAAAAATCAAGAGGCAAAAATTAAAATAATTTTTAATCCAAGAAAGGAAAACAGTCCCCTGACATTCTAATTCAAAAAAGAAAATAATTCCCAAAGAACTACTTCGCATTTTCAGGGGTTGAAGTGCGAGGTAGTTCTTTGGGAATTATTTTCTTTTTTGAAAATAATTTTTGACAGTTATTTTGGTTGAAAAAATTGTTTTGCTTTTGTTAATTCTTTTCAAATCTATTTTACTGAAAATTTAGTAAATTTGTATTTTTATTGTAAGAAAAGCTCCATAAAAAAACAGAATTTGCTCTCCAATTTTCAAGGATATTTTATGGATTGATGTACATTTGTATATCTTGATATGGGAAGATATCCCCTGATCCTACTAATTGCAACGAAACGGCCGCGGTGATTACTAATCAGATCAACTTAACGAGTAAAAAAATGTGGTTAAACTTGAAAGGTTATTTATGGAAATTTCATTACCATTCATATTTTGGAGGGGCGATAAAAATTTATTCCTGAAATTGATAAAAGTATCGGGAACGCGCGTCGGATCAATTTGCACGCAGGCTAAACAGATAGCAGTTGGCAGAATTGGAAAAATTTGAGAAGCAGGAATTAATTTCGCCGTCATGCAGAAGTGAAATGCGAGACGCGCGAGTGTACCTCGGCATGCAGATAGCAGCATTTTGGCGAGGGTGAAAAAAGATACACGCAGCGTTGTCGCTCTTTTCCAGAGAAAGAGGAGGGCGAAAAAAAGAAGCGTGTGTGGCGGTGCATTAGGAAAATTAAAATGCGAGATCCGTTTTTCGCGGGCGGCGTGTTTTATTCCGGCCATGATTGAAATGTATTCCGAGCACACGCACCAACGCATATCAACGTTTTTTCATCTTACGACGGCCATTTATTGCGCGCCGAGCAGCGAAGAGGCAGCCAGAAATATTTACCGCCGCCCTCGATTTTTTTATACTCGCATAGATCTATAATACATACATACAGGGAGTGTACGTTGTAAAAAGCTCGGGGATTTTGCCGACGGTCATGAATATTTAAAGTGTCACGCTGCTCTCGGCCTACGCGTGCGTTCGCGCAAAGTGCTTCCCTAAATTCATTATCGCGCGCAGCCCTGGCTAAACTCATCAAAGATCATCCACTGACGGCGGCCCGCAAGCTATTGTGCCGCCCCCAAGGACCTCCTGACCCCAATATCAGAGATACATACGTTGACCGTGGATAATAAATTGGGTTCGGGTTTTTAATAAAACCTGAAATTAGGGCAACCCTTGGGAAGAGGGGCCTAACAATACAAATGATCCATCAAAATTTAAAATTCCTTCTTTTCTCATATATTGCTTATCATAAAACAATATTTCCAATTTTAATTCTTATTCTTTCGATTCTTTCATTACAAAAATAATTTTTTTTTTTATATAAACTTTCAATAAAAATTAAACGCCGTTCTAATTATGAAATAAAAGTAAAAGATTTTTTGTGACACTAAAATAAAAAAGGCACTTGTTGAAAATTAGTGGAAAGGAACAAAATAAAAATAAATTTAACTAACACCGTTTTGAATTTCACATTTTTTGATGTCATTAAAAGCTTTCTCACAGTTCTTAATTTTTTTTTATCTAAGTATAGCTATTATTTTGACAATAATTTTAAAAGCAATTTTATCCCTTCTGATAAATTGCAACGAAAAATTTGACACTATTTACATCTTTACCTTCTTAATTTTTGCATTAGACATATTAAATTGAAATATAATAAAATTTAAAACGTAGTATCACAATATAACAATCAAATTAAAATAATAAAAATCTACTTGATTTCAGTAGGGTTGAAGGTTTTGTTGATATTTTTGCACAAATTCGGAGCGATTTCAAACGCAGACGCAGAGTTTGTGGAAAACGTGATTTTAGTGTGCGAAAAAGCAAACAGAGAAAAGGCGAATAAATATTTGCCTGGAGCGGAACTAAAATCGCGCAAATCCACAACAAACTTCCCGCGACTTCATGAGATGAGCCAGCGAGACTTGTGATTAGCGTTGCAAATGAACTCTGCAAACGAAAAATAATCATCGCTTGGCGAGGGCAGAAGAGAAATTTCAATTAACTCGGCCGAGAGTCAACAAAATAGAAGGCAAGGATTTTGCGCGAGCCAAACTTTCTTTTCGGCCAGGCAAACCGACGCTGTTGATGGTTGTTGCTCTCTCTGTTTTATGGTTGGCAGGACCGGGGATTAAAAAAAGTTAATAAAAAGTTGGCCCTGCAGCAGGGGCGGGCGCGAGAGAAAGCTAATAAAAATGTTAATTATCAGCCAGCCGGCGTCTTGCGGCCACAGGCAGTGCAGCGACACAAGAAACCGGGGAGCAAAAGTCATTTATTTCGTCGCTGATGGAATTTTACGACGCCAACTGGAGTGGGAAAAATTGCGCACTCACCGAATGTCGGGGGCCGGGCAGCCCTGGGCGGCGCACACCAGCACCGCGCCCTCGTCCTGGACCACATGGACAGTGGCGCTGTGCTCCACAATCAGAGGCGGCACCGGCATCCGGTTCTCTGAAATTTTCAAAACAGAAAATTTTCAAGTTTGAAAGTTAATTCAATTAAAAAAAGATAATTTTTTAAAAGAAACAATTTAATTATGAAAAAAATTTATGATCAACATCGCAATTAGGACTGAGAAGCAAAAAGTGGTAAAAAGTTTACTTTCAATTTACATAGTTCTCAAAAAGTCGGCAATATTTGTTAATTTTAATATTACAAAACGCTAAAAAAGTCGTGAATTTTGATGCTAAATTGGATAATATTCACTAGCCATTCAATGAAGAGAGTTTGAATCTGAATTGCTCACATATATAGCTGCAAAAGGTTGATAAAATCTATGAAAAAGTTTTTCTTGAGAATAGGTCAATTAGGAGAAAAGAAAAATTAGGCCAGAAAAGTTTGAACAGTGTCGATTTTAAATTAATTTAAATTACATTGAAATTAGTTCAGGTTCAAATTGAGTATATCCATTTTTACTAAAAGTTAGTTAATCAACTTTTATTCCATGCCCTTATCAATGTTTATCAAAAAATGATATTATTATCAAGTTTCGAGCAATTTAAATTAAAACACTACAACAAACTTTAAATACAGTTACCGTGTGAAGTTGAATTTCACAGTAATATAATTTGGTCCGATTGTCAGAAACAAAAATGTACCAAAAATTTTAAAATAAATTAATTTTAAGTTTATCAAATATAATATTTTAAACATAATTGTTATATTCAAGTGTTTTTTCAAAAATATTGTACCTGGAATGATTCTGATGAGCGTTGAGCTGCTGGTGACGACCTGCCGCGTAAGTCTGTGCATCGTCCTGCATCTGTAGCTAGGGTACTGGTCGTTGCTGTCAACCCCGTGGATCAACAGCTCGCCGGTGGGCAGCATGTGAAATTTCCCATCTGGAAAACCGCAGAAAGGCCGATTAGCAAAACTCGATCGACCCTGGTATACACAAAATTGCAACCAAGAGAGAGTGAAATTTATAGTTTCATATTTTGCTATCTCCGCGTACCAAATTATCTGTACACCTAAAATCCCTAAAATCGCGTTAGCAACCGGATTTGCACTCGAACACAGGTACATGTAATGCGAATTCAATCAATGCTCGTTGCTTCGTCGTTAGCCCGCGGATTTTAGCGTCAGCTGAATTTCGAACGGATTAAATCAAATTTGCATTTTGCGCAAAACGCTGCCAGCTCGAGGATTGAGGTAAACAAAATTCAATTACTCAATGCTTTGAAGTCTACAGAGACGTCAGAGACCCAGCAATCTGGTTTTTAGTTTGAATAAATAATTTACCAACACGTAACACGTAATTTGAAAACCAGTAAAATTGAAAAAAATTAAAGCAATTGTTTTACTATAAAAAAATGCGGCTTTTTTTATTTTAAAAACTTAAGAAATAAACATGAATTTTAAATTTTTAAACAAATAACAATAACACTGAATACAAGACAAAATTTTTATATCCGAAAATTTGTTTTGTCCTGAATAGGTTTTGCTGAGCTAACATGGCAGCCGCTCGTAAAATAATTGGGAAAGGCGTCCGTTGTGATTATCTTCCATTTTAATTAGCACGTGCAAGCTTCGGCGCTAATTTCAGAGCTGTACGCTGTGTAATTCAGACGGGCATTGTGCCTGCGCATAAATTATACCCACCTTTATCACTCAAACTATTAATTTGACCCTCCGTGTCCAACTCTCGTTTTGTGTGCAATCTCGTCATTACAGCCTTTTTATTAATCCGGCGCAGGTTTGTGTCCGTCTCTACCAACTCACGCGTCTTCCCAATCAATACAAATATCTGCGGGCGATGATGATTAAATTCCAGCTGCCAACGTGCGATGGCTTCGATTTATATACGAAACCTGTCACGATCGGAAATCCCTCGTGTTTTCCGACCAATCACAATTCTCGTCAAAATATCATCACATCTGAGATCACTCCAGAGTGTGTGTGGAACGAAGCGGATAAAAAATTTATTGCATAATACAGAGACGTGGATGGGAAGAGCACCAATCTTGATACCTACAAATTTCAAATTTTCTTTTGAATCAAAGAAATTGACAGAAAATATCTAAAGAGCAAGTTGGATTTACTTTAACTCAAAAACTGCTCCTCAGAAACAATCTGAATTACCATCTTAAGAATAAAAATTAAGTGCGTGGTTGACTTTTTGTATTTGTTTCACGGGTTGCTTATTCCAATCAAAAAGCCCACCCCGGGAAATACTGAACAGATTTCGGATTTGAAATCAGGAAAAAAATGACAGTGTACATTGACCTGAATGCAAACTTCAAGAGTATACAAAAAATTTTTTAAATTAAAAGTTATATGATTTAAAATTTAAATTAAATTTTCTTTGTCCTGCGGGTTGCGTTTACAAGCAGGAGATTTAACTACTTTTGCGTCGAAAAAGTTAAATTAACTTAAGGATTTAAGGCAAAATTAAATCGGATTGACTGGAATTGACAAGATTTTCGGTTAACGACAGGTATTGAGTCAAATTAAGATTTTATACAGTAATTAATTAATTAAATCCTTTCATTCAAGAAATTCAAGGACTAAAAAAACATAAACATATTTTAAATAATTTCAGTGCAATAATATTTTTGAAATAAAAAAACTTTTCTGAAGATCCAGCATTAGCTCAAATTTGATAGAAAAGTTGGAATAAAATTATTTTTCGAATTCAGGGCATCTTCGACATGACTTAAACTATTCTAATAAAGCATAATAAAGTGACTTCCAATGCGGCGGCAGGTTTCAGGAACGTCCATGCCCATTAACAGGATTAAAGCTTAATTAAGTCCAATAAGTTGCGGGGCCATCGCGCGTTTGTTGGCGCCGCACGTGTATCGCTATAATAGCCAAAATTTGCATAATGGCGGCATTAACGCTGGATTTTATTGCTGTTTGAACAGGTAATTCCCGGTCTGCGCGGCGCCCGGGGGTGCCTCCATAAATCATCCGCCCCGAGCACAATGAAATAAAATATCACACGTATAATATGCCAGCCGGGGACGTTTTGTATTCGCTCTCTGTACAAATGAAACTTTTGCATGCGCACGTGTTCGCTAATGAGAAAGAGTGCGCGCTCTCTCTCGCGCGCACACACGCCGCTTTTTATTATTTATTTATGATATTTCCCTCCAGCAGCAGCACTTGAGCAGAGAGACGTACGTGTAAATAAAAAGTGTGGCTCTGGGGCGCATTCATTCATTTCTGTGAAAAGGCTGCTTTTCAAAAGCGAAGCGACGGCCCAAAAGCCAGTCTTGCCTAATTGGAAATTTTTGTGTTTGTTCGAGAACGAGAGCAAAGCAGAACCCTCGCTGCAAATGCAAATGGAGTTGTAAATTAATTCGTCAGAGGTATGCACGCGCGGGTGTCAATTTCTTTTTTATTGCTGCCTTCACTTTTTTTTTTATCTCGTGGAAGTTTTAATAAAGCTGGAGCGAATTCCAACTCTTCGATTCTAACCAGCGAAATGAGATTTTATTTTAAGCAGTCAAAATTTATGCCAAGCGAAGTCACCAACTGATCATCTGAATTGGTTTATTTCTTTATTGTTGTTTATTTGTCCCTGTTAAATTAAATTAAATTGAAAATTCATGCAAAATTTTATTTAAATTTAAAATTAATCAGCTTCATAAAATTGAAAAGTGAGTAGGTTAAAGGATATTGCAATTTCTCACACTGAAGAATATTTAACATCTTATCTTTTCAAGTTCCTTTTTTCTTTTTCTCATCAGAGAATTTAATTCTCATTCCCGTCAGATAGAATTGTTACTCGCAGCTGCACGAGCAACAACAGATGCAGTTCTCTCGCTTTATGAAGTTTATATTTTCTTGGTTTATTTACGTGAGCCATTCGCAGGCCAAGAATGCAATTCAACACTAAGAGGCAGAGGCAGCATTTGCACTTCTGGCAATAATCAAGTCTGCAATGTAGGTCGCCGCTGCTTCGTGAGGCAGATGCACGTGAATGGTTTTAATTTGCGGCGATAACATAGACAATGGAGCAAGAATTAGTTATGACTTGCAGCTCCAACTATTATTTTAAAGAAGATAAATAATCAGGCAGAAGTATTAACACTTTATACAGTTATTTTTGAAATGCCTTATTTTAATAATACATGTATATATTTTTCTCAAATCAACTAGTGGATGGAAAAAAAACTGTTCATTAGATAAAGAACAGATCAGGTTAATCATTTAAAATGGTTTGTTAAATAATTAAAAATAAATAATATTTTATTTGTTAAAATATACAGTAAAAATCCCTGACGTTAATTGAAACCTTTAAAAAACAAAACATACATTTTATAATATCATTAATCCTGCTAACGTTTTAATTTGTAAATAGAAAAACAACTTTATAATCTATCAAAAAGCAATTGCTTTGTGGGAACATAAATATTAGTTGATGAATGCATAATAATAAAATAATTCTAGAAAAAGCTTCATCTTTCAACCATTTAAGGCAGATCAATCAACCAAGGCATTCGATTCGAGAACGAATTTCCACCTTAATGAATATTAATTAAGATCAGTCGGCGAGATTGCGGCCTGCGGGAGTAATTAATATCGGTCGTGCAATATTACAATGCGTGCTCGCTGCTCCATATCTGCAGGCGGCGCGCGGCTGTAAAATGCTCCACTAATAATTAAAACGCCCTCTGCCGGCTGCGAGCAAACACAATGTGGCTGGCAATTAAGTGTAATAACACCCTTATCTGCGTATTTAATTCGATATTCGGCTTAATGAGAGCACTTGGTTTGCAGCTCTAACCGCGCTAGAGTGTAGAGGTGCACTGGGTCTCAGGAGGGCCTCTGAAATTAACAATAACGAGACTGGCTGCACAATAGACTCCTCGTCGGGCCCCGAATTAGCCAAATTTTTATGGTAATTGCGATAAAATAGGATTTGGTCGCCGTGTTATGCTTTTCATATTTAGAATTTAATTTAGATTAAAATTTTGATGAAATTAAAAAAATGTATTGATTAATTAAACTTAAATATTAAGTTCAATTTCTCTTTTGTGTCACTAATTAAATTAGCGAGCCCGTCGAGTGCTTTCCGTTTGCATACAACGCAGTGAGTTGTTCCGCCGCCTGCCTATTAATGATGATTAATGTTTTGTTTGCAGCCAGAGAAAACAAGAACGGTGAAGAGAGGAACGCGTGTCAGGAATTTATAAATGATGAGCCCCAATGTAAATTCATCACCTGTCCTGTTTCCTGTGTGTTAATATATACGAGGGTGAAAAATGCGCTGCGCCCGGGGAAAAGCGGAAACCGGCGAAAATTTTGAAAGAAATCATTAGAGACGCAATAAAATATGGAAACGAAACGAAAAAAAGGATTCCGAGCGATAAAAAAACAATGCATCTGTATTTCAATCTTTGCATTATCTTTTTAAGCGTTTCAAAGGCCTTTCTTTATTTTCATGAATGATCATAAATTATTTTTGTATCCGGAATGCAAGCTCATTTATTATTTTAAATCTCCGTAGTCTGAATCGTAGTGCTGCAAGTGAGTTTAACTGGAAATAGTGAGTCAACCAGTATCTTTCCTCATTCCACTACGATTAATGTTTACTTAACTTAAACCACACGCAATGCCAGCTGATGCGACATCAACACACATCCGCCGTCACATCAACTCTCTTATCATTCCCCTACAGAGAAACCTAAAAAGCGAGATAAAGATTTAGTGCAGAGAACATTTTCACTATAGGCAACGATTCGTCAGTATTATCATCCTCAGCAGCATGGAAGGTATGTCAATCATGTAATATTTCACATTTGAAATACCATTAATTAATTTTTTTTTCTGCTCCGCTCCAACACTACTTTTATTTTTTAGTATTGAATATATTGAATTTTGTTTTAACTAGAAAATCAATACACAATAGATTTTGAATGAATAACCAGCATGTTCAAAATTTAACTGAAGTCTTAATATGTTAAGGCCAACTAAAGAATTCCAGCAAGCTTGGATATTTTCAAAATGGATCAAACGCCGACTGGTTTGAAGCAAAATGTTTTAAAAATGATCGAATTTGTAATGAAAATTTCTTAGTGTTTGCGTCCTGGTAGTTCACTATGGTTTTGAGATGGATCAATTCCTGCGCCGAGATGGAAACGATGAAGACTTAAAAAATTTGGAAATATCTTTCAAAATAAACCGCAACTGCAAATTTCGAGATCTGCGCTCGCCCGAGAAGTATTTTCTCTTACAACTTCTTTCGAACGACAAAAACTTGGCTAATTTTTTTCAATTAGCTGGTATAATTAATTTAACAATTAAAAAATCTTAAAATAATTATTTTTAATTTTTCAGAAACCGTTCCTTCCGTTTTTATTCTCTGTATTTTGTCACATGGTGGTAAAGGTGGTCAAATTTTCACTGACATATGGGATGAGGAGCAAAAAGACTATCAATATTTCACAACTACAGAAGTTATAAATTCAGTCAAGCAACTCAGGAACTACAAAAATTGCTTGAAAATGTTGCTCTTTGGAGTAAATTTACAAAAAATTTAATTAATTCTAAACGGATAATAAAATTAATTATTTTTTTTACGCAGCCATGTCGTGGGGATATTGATGATTCAGCTCACACTGTAGAGCAAAGTTTAGAAAAAGAGTACTCTTGCTGTATAAATTTTCATCCCAACGAGGACAATTTCATTTTGGTTTACTCCACTGTAGAAAGTATGTGAATTTTTTTAATTACTATTTAGTTAATTGAAAATAAAAACAAATCAGCTACTTCTGCAAATAGAAACAAGCAGGGAACTTGGTTGGTGAAAAAAATATGCGAAGAAATGGACAATTTACAGAAAGACGAGGTTCTACCCGTTTTTCTAACAAGAATACAACACAACATTCACCGACAATCGACGTTTGATAGCAAGGAAGTCTGCGGACAGACGCCTGAAATCAAATTATACCCGCACCGCACTTTCTATGTGCAAAAGTTGGATTTTATGCTGCATTATGCTATTTTCATTGAGGAATTTCATTTTGCATTTTAGGTCTCCTTGCAATATGAGGAAAGAGAAGACAGACTTTTACTACCAGTGGCAGACTGATAGCGGCGAAAATTTACGATCCAGAAAAGCAATTATTTTTTATCAAAATTTTACGGAACTTGTAAAAAACTTCAGTGCAGCTCTAAGCAATAATTTAGATTTTGAAACAAGCATTAGATCAAATTCAGTTGCAAATTTGGAATCATATTACAAATTTGGTAAGTTTGAAGTATAATATATTTTCATTAGAAAATATAATTTCATAAATGAATATTTAGTTGAGGATAAGCAACAAAGAGAAGTCGGCTGTATTTTGACATGCTTCTTTGCAAAAATATCAGAAGTTGCTTTGGGAAACGCAAGAGAAATCTGTGTTAATGTAGGGGGTGGAAGAATTCCTTTGAGGGAAATAATCCACAGATCGATTGGACCAAAAAATAGTAACTGGATTGGAAAGCCAAAAATATTTTTCTTCGTCAACCAGTTGGCTGAGTCAGATGCAAAAGCACAAGTTGGTTTTTACTTTTTACGTTTGGCGAGGAAATATTTTTTTTTTAATTTTAAAATTTTATTACAGCACAAATTTGTTGTTTTGGCGACAAACCATAGTGGCTGGCTTAGTCTGATTCTTCCCTATGAAGGTTTTTATATATTTTTGATTTCCTTATAGTATAATCATAAATAAAATTTTTAAAATAGAATCAGCCAGCGAGCTCTTGGAGATTCTACAAGGAACCAAGCTGAAGAGTGGCTCCAATCTGCAACAGCTTCTAAGTGAATTGTTGAACAATCAAATTTCTCAGCCAAGGGAGAACAGTCCTCTGCTAGTTTCCACCCTCCAGTATCTCTTAGACTTTCCAGATTGGCCAAGAAATTTTGTTAAGCCAAACTTTGAAGAATCTAAAGCTCTGTGCACTTTTGATGAATTGATGCACAACTTTAATCCTTACGGAGATTACAAAGTCCAACTAATTGTTGCTCCTGCTGGAAATGGAAAAACAACAGTAATGAGGGAAGTAGCCCATAACATGCAAAAAATTTTCACAGAATTGAAAATTTTATTGCTAAATTTCGTCAATCTTTATGGATTCTTGTATCAGATGTCGAGAAAAAATTACAGTTTGACGGAGTTAATATTAAGCTACCCAGGAAATTCTTTAAGCAAAGAAGAAGTTGATGATTTCGTTGAGAATAAAAGGGGTTTATTATTTATTGATGGATTTGATGAAATATGTCCAGATCTGCGAACTGAAGCATTGAATGCTGTTCAGAAAATTGCTGGAAAACATATTCACCTCTGGATATCCACTCGACCGGAGGAAGAAAAAGTGATTGTGGACGGACTAAAATTGACCAAAGTTCAAACTCGAGTACTTGAAATAAAACCTTTTAGCCAAGAGCAGCAACTGGAACTTCTGGAAATGGTGACACATAAGAGTGAGCAGGAATGCATTGAAATGTTAGAAAGTTTCAAGAAAGACGTCTTACAGAACCCACTGCACTTGACGATGATCTCAGAGTGTGGAAAGGCGCTCAATTTGTACGAAATTTACGATAAAGTGATCTTGAGCAAAGTGCGGAAGGCGCTGATTGAGAGAGAGGGACATCTGGAGGACGGAAGACTGACTGCGAAAGTTGAAAGGCGTCTCCAATTACTGCAGAATTTGTGCTCAATGTACCTGATCGGGGGTCGATTTAGAGATTATGATGAAATTGGAGCAGCGGAAATCAACAGCACTGGAATCGCAACCGTGGTCGAGTTGCCCCGCTTTGATGGATCTGGCAAGCAAGGCCGCCTGCAGTTCATCCACCTTTCATTCGCAGAGTTTCTCGCCACCAGAGCCCTCTTTACGTTTCTTAAAATTACGGACCTGAAGGTCATAGAGCGTTCAAACGATTTGATTAACAAGAAATTGAGGGAGCATTACGGTGTATACGTTCACAATGAATTGCACCAGTCCAGAGTTTTTGCCGAGATTTTTGCCTGCACCGACGGTTTTCACGATACAGAATTGGAGCGTAAATTGCACACCTACTTGCAAAACTTATTTTCGTGGGTAGTTCCAAAGAAAAGGGCATTGGCGACTTTTGCTGGGGAAGGATTGCGCCACGTTTTTGTAGCTATGGAGAATCGTTACACTTTCAATGTACTTGAAAAGGATTCCAAAATTTTCATAGAGCAGAGCAATCTGCTTTTAGGAGCCGCTTGTTGGAAAAGTGAGGAAATATCATTGAAACTTTTGAAAATGGGAGCACTTAATAATTTAATAAATAAGTCTGACGCCTTGTCTGCAATTTTGGAAGACGTTGTGCAACAGAATTTTTTACTCTTGTACGATCAACTTCGAAAACTCGTCCCTGAACTGCTAGAGGAGATCTTGAAAAGGAAAAGTTTAGATTTGTGCTTCGAAGCAGCTAAAAAAGGACATTTCCAAATGCTGACCTGGTTGTTGGACGGTGGAGTCGATATCAACAAGAAAAAGGGATACTGGGAGCAATCAGCTTTGCACGTTGCCTGCTTCCGAAGTGACATTGATATCGTTCGATTGCTTCTAGAAAGAAAAGCAGATGTTGATATTGGAAACAAATACGACCAAAAGCCATTGCACTACGCCGCTAGAGAGGGTCACTTGGAAGTCGTGAAAATACTTCTTAATAACGGGGCAACTGTTGAGGCAAAGAGTGCAAAAGGTGTCACTGCCATCCATCTGGCGGCATGGAAGGGCCACCTGATGGTGCTCAAGTTTTTGCTCAAGAAGTGTGACAAGTCATTCATTAGAGTTTGCGACTCACAAGGATTCAACGTCCTGCATTATGCAGCGCTCGGAGGGAATCTTCCGGTGGCTGAATTTTTAATAGCGGAGGACAAATTTTTGATTCGCGGAAGAACGAATAATGAAGAAACCACACTTCATATGGCTGCGAGAGGTCCGAGTCCTGAATTGTGTCAGCTGCTTGTGCGAAGTGGAGCTAGTGTGCTTGCTGTCGACAAGAACGGGTTTAATGCTATTCACCACGCTTGCTCGAATAGCTCCCTAAAAAATCTGTCCGTCTTGGAATATCTCATCAGTCTCGGTGACCTCAACATTGAATCAAGAACCGTCAATGGCAGATCAGCTCTGCATTTGGCAACTGAGGAGCCACAATACTTTCTAAAAGATGTTTATAAAAATGAAATGATGAATCGTGCACGCATCAAAATGGTCAAAATGCTAATCGAGCGGGGAGCAAATATTTTGGCTACAGACGGCCAGGGTTGCAATGCTCTTCACTTTGCGACGCAGGCATGCAGCTCTAAATTGACATATGAAGTGATCGAGTTTTTGATCAAGAAGGACAAGAGGCTGGTGACAGAAGCACGCGTGCCATTTAATGTGGACTTGTATTGCCATGCTCTGCTTCGATCAGAAAGTGGGTTTTATGATGACGAAATTATCAAGTTCGATCCAGATATTTCAAATAAGAAATGCTCAATTATGGGTCAAGCAGAGTTTAGCGATTTTGAAAGCATCCTGTTCGCTTAATTCTAAAACTGTTAAATAAAATTTAATTTGAGAAAATTTATGATCTGCATGTTATCTTAAATATTTTCCAATTTAAAATGAAGTTAATGATTGAGATTAAATATTTTTGATTATAATAAATATTTTAGCAGTGATTTGCAAATATTAACTTTCTGTTTCCTAATGAACTAAAAACTTCATACTTCATAAGAAACGTATTTGAATTTAAGTTTATATGTAGGTTCTTGTCATTGTTGCTGTGGAACCTTTTAAATTCTCAAATCAGTTACGTTTCGTCTTCCGACGAGAAAAGAGATGCGCATTTTTTCACAAATTTCACAATTTTGTCACTTTGTTGAATTTGCTTAGAAATTTATTCTCAAAATGGAATTAATTCCAATAATTTGTATTAAAAATTAGGGAGAAAAATTAAGTAATTTATTTTTTTAAATTTAATATGTATGCTGATTTTTTTTTAAATGTATTTAAATTTGGTTAAATGTCAGCATATTTCAATTCAGCAGCTCATAAATTAGGGTTGCAGCCCGCAACAGAAACTATTAGAGCAGGCATTTTCTGTACCATGCAGAAACGATTGTTCATCTTCACCGAGGAAGCCGGATTGTATTTCATCATAAAATATTTTTTAAATTTAGTTAATTTCTCTTATTTTCTTTTTAAGCTGTAGAGCACGAGGCGTATGTTTCAGGAAGCGAAGAACAACAACGTTTGCAGGCGAGAACAATGCGCCATTACCTCGCGCCGGAATTGCCCTGTTAGTCGTGATAATAAGGCAGGACCGTTGCAAATTACAAAGTGCCTCCTCGGCCACTTTTCTTGTCGGCCGCTAAATAAATACAAAAGGGCCGAGGCAGGCAAAGGAGCCAGAAACTTTTTTATCGGCCAAACTTTTAAGCCTGTAAACACAAAAGTTGGGGTCGGAAATGAACAGCGTGGTGTGCGAAAGAAAGGAAGAAAGAAAGAGGCTTTCATGCACTTTTGCGACACCTTGCTTTCCGCGCGCGAGTAATGTGCTGAGTGCACAGACCCACCCTGCTTTTTCCGGCCAAAACTCTTTTCCAAGCGGCGTGCGGGCGCAATTTTTCTGCCGGTCTCATCTCCTGCTAACGACGCGACATTTGTCACACATGTAAATTTCAAGTGCGCGCCCTGCCACTGTCTGATACGAAAGCAAAAGAAGAGCAGAAACCTCTTCAGCATTCCAAATCACGTGCCACAGACGATTTTCCACAAATAAAAAATGAGACGCGCCGGCAAATCGCAAAAGTCGGAAAAATGAAAAGTTTAAAGATGATGTTTTGGTGGGAAGGCAACCAGCTCGTTTTTCATGGCACGCAGGTTGCATAGCTACCAATTTTCAGTCACATTTTATCAACTCGCAAGGAGAGTTCGTACATTGAACAATTCTCCCTTTGTGTTTCTATAAAATTGTATTTTTTACTATTTTTCTAAATTATGAAGCCCGTTGATAAAAATTATTTTAATCTTGAGAACTTTAAATGTAATGCGAGAATTAATTGTAAGATAAATTCAAAAGAAGCTTGAAAAAATTAATTTTAATCAATTTAAATTAAATGTGTCGCAACCTACATAGGTGACGGTGGAAAAAAATTACGCTAAAAATTTTTTGACTAAAAATGACTCTTTTGTTCCGTAGAAAGCACTTCTTCTTCTTCTCTCTGCTTTCTCCCGTCAGAGCTTTTTTATAATATTTCTTTTCTAGGAGAATAATAGTAAAAGAAAGCACATTTTTTTCTACCGTCGAAATGAAATTCCATTCTTATTCTTGCGGATTTTCGCGGTCGCAAAACAAACGCAAGCAGAATAAAAGCCAGTCATATTTTCGGCACCCGCGCGCGCGTGATTTAATATCGCAAGTTAGAAAGGAAATAAAAACCAAGGTCGGGGGCATTGTGCATGGGATAGAGAGAAGGAGAGGACTCGACATTTATTACCGCGGCCAAAACACACGCAGACATCATTAGGGAGGCAGTAAAGCGGACGACCGACCATATTTCAGCCTCTTTGCAGCTCCTTTGTGCCGAGTGAACGCGGGACCGTTTATCAAACTGTTTTCTTCGATTAAAGCAGACATTGAATGGAATTGGGTGCGTAAACCGCAATGAGATTAATTCCAGGCCATTAGACCATGGGCATGAATAAAGGCAATTTCTATTCTGAAGCATGGGAGAGACAAGTTATTTGATAAGATATATTGAAGACCAAAACAGGAAATTTCATTGTTTTTAAATATGAAAATTGGTCAGTTTCACACTCAGGATTGGAAAGATTTAACTGATTACAAAAAGTTAAAATTTCTTTCGTGCGAGAATTTTCTTTTCTCATTGAATGGAATGAAGTATTTCAAAATTTAGTTTTATAGACCAATGTTTTCAGTTAATATAAATATTTTTTTAAATTAATTAAAAAAATTTACAAAGAAAAATAACTTTTTTTTTAATAGTATTCAAAAGAAAACGAGGAAAGTTTGCAATTCGTAGCGAAAAGTTTAAATTTAGGAAGAAAATTGCGTATGATTTACGGTTGCTTCCGAGTGCAGTCTTGCCGAGGCGGCGAAGCTGTTTCCATTTTCGCCCATAAATAACACACAAAAATAACGCAGCCGCGAACTTTATTAAAAATTACTGCCGAGGTTTGGTTGAAAATAGCGAGGGAGATAAACGGCTGCACACAAAAAGAAGCGGCCATTAATCTGGGGCTATATATTTATTTTCCAGTAATTATTCGTACAGCGGGTGATAGGTAGAGCGGGAGGCTCCCGAGCCATTCATTACCCTGGCCTGCGCGGCATGATTGAATTAATTCCTCGAGATGTTGAGCAGAATTTATGCGCCACGTTCGTCTATCAGCAGATTAGCCGACCGCCTCGAAAATAAATTGGCCCGCGACAAGACGAGAGATAAATCTGCCTCGTAAAACTGTGTGTTTGCCGAATTCGCGAATGTTCAAATGGATTGCGGCGGCGTCTCGGAAAATTCCCGAGGTCAGCTTTCTTGCGTTTCGGATGGATTTATGGGACTGCTGCACCGTCAAGTGAAACTAATCTTATTAGTCGGCGGAATAAAAACCGGCTACAAAATGCGCGTGCAAGACCAAATGTGTGTACTTTTTGTCTCGTCACTTTGCATGCAAATGGGAGTAACTTGCCATTTTGATTCATGTGAATATTTTATGCTTTTCCTCTTCTCTAGATAAAATATCATATAAAATACTGTGTGTACTTACTTAGTTTTGGACAAAAAGTACAAAAATTTTAAGGACAGCTCGCTTAACATTGCCATGGCAACAAAGATTTTTCCGCAAGCATAATTTTTGTTCTATAATTTCCATAACAACTAACAACGTCCCATTGAGTGATTTTTATGCTGAAATTCTCTGGTTTTCAGAGTTTAGAAATTAATCAAATAAGAAATAATCGAGAATAAATCCATTGAACCTTATGGAATTTCTTAAAATATCTCCAATAATGAATATTTTATGGAGAAACATTTATCGCTTAATTAGCGAATTTTATCAATATCAAAATTTAAAGTTTTTTAGATCTTCCATTCAAGTTTGTTAAATTTCAAAAATAAATTTTTAGAATAAATTTGTTTCCTTATCTAAAAATTGGTCTTCCATAATTATGAATTCTGAAAACTACAACTTTGACGATCGAATAATTTTCCAATTCAACCTTTTCACATATGTTAAATATGCGTCTATAAAAATCAGCTTATGAAAATGATGTGGCATTCCATAGTTGGAAGAAGAATCTTTCTGGAAAGAAATAAAGGCGAACCGCGCACTTAAAAATCAATTTCAGCTCGCAGCAGGCAGGCGCTCCTTATTTTCCAATTTGGCCGACGGCTGTTTTTTCCTTCCCTCTCACGAAACGTGGCGACGCTTTTCGCACTCGTTGCTGGTTATTTTAGAAGCGATAAATTGCGATGATAGATGACTTTTACGAGCGCCACTCCAATTCACTTAAGGCGCCTCCAGCTCGCTCACCTCGCGGCGAATCGCAATTAGAATTGCCACATTTTCCCCCAAATATTTATTGGCTCTTATCGTCTTGTGGAATTTTAATTTCGTTGCGGGCGATAAATTTTTTTGCAGCCCTGCATTATTAAGACTCGTCGCTTGTAAATTTCCTAAACTAATTCTGCCCCTCGGCAAAGAGACGCACATGTGCGCCGGGAAATCGATGTCGCTCTCTCGCAACACCACAACATTTTATGCATACTTCATCGCATCTGTGCAAAAAGTGTCCCGAGCTGGGATTAAAATTTTTATGAGCAGAGTTGCCAGGGAGAGAGATATACACATGAAAGGCCGCGCATTTAAAATTCTTCGGTAATGCACCTGTAATCGGCCGGCTGAAAGTTTGCAAAACCTGCTTTTATGGCGAGATGTGTACGCGTGTGTCATTTCGAGTTGCTTTGAATGTGTGGTAAAAAGAGAACGGATATGACGCTTTTGGACTGATGGAATGGATACCAAACGATAGCATTCCTATTAAGCTGCCGAGAGTGTATAAAACAAATCAATAGCAGAAGTGCAAAATTTTAGCAGGGAGTTTTTTTAATAGAAAAATACTATCGTAATCACTTTGAATATTTTATTTATTGTTCTCCTTGGATACAAAAATTTGAAATTTGAAAAAGAGAGAAGAAAGGAAAGGGTTTACTTGGTAACTAGTGTTTTTCTCAATTTTATAGTAAAAATTCGTGCTTTAATTGATTAAAAGATATAGAGGAAAAAAAATTTAGAATTTAGAAGAACATTCTTCTGTTTCAAAGTTGCTGGATTTTTTAATATCAGGATTAAAACTATCTACACCTCCATTACATGAAATTTTAAGCAATACTGTGTATCATTTCCATGATTGCATTCACTAAAAAAAGAGAAACTTGAACTTTATCATATGCTTGAACAGAATTTCTATCTGTTGAAATCCATCGCCATTTCCTTTTCTAAGAAATCCCTCAAGTCGGAAACGAAGAGCAGATTTTCCCTGAAAAACCATTTGAATCTTTTCCGGAGGATCAGCGGCAAATCTGCTTTTGAGTCCCAGAAGACGGAAGCCATTTTCGGCCGTCCGGAAGGTGTCAATCTGGGTAGCGCGACTCCCTGATGGGGAAAATGCCCATGCAGACCAGTCCATTGTACGCGACAACAAAATCAATAGAAAGTAATTTGGCCGCAATAATACACACAGCCTGCAGAACATCCCCGTCATAATTTCGCGCATTGTTTCGCGTCCAGCCGGGCCTTCTCTCTTGCTTTTGTTTTGCGTTCGCCGTAAATTGGTTTTGCGCGCTTTTTCAGTCTCTGCACCGTGACTCGCGGAAAACGCTCAATAATTAAAAATACTCTGACTGCGCCAAAACAAATATATAAAAAAAAATACCATTTCCAATTATATTCTTTGCTCTTTTTTCCTGGCCGCATTCAGGTTTCGACGAAAATGAATTATTCAACAAAATCCACTCTGCACGTTAAAATGGCCTCCGCGCGGGGATTATTTTTATGACGGGATTAACCCAATTACGTGTCTGTATGTAACTTTGATGACGTGAAATAGAAATAATTGGATGAGGCTCTGTGTGCGGTGCGAGGGCGAAAATCCACCTTTTTATCCCATCGCAGCCACCGCTCCTGCTGACGCTCGCAATTCGCATTTTCCAATTAAAAGTTGGTTGCGCTGCTGTTAAAAAAATTGGTATTATTTGTGGAATGCAGCCTTAAAAATTTGTGCTCAACTTTGTGATATCGGCACAGTGAGATAAATTTTTAAATGTTTCAAATTTTGAATTTTTTTCAGTTGACTACACCCCAGTAAAACTAGTTAAATTTTACCATATTATTTCAATTCCTTCTTAAAATAGTGAAAATTAGATATTTCTAATTTTGGTGTGTGTAGCAGTAGCTAATTGCATAATAAACTGCAGTAAGTGTATCTGAATTCTTCACACAAAAATGAAAATTTTACGCTTTTAGTGATTTTTTTTACATTAGTTTCTGTTCATGGTAAAAAATCAATCTGTTGTGATCAATGATGAACAACATTAAGCATTAAATTTGATCGGCTCAAATTTTTATGCAAGATAAAAGAGCAACTTGATATTGTTAAAAGATAACTTTCTATTTACAGTGACGGATTATTTAGTTTTAACTTTTATCTTATATCAAAAAACCTTGGTAACATTACAAAGTTAACCTGTGACGTCAGGATTAAACAAAAATATTCAAATTTGGGACGTCATTTACTACTGGGCCTAACATTTTTATCGCTATGATTTACAGTTATTTTTATATAAAGTTTAATTAGTTCTGCTTCTTGTATTTCAAAAGTACTTTTAGATAAACTCCGCAGGATACAAATTTGTTTTCATTTTTTGTGTGCTGTAGATCTAAATGTGTATTATTTGATTTTATTTCCTCCGCCTGATCGACTGCGCCACTTCCGAATGTTTGAACACGCCACTGCAAATAATTCTCGCCATACTCTGGTCGAGTGAATTCATTCGTTTCAACTCGAAATGTACAGCACCGCTCGCAATTATGGTATATATTTGTGTGTGTTATTGTGAAGCGGCCTGTATATGAATCGCAGTCGTCGCCACCGGTGAAAATTTTGTTCGCGGCACTCATTTTGACATTAATTACTGCTGACGAGACCTGGTTGACGTGCGCGCCTAAAAAAGCTGCGCCGCGTTTAATGATGTCGAATTCGCAAATAAAAACATCCGCGCGCGCGATACTGCTGGCGTGCTCAAAGAGCATTAATTTTGTTTGAAATGCGGCCACCGCCGGCTGAAAGGGGAAATAAAAATCGGAAAGCAATACGCCCGTGGCATCACGCTCGGACAAAAAAGGGCAAAAATCATTGCGAATCACACACGCGTCTTCTTTCACGTCTGCGCTTTCGTGAGCAGCATAAACACAGAATCAGAAAAATTAAGCTCAATTTTCTATTTATCCTATTTATATTATATAATCTCAATATGTATAACATATAAAACACCAAAATGTCTGCTTTTCAGTTACAAGCTTTAGTTCGCAACTTCACTGATTTGTTTTTAAATCGATGGAATTATTTTGCAATTTTTAAGAATAAGTACAATGCCGCTTCAAAAGATTGGCTAGCTAAATATTCTCAGACGCTTTTTATTGAACTCAGATTGAATTTAATCTAATTTTAAGTGATTAGCTCATAAAGTTTAGAAAATTTCGTTCGACGTTTTACACAGAATATTCCCTTAGAAATTCACTTTGTCACTTGGGCGTTTTATGGCGCAAAGTGAGGGTTTGCTTCAGCTAGATTGAACCTTTATTGACAACACGGTATGAAGAATTCAAGAGACGCGCATCTCGTAAAACCAGGCGGACATAAAAATCTAAAAGACGTAAAACTCCTTCCGGCTTTTTTTCTTCATTTTGCCCCTGCGAATTGAAAATGCGCAGCAGCCTCAAGAGAAAGAAAAACGTTTAATTCAAAGTTGAAAAATTGGCTGACGATGGTTGCGCCATAAAATCAAATCAGACTTTAATCGCGAGACATTGAGATGGAAAAAGCACTACTTGCTGAACCACCACAAAAATAAACGACGGCCAGACTAGATATAGCACTCGCGCAGTTATAACTGCCATAAAATAGAGAGAGAGAGCTTTCTTTCTTTCTTTCTTTCTTCGGCCATAAGTCGACGGAGAGAGGTTGAGCAAACACCCAAGGGAGTTATTCTCGAGTCGGCTGTTGAAACAATGGGGCAAAGAGAGGAGCTAGACGACGACGGATGTTGATCGCGGAAATTCAACCGCCTCCGGCCCGCCACCGACGAATATATTTCACATCTTTGCTGACACGCGGCAAAAAATTATTCTATCTGGCGATGACGGCGGAATGGGAACTTCTGCTCGCAGTTCTCACACAGTCCATTTTACGGCCGAGGATGGAATTGTCACAGTAGTTTAGTTGCAAGAAGCGAGATTGTTGGTGTGAATATGTATGAGAGAAAATTAGAACGTAAAATGAAAGCTATTTTTGTATTTTCCAAAGTAGATGCGGTTCCTAGTCTGCGTACTTTTGAATGCAAAAAGTTTTTATATTGATGCACTTTTTCTAATGCATAATCCAGAAAAGAGCCGGAAAAAATTGGAAATTTTAAATTGTTAATGTAAAAAATAAAAATCTTCAAGTGGAAGCATTTTTACCCTCCACTTTGAAAATCTTTCCTGTCAAAATATGAAAGAAATTTTCTCAATTACTTTAATTATTGGTATTTAATTAACGTTCCAATAAAATTCTGACAATCTCTCAGTTGCAACAATTCAAATAAAATAATCTTTCTTACCTCCTTGCAGAGAGGGGTAGATGTAAAAGGAGGGTTCCTGCAGCCAGGAGACGATCCTGACGAACTCTTTGACGAAACTGGGCAACACGCACCTGAGGATGGCCGTGCAGCCCCTGACGGCGGGCACCGCCTCGGCCAGGGCCTGGTACGCCTGGGACACAACTGCAAAAAGAAGCAAGAGTAATTTGAAAAGTTTTTTTATGTACCGCCGCGCAGATAAGCTTCGGAACAAAAGAGAGGCCAAAAAAGACAAGGAGGTAAATTACACTCACTGCTCATGATGACGTTTAATTTGCATTGCAAACGCGCGCCCTAATGACGATTTTATTGTCAAACTTTGGCCGCGCTCGTTAAATTTCAGTTTGGCCTTCCATCACCCCCAGGCTGCTTTTCATTTTTTTTGCATACCCCTTCCTCGGCTGTTGCCGTTTCTTTAAAAGCCATTCCGTGCCGAGTTTTTTTTCCGCCGGGAAGACGCTTCTGTTAAAGTGGGAGAGCACTTTGACGACTCCTTCAAACGGGGAAAAAAGAAGCAACCCGCCCAATGAGATTTTTAATTAGCTAAGAAAGAAACACAGAGAACAGAGAGAGGCCTTAATTGATGCAGAAGGGGAAATTATGCTAAATTGAAAAGGCTTTCAGTGCTTTTTGATTATTTAATCATGTTTCTCATTCTTTAAAATAGTGAAAAATCTCAAAATATCGAAGCTTAAGTTGAAAGTTTCCAAATTTCAATTGAGTGGATATGAATATTCAGAAATTTTAAATTTTTTTTAAACCTCTGTGCCTTTTTTAACCTCTTACAATTAACATTATAGATTTGTGGGGTGAATTTGTAAATATAGATGTAAATTTTATCCATACGGCCAACTCAAAGAAAGAGTTACCTAAATAATAAATAAAAATTTCAAATAAAAAAATTATGATTCGGGTAAAAGGAACTCAATTATTAAATCACCAGTTTTTTTTTACCCAGTATATAAGTTAGCAGAATTTATTGTTGAGAATATAATATATATTTTCCCACCCCTATATGCTTGAAAAGTTCAAAATGCGAATTATGTTTTCTTGGTCGCGATATTGACTTCATCGCAATTGAAATTGCTCAATTTTTAAATTTATAAATTAAAAATTACCATCCAATGGTTTCTTGAGAAGGATTGGCTGGTTACTTTATTTTTTAAAAGTAATTATCTGACCAAAAAATCTGCTCATATATTTTTTCTTTTTCTTAAAATAGTTTGCTTACCTGCCCTGACTTGGACAGTCCTGGACACGACGCGTCCGGCCGAGTTCTCCGCCAGGCAGCGGTAGGTGGTGCTGTGGACGTCCTGTCTGAAGGCGGCCGCCGGAAAGGGCAGCAGGACGAGGGTGCCGTTGAGCAGAATGCGTCGCACCCCTGGCACCTCCATGGCCGGCGAACCGTCGGCCGCAAGCCACGTGATCATGGGCGCCGGTTGTCCGGCGGCCGAGCAGTCCAACCAGCCGCCGCTCGAGTTGGAAAAGTCCAGTTTGTGCGGCGGCTCCAAAACGAAAACAGGCCCGCGTGCCTCGCCCCGCACATCTGCCAAACACAAGAGAGCAAATTTTAGCAATATAATTCAAATTAATTAATGCGTCAAAAATTAGTACTTGGCAATTTTGTTTAAAGAAAATTATCTGAAAGTTTCTTACAATTTGAGCTAATTATTCAACATTTGTGCTCAAAAATTGACCACAATAAGGTATTGTATAAATTATATTTGAAGAAACCAATATGCCCAGTAATAGCAAAACCACTATTATTAGCGTAAATTTAAATGATATAAATTTGTATAATCACATTTTAACAACATAAACCTTCAAAATAATTTGTATATGTTGCATACTTTAGTTAAATTGTAGAACTTTCAGATTTTCCGTAGGCATTTGGAATGTCACGTGCCATAGAATAGACCGATTTAGCAAAAGTGCAATTGCAATTCTTGTCCATGACAGACATTGCAATCAGCCACTCTTCCGTCCTGCAACTAGCAGCGCGAGTCTGACTTTGGCTTGATCAATATTCATTCACTCGCATCTCGCCGTTGACGGGGCAGATTAAAAAAGACAGGCCGGGCAGGCAGCCATCAAACGCACTCTCTGCATAAAAGGCATCTCGCGCAGTTTGGCTCAACAATCAGCCAGCAGCGATGGATGGATGGGTGCTTTTTTGCAACATCAAAGAGTTATTGTCGCGTGTTCGCTACTCTGCCTGCCGAAGGCTATGGTATTAGGGCCTCCTTAGTCGCGGGATTTCGGGTTATTTGGGGGAAATATGTTCGGTGGTTTGTTTTAATCTCATTGGATTGTAACATTTAAACTTCAATGTATTTATTTTACAATTTGTTTTTCCTTTCATAAAAAAATTTGTTATATGAAAATAATGATCACCACTGTGCAGCAAATCAAAATTGTAAATGTACAAAATTTGGTTAACAAATTGGAATCTATTACCGATTCGAATGTAAAAAAGAGTGACTTAACACTAACTGAAGCAGCTTCTGTGAAAGATTAGTGCAATAATAAATACCTCTTCAGTTTTCATAATTATTGTATGCATAAACAATACCGTTGGTATTAAATAAAAAGAATTAATTAATAAAAATATCAAAACGTGCTATCATTTGAAAATTGATTATAAATAATAAATAAGTAACAATGTTGCGGATATATTGGAAAATATTTTTAGCTTTGATTTATTACCTCTCTGTGAACGGAGAAATTTTTTGATAAGTTTCATAAACCTCAAAATTAATGTAAAAATTTGAAATATTTTCATTTCAATTTTATTTTCGGTCAGGCCTGAACTAAAGGGGGTCCTGCTCACGCTGGTCCGCCCGTTCACCATTTAATAAACACACCGTACAATACAGTGCCTAGTGTGTGCACCCCCATTGTTTTGGCTGGCGAACTCAGCTCTTCTTTTTTTTTCATTTGCATGTTATATTTTAGCCCGTCTGTCATTTATTCTGCACGCTGCTCCGGGACGTGCATTTATTAAAAATTCCGCGCCTCCTCCGTAGGGCTTGTCCTGAACGGAACTGCTGTCAGCCCGGATTCCGCAATTAATTACGCCAGGCTAATTCCGCGTGCGCTTGTTTGCTTAATGGATCTCATTTTTCTCTCGCTTTTATCTACTGCTTCGGTCGCGCGACGACAATTTTCCGTGAAAGTTGAGAAGGTGTTCCAAAAAAAGTTGATTAATGGTCACGGTTTTTTATACAGAAAATTTATACTTTCACTCTTCTTAATTGCTCAAGAGTGCAATTTGGAAGGTTTGAAACAGTTCACTCTTGCGAGGTAAAATTATATTTCCAAACAAATGCGTTTTGTTTTAATTGAAATTATTTTTTTATTTCCAGCTAAAAAATCGCCATTCTCCTCACAAAAATTGTTTCCTTAGCCTAGACGAAATTTTGAAAGGTCCCTCAGTTAAGATGCTAAAATTTAGCACTTGTTCGTACATATTAATGTATATTTATTTCCTAATAATATAAAATTTTGCAATTCTTTCAAAGTTTTGTTATTTCTTGGTTAGAACTTTTAATTCAATAGCTCTGTCTGTTCTTTTTAGGAAAAGCTTTTGGGTTATAAGAATTTCCTTTTTTTATACATTTCTATTTCCACAAGGAAAAAACCACCCTTCTGTGCCAAGAAGCAAAGATAAAGGCCACTCAAGCGTGGGGATAAAATTTTATCTTTCAATCGCGCGCATTAAGTCAAAAGCAGATGCAGCTCGGAGACAAGAGACAGATGAAATAAAAGAAAATTCCCAGCAGGAGAACGTTTCATTTTTTTTCCAGCACTGGGTGGCAATATCAGACATGGCGCGTTATTATTGCATGCAGGAAGGCGTTAGCGATTTCTCGCCGACACGCTAGATATGGCTTAAGTGTCGCCCGGTAACAGATGTGCTTGCACTAAAATCCGGCGCGCTAATAAAAGTAAAAGAGAAAAAGAAGTGTCTGTCGTTTTCTCGCGCAGAGCTGCTGATCTGTCAAATTTCCCGCTTTAATAATAAAGTAGTCGGCGGCGAGCTCGGGGTGATTTATCATCCGGCGGGGAGAGTCAAGTGATTAAACAGCTCGCTGGCGTTGTAAAACAATCGCTCGCAAACTGACGGCCATTGTGATAGGGATTTTTAATTAATTGCGTCAAAGTGACACGCCTGAACATCAATTCGCCGCAAACACGGATCGCTTTTTCCGAAGAGGAAAATACAGAGTGAGGCAGTATTTATTGGACGGATTAGAATTTCAGATTGGACGATGGGATGCCAGCCAATTTCGATATCAAACTGAAGAAGCGAAGAGTGGAAATCGGGAGATGAAAATGAAGTGGAGGTTAAATTAAAAATTTTAAAGAAATAAATTAAATGTATACTTTCGAATTTGTAATTTTTCCGTTTATAAACTCTATATCAGTCTTCTATTTTTAAATTATAAAGAAATATTCAATAATTGAGAAATAAATTTAATTTTTGTGAAAGAATTTCACGATCGAGGGTTGATTCATGGTCATGATTTGAATTTAAAGTCAGCTTTATCTTGATGGGTTTAATTGTGTGTGTTTTTTTTTTTAAGAAATGAGCAGGACATTCATTTTACAAATAAAGATCAGAATGGGCTTTGCAGTCAAGACAAAGGACTAACTTAATTTGATTAAATCCATTACTTTTTCAAAACTAATCAAATATTTTATTTGATATATGCATTATTTAATTATTAAATGCTAATAAAATTTATGATATACGCTTTTGAAGTCACAAATCATGTTCATCTGTGCGTAAAATATTTGGATATTTTTTTTTTACATGATGGTATATTGGCAGTGATTGAATTTTAATTTTTGGAATATATTGCTGGAAGTTATTGAATGTTAATGAATTTCCAATCAACATGAGAGCAATTAAAGCGTTCCGTTTTTTGTTTCGCTCTCTCTGCAATTTAATTTCCTGTATAATAAAATTGGAATAGATGCGGAAATATCAAAGCCAAACAAAATGTGAAACGCCACACGTTTAATTACAAGTGACCCTCCAATTGCTTTTTGCCGCAATTACTGGCATATAATGAATCACAAAGGCCATGCTAATTGAATGTATGAATAGAAATCGCGTGATTAATTTTTTGGCCAGTGAGCGGGATTGTTTGTTTTGCATAATGAACGCGAGCGAGCGCGGCTATTACCATAATATAGAGCGGGCGTGCATGCAAATTGAATAATAAATGTGCGAGAGCGGAATGGCCGGACGTTTGCTCTGTGCGATGGAATCTGGCCGCTTTTTTCCACCCTCGGCCGAGCGGCACTCGGCCAGTAATGCAATACAAGTGTATTTACGCTGCCCTCTCTTTGGTATACCGTTTAGGTTTGGAATGCGGTTTGTGATGAAGACGCCTGCCTGCGCCTGCTACAACCAGCAACCTCGCATGTCACTCTGTGTGGTAATTAAAAATAAATTAATGCGGAAAAATTTAAATTGTACAAAAAAAAGGGGGGAAACTCTAATTGTAATAATTGTTTTTAAAAAATATTTTAAATATATGTCGTTGACGAAAAATCATTCTGTCCAAGAGTCTTTGGCCAAGAAGCCGCGTGGCCTCTGGCAAAATCCCGCTGTTTTGCATAAAGCGAAAAAAATATTTTTTGACAAAGAGATTTTCTGGACAAGAAAACACTTCACAGTAGGGAATACATTTACAGTTAACACTACGAGTTTTTAAATTATTTACACACTGATCATCGCATGGAACGCATTTTTATACTTGAAAGATCAAAATTAATGAGATAAAAAACTGACAGTTCTATAAGGATTGTCTAAGTTTCACCTTTGAAATCACATAATTATATAAGCAATAACAGTTATTTTAATGGATTTCAGTTACCAAAATTTTATAAAACAAGTACAAAAATATTTGAAAATATACTTCGGAGCTTTATACAGAATGCATTATTGGTCAAATGTGGAGCGAGTTTTTGCTTTCCAACCATTGGAAAGTTGAGTGATTTAACTGAATTGTTATATTTATGAGTCTTGTCTTGTGAAAACAATAAAAAAATAATAGAATTAAACCCACGGCATTTACTGTAAAGATCAAACAAGACCACTGAGAAAAAGTTTTATCAATTTGAGGCTCGTGGCGAAGCCGAGAATCACCACCACTCCTCCTGCGTACCCGACTGAAGGGACAATCGAGGCCAGGCATCTTCTAGAAAATGTTAAGGAAACGGTTCGGCAAAAAGAATTACTCGCAGGGGTAAGCAAGTATTTTAACCGCCCCTTCCGAAATTATTGAGTGAACTCGAATTGACAGGTTAATTTTTTATTGCAAAGTAAATAATCTTAAAACTTAGAAAGTTTTAAAATTTTTAGGGCACTTCACGACAACAGCAAACGAAAAATTCTTGCAATCTGACTGCGGAAAAGATGCAGAGGAGCTAATAATAATTTTTACCACAGATAAGTTGCTGAGATACTTGTCCGAAGCCACAATCTTGTCGGGATATAGTAACTTTAAAGCAGCCTCAAAATTGTTTTCTCGGTGAACCAATATTGTGTGATTATTTTTTGGTGAATTTTTTAAAAAAAAAATAGCAAGAAATCTAATTCAGTCAAACTATTTTTTTGTCATATTTTTATAACCGTCTATAACTTCATACTAAAACTTTAAGAACTAAAGTTGCGAAATTAAGTTTCGGTAGTTTCTCACCTTTTATATCGTTGGCAAGAAACTGGGTTATTCATAAAGCCGGTCCGATCTTCGCGCGAATGGAAATGTAATGACCTACTTGAGACGCGAAGCCGCAGCTTTTGCACTCGAATCGAGGCCTAATTGCTCGCGCGGCTGGGCGCAGAAACGCATTTGAAATTATCTGGCGTGAGTGTGTGTGAGTGAATGGGTGCAATCAGCGCGCGGCTGAATCGTCTCTCATCACATTACACATGCACGCGACGGGCTGCGCACAATGCGGCCTAATGAGCGGTGGGCGCGCCAATAACGACCATCCACTTTCGCCGCAGATGATTTGCCTCCCTTGGCACACGAGACCTGGAAACAAAGTGTCCTCAGACGAGAGCAAAAATGACGTGCTAATGAGCGAAAGATGCCGAAACGGGCAAAGGGCGACCGCCGCGCTCTTCACAGACAGATCAAAACGGCGAGTGCTTCACGTCGCGTGTCAAGCGCTGCTGGATTAGACTCTCAAGAGCCACCAGGCGAGGGTGACTTCAACAATGATTTCACAATGGCAAATTTCTTGTCAAATGAAAAACTAAAATCATCTATAACATAAAAAAATTTAAGGATTCACCTCTTAAAATTTTTATTATTTTTTATGATCCATTTCTTAATGATATTATTATACAAAAAATATTGTCCCAAATTTTTTAATATTTTTATCCCGTCTAATCCTGGCGTTGTAGCATAATATGCCATTTGATTTTTTAATCAATGAATTTACAAAAAAAAAAAAAAAAAAACATTATTTATACTTTTTTTTTATGTTCTCCGGATTCTGCCTAATTAATTCTCTTCTTGCTCTATCCTATATTAATAAATAATTGCAGATTATCAAGTAAAATTGACTTCTCTATCATAAAATTTGAAAGTAAAAAGGTTTTTAATCAAAATTTCTTCCAATTGGAAAAAAGAATAAAAGATACATTCCTTGTTACTTCCTGTATTTTTTTATAAAAGCTGCAAAAAAAACTTATAATTTACTTTTTTTTTATAAGTAAGTTTTTTTTAACTAATTGTAAATTTTAAGTATGGAAATGAAATAAAAATATCGTATTTTGTACTTCAATCTAATGTAATTTTGATAATGTATATTTTTGAAGATAAGCAGACGTTCTTTCACGCCACTTTCTGAACAAATCCCAGCGCCGCAGACTCAATAAATAGAGCGCAGTTCGTGGCCGTGCACAGACACAATTAATCAGAGCGAGGGAGGAGAAGTATAGACCGGCGGAATAATCTGAAGTCCGATAAAAGTTTCGGGTGTGTCGAACAAGTGGCCGTGTAACGCTTTGGGCTGCAGCTGTGACCCTCGGGCCAGATTTGCGCGAGGGCTAATTGCGCCGGGCGGGCCGTGATTGATGACCAACATTCATCCTGCAGTGACGTCACGTGCGTATCGATTACACGCAATTATTTCGACCTTGCGGCACGTGCCGTGCAATACATAATGACGAGTCCCCCGCCGGCCAGCTCGTCAAACGCCGATGCAATTCATTCGATCGCTAACGACCGGTGATTAGGCAACCCGCGCAGCAGAAAAAATCAGAGGCCGATTCCGCGTTTTGGGTTCGATTGCTGCAGGGGTTAATTCGGGATTGATTTACTCGTTAGCGGCCCTGAAATTGGATCCGACTGCTGTCCGTTTCAATCACGTCAAGCTTCGAGTCGGACTCAAATAATTGGATTTGCAAATTGATTTTTCCGACTATGCGAAATTTAAGCCGGACCATGATAACAAAACAATTGGAATTAAGAAAATTATATTTAAAATAAGCCACTTGTTTGAGTTAAAATTTAATATTACAAGACCATAGTGTTTTTATGAAAATAAATTAAACTAGAGTAATAATTGTGAAATTAAATATTAAATACATTATCAAAATTTGTTTGAAAAATTGACACCCAAAAGGAGATGATCATGGAAATGCAAATATCGGGCTTTATCCTCGTTTTAAAATATTTTATTCACAAAAAAAAAGGCTCTACCAGTTTTGGTCACGGTCTGTGAGGTCATTCTTGCATTTGTCAGCGAGCGGCTCGTTTGCTCATGGAATAGGTTATTTCTTGAATTTATTACATTTAAGCGGATTTAAGATTTTCAAATTTTTTTGTTGGAGTTGTGTTTTATTTTTCAATTTTGTGTATTCTGATTTTGTGTATTCTTGCTCATGAAATAGGATCTCAGAGCCGTTTTTTTTTTTAATAAAAACAATTATTAATAATTTTACAACGAGGAGAAAGCCCGATCTCATCACTTCCATGATTTTTTTTTTTTAATTTGTGTTTAATTGAAGTCTAATTTTAACAGATGGGCTGACAGTTTGACATCTTGAATAGAATCTCAAAATTTACCATAATTTGGTTTTTCATTTAAATGCGTATTATATTCTTCTTCAGCCTTTCGCATTTTAATAGAGAGCCGCATTTGCCTATTCCGACTTCCTTGCTGCCGCCACCCTTTGACACGTTTTTGAATTGAGAGCCTCTGATAAAAGCTCTAGACTAGCTTCTTTTTCCTTTTTCCGGAGAACGACACGCACTCCGGGAAAATAATTTAGTTCGTCGGCGGCGGCGGCACCAAGAAGAATGAGTTGCTGGCAGTCATGCAGGCGAAAGGGCCTTTTTGGTATTCAAATCCCATCTGCAAGAAGCTCTCCCGGGCTCAAACCAACTGCACCATACGTTTCCAGTCGGCCGCAAAAATAAATTATCGTCCGACGCAATAATAATTTTTGCGTCCCCTTCTGCGCCGACTTGCGGGCGAAATTAATGCAAATGCGGTTTTTTTCTTTGAAGTGCAAAATGAAGAGGATGGTGGTGAGCGGGACGAGAGGAGGAGAAACAACAAAATCACGCCGTGGAAATTAATGAGGACGAGGGTGGAGAACACAAAGGCTTCTTGCAACCCTCATTTTTTTCGTTGAGATAAATTCCACAACTTCCGCTTGCAATTGTTTAAAGATCTTCAACTGACGCACACGCCGTCATGAATTCGTGGATTTTTTCTAATAAAATAGTATTCTACTCCTTAACTAGTTATTTTTCTAAGTTTTAACCACTTCAACTGACATCCTAGCTTTTAGCTCATTTTATTTTTATATTAAAGAGGATGGTACCACCTTAGGGCAGCAATATCCTCCACAGAAACTGATTGTTTAGGCCATAAGGATCATTTTGATAACCAGAAAATTTGGGGTCACCCCAAAAATTTTTGAGAAAAACGCGTTTGAATTTAACATGGTTCGCTTATGGACAATTTTTTATGAAAATCATTCAATCCCATTTTAAGTAAACGAAACTAACTTTGGCAAAGGTGTGTGACCCACCGACATGTTCCTTGATAACCCTGCTACAGATTTGGCACCAGAAAATTGTGGGTCACCGCGTAAATTTTTGAGAAAAGTTTAATTGAATGTTAAAAAACGTGGTTTTTTGCATTTATCTCGTTTCGGAGAAAATCAATCCAATTTTAGAGCGCTTAGAATTTATTGATTTCTATAATCAAATATCATGAGAGTTCATAATTTTGTTCGTATAATTCTCAAGTAATTAAATTTTTTCATATTTTTCAAAATCCAACATGGCCGCCGGAGAAACATAAGGGTTTATAAAAACTGCTGCCAAATTAATTTGGGTGAAGATTTTTTTATTTCCTTGAAAGGAAGTTTGAGTTAATGAACCAAGGTATCTTTTCTCAATGGTCAGCAAGTTTCTAGGTCAAAGGTCATTGACCCTGGCCAAAGGTCAAAATATAAAGTTTTATGCCCCTTGAAAATAGGCAACCTGACAAAAAATCCAAGATAGCCATTAGATGCGCCTTGTCATTTTGCATCCGAATACAAATTTTCAAAATGTTTGAACAAGCCGTTTAGAAAATATTATTGAGTTATAAACAGGGTCCAAATGACTGAAATTATTCCGTTCGGATGAGTTAAAAATTAGAAAATGATGCTTTTTGCATCATATTTGAATCAAATTGAGTATGTTTTGTTGTATTCCATTAAAATTTGAAGGATTTGAAAAACATTTTGTAGAAGGTTTCATCTACTTTAAATTACAAAAAAAATAAACTATTAGTAATTTACATCACGAAATAATAATATTCGCTCATTTTTTCTGAGAAAAAGCCATCAAAACTTTGTCTAGTTATTCATTCAAAGAATAGTGAAAATTATCTTTGTACCTTTTCTAGTTATATTTTTATTTTATTTATCATAATTACCTATTTTTGTACTTTTCCCTTAAGATTTAATTTAATTATCTAGACCGTTTTTATACTTATTTTTATTTTGTACTTACAATTTATATAATTTTTATGACCATCAATTTGTATTATTAGTACTATTTAGCAACAGAAACAAGTTCATAAATCTTCTCTTTAAATTCTCTGCAAATTTAGGTAATTAAAATGTATAACTTAAAATCTGAGCATCCTTATGATGGAAAATATCTGTTTCAAGTAGACACAAATCAACATTAAATGGGAGAAAAATCGCGCGTGAAGTGCGCAAATCTCTGTTGAAGATCTGAGCATTTGTTGTTCCGTGCGAGAGAGAACCAGGAAGAGTTTTGCGGCTAATTAATGAGGCCAGCAGCTGGCTTTAAATCTTGATAAATTCAGGAGAAAAACAGACGGACGTCTGCTCCTCTAGAAAACCCACAATTCCGAGCAAACGCCCGTCGCACTTTTTTCCTTTCGCTTCCAAGGCTAAATTAACTCACAGCCGAGAGAATGTTTCGATCCAGTTTTTTATTTTTCGCTTTGTTTGTTCTCGTCACGAGCGTCTCCGGCTACAGAAGTGAGGGCGTTTTGGTCTTTATCGAGCTTAGCTAACCCTTCATCCCTTGGTGCAGAATGCAATTTGCATACTTTGGCGGCCGAAAACAGCCTGGACTGCGGACACGTAATGAGTCGCCCGTGGCACCAACCGGGCAGCGTCGCCCGCTGCTCCTGTGCCCGTCGATGCTCCAGGGACGTGACCAACACGTTTTTCTGCAACCAAGACGGAAAGTGGTACGCGATGCCCAACCGAGAAACAAATTTCGACTGCCGTGAGTTAAAAATTCAGAGTTTTGGAAGAAAAGTTTTTTCCTTGGTGATTTTTTACTGAACATGAATTTTAAGAAGTGTCGCAGTTCAAATTAAAATGGAGTTAAAGCCTCTCACAATTCTATAAATGAGGCCCTGATTAAGATTGAAACGTTTTCTTATTCTTTTATTTTTTTATCATGTTTATTTTAAAGATACAGGGTAAAAATGCAAAAAACGTTTGAATCGTCGATAGCATGAAAAAAATCTCTAAATTATTAATTTATTTATTAAGTTTCTTTAAATTTATTTTTTATTTTGTAGTTTCCTGTCAATATGCGGATTGTTTCCTGCCCTCGGACAGGTTTTATGAATGCAAAACGAACGGGGGTGTTCTCCGAGGTGAAGAGGCGTTTTGCAGGTGCAAAAGCAACAAGCGGTTCTACATGCTGAAATGTGCAGCAGAAGGTCATTGGACTCACTCGAGCAGGTTTCCTTCCTGCGGTGGACCACAAATCTCACAACAAAACTAATGGTAAGGTTTTTTTAACTTTTTTTAAGCGTTTGGATCCGTGATGATTTGAAAACGTTTTGACTTAAATAAATAAATACCAATTATGGTGAAAAAAATTGAATGTTTAAAATTGATTATTGTATTTGAAATTGTGGATTTTATTTTCCAAACCGTTTATTTTTATGAATAAATAAGAAATTTTTACAGTTACTTCCTTCTATATAAAACATTGACAAAGAAAAAAGATAAAAAATAATCAAATTTATTTTCCTGTGTACTTCTTAAACCACTTCAAACGTTTCCTTTGCTCTGACTCATTTCATTTTACTGATTTCAAATTAAACTTTTTTCCTCATTTCAGAAATTTAATATTGAAATGAAATAAATAATGATTAAATAGAAAACTTTTGCTTCAGAGAATTTCTTTAAAATTCAATTAACGTTTTCGCTGATTCTTAGAGGAAGAAATAGGACATTTCTATTAAGAGAAGTAAAAATTTATTTAATAATAGCTATAAAATTTGGAATTCTGGAAATAAGCACATCATAATTTTTTTTTTTAATCTAATATAAATATTGTGTTAAAATATTTGTAATTTCTTTTCTTTTAGAACTTGATGCTTTCTACGCGCTTTCTCTCTACAACCCCCTATTTCCTTAATTCCCCAGTCAGAGGTTTGGTAAGAACACTTTCGACTCTCTCTATATTTTCCACTCCTACTTTCCAGAAACAAAAGTTGGCGAATTTTTGCATTTTTTGAAATTCGAGCACTCTTTTCCTGTGTGGAGAGCGCGCGGATTTGCACCCCTTTCCGCACGACAGCTTTGATGCCAATTCATTGTCGAACGGCAAAACACAATAGGTGCACGCACGTCAAGTGGGCTGCAGCGCGTCGAGTGCCTCGGATTGCATTGTGTCTCCGACCCTGCTCACGGCCGGCTGCACAACAACGATGCCACCCTCGCTCGTTTTGTTAAGATGTCATAATTATATATATATGTGAGCTCGCGCTTTTTTATGCAGAATGGCATCTTTTCAAAATCACCCGCACTTGCAAAACGTGCAGTTGAGGTGGCACGCACCGACTCCAAGTGGAGATTCGCATATTTATTATGAACAGAAGACGCGAACTGAAATGCTGAGTGCAAATCTTCTCAAGTATGTTCTGAAATAATTTTTATTTTTTAATTTTATAATTTTTTTATTTCAAAAAAAAAATTGGTTTTAAGCAAAATAAGCGTCTATATAAGCATTTTTCGCATTGAAGAAAAAAACTCAAAATAGGTGAAAAGTTGGTGAAACTCTTAATGCATTTTGTGTTTAGCTTGTCTTTTTGCTAAAAAATTTAAAATAAAATAAATAAACTTTGTAAATGTTTTAATTTTAGTCTCAATTTGAATTTATAATTAGATTTATTGAATGTCTTATTATATTTCAAATATTTTATTCATTTTTTATATTTATTTTTTTTATTTTCAAATAATATATTGACAATTCCAAGAAAGATTGTAAGCGAAAAATGACAAAGAATCTTGAATAATATGTGAATATAGTTAAATTTTAAGCAAAAATCAATTCTTTTATGTACATGAATTGGATAAACTTGAGCGTCACTGAAAGCATTTAGAACTAAAGAAGGCACCTTAACGAAATAACATTTGATGACTTGTTTCTCATTTTAGGAATGCTTTAAATTCCAAAGTAAGCCTTTAAAGAGCACGGCAATAAGAATTTTGAAAATTTTTTCTTCCGAGGGATTTTTGCGGATTTTCGGCAAAGCGAGGGTGGGTGGCTTAGGGCTGCTCGTTTTGTGGGAATCCCGGCGCTCGTAGCGTTGCGGTCTCTGTCCGACAGAATGGCTTTTGATGTGAAATGTCAACGTTCGCGCAGAGAAAGAAATGTTTATTATTGCACACCAAGCATAGAGTGCTGACGGGCGCGTCAACTGGCAGTCAGGCGCGAAATTCCCAACGACGGTCTTGATTAAATCGCAGCCAGCTTAGCCTCTGGCTGGCCCACTGTTATTTTCATCCATCACACTTGCAGCCCTAATCTCCAGCCTAGGCTGACGACCTACTCATCCGGTCATTCTACCCATTTTGTGCGAAAAAAAATACATATTATTATATTTAAACCCAAACCAAAATCAGTGCGATTTTGAAATTGTACCACAATTTCCCAAATTAACCACAAATATAACCATTGATTTTTTTAACTACTATTGCATTATTTTTTTAAGTACTTTTCTGTCATCAAATATTAAATATATTTATTTCTAATTATTAATTAAATTTAACACAAAAATCATTCAACGCCGAGAAGGCCGCAAAAATGAGTATCATTAGTGAAAAGTCAGTTTTTTAGTTTTTATTTTCACATTTTTAAAAAGTTATTTTAAGGTGCAAATTTATTATATTAATTATAAGGCAATATCTGATTAAATCAATATTCATGATACATAATGTTTAAAGGTTATTACTAAAAACATTTGAGAAAAAGATTGAATTTTATTACATTTTAAAGAATGTTTACAATTTATGAAGTAAAATTAAGCTACCAATTTTAGCACTAACATTTTCTGTTAAAAAGGATATCATTTTAGATTTCCTAGCAACTTAGAAAAGGAAAGTAATGTTGTTTGTGCTTATATTTAAAATAGCTTGGGAAAAAACCCAGCGGTTGCTGCGATAAGCAAATAATCAAATCCAAATTTTGAGCCGCGTGCAAAGCCATTTATCGCTATTCCGCTCGAGTTAATCAACAAACAAGGCAGATTAAAAAATACACGATTTTCAAAATAAATAAAAATATGTTGGGTTTGAGCAAATATGAAAAAAAAAAACACTGGTCTAGAATGAGCAGGTGATCTCAATAATAAGGTATGCTCGTCACACAGTACAATTTTTATTTGCTATATTTGCAACCGGCAATAACGAATTTTATTTACCGATTCACATTCAGAAATTTTAGTTGCACTTTCGAGAGAAAAATAATTTGATTGCAGCACGCGAGCAAAATTCAGGTCTGACAAGTCGTGGCAGATTAATGGAAAAATTTGCCAAATTTTCCGCCCCCTTTAAAGCACATCCGGCGCCTCATAACGAATTCAGTGAGGGCGGCTATCAATTTTTAAGCGTGTCCCGCAGCACTTTTCCGTTTTCCGCGCCCTTCGTTGTCACGCAATGTCTTGAAATAATGTGGAAAAAATTCCAATTGCTCTTGGTGTGTGCCACGGACGAATAGAATTCGACTACACGTATGTTTAAAAGTGCTTGCGCGAGTTGGAATGTGGAGCACCTCGTCAAGTTCGCATGTCTCGGGCGTAATTCATGCGCCGTAATTTGTACTTACAACCGAGAGGGCTCTTAAGATAATTTGCCAGCAATTTCTGCCTCGCTATTTTGGAGCACAATAGACGCGCGCACGGCTAAATTAATTGCCAGCTCGCTTATTTCTTTATTATTATATGACCCCCCTATTTGGAACTACTGGTTTGCAATTGGTAGAGCTAGAAGTGACCTCTTTAATTCATGTATCCAAGTTTTCAACGACGGTGTGACGCAAATATTATAATTTATGAAAATAATGGAAAATTGTTATTTTTAATAAATTTAAATCCATAACGTGGGTTGATGAAAACTGTTTTTAGGATTAAAAAAAAATAGCAAGGCTAAGTGCAAAATATTGATAATTATGAATATTCTTGACGACCTTTACAATTTTTTAAAAGATATTATTTCTAAAGCCTAGAGCAAAGTATTAGGTTTGTTTGCATAAAATATTTTTAATATTTAAAAATGGAAAGTAAGATTTTTTTCTTTGCTATAGAAAACCAAGTTTTTATTTGAAAGATAATTATTTATTTTCTCTGATCAACTTTCACAATGAGTGCATCTTCTAATTAAAACTGACTAAAACCATCAATTTATTAAAAGAAAATACGATTTCTTTAACACGAATTGAAAATAGCAAGTTCACTTTCTCATTTACCTTCTATTAGATCTTCCCTTTTGATTCACCTTATTTCTTTAAAGGCGCTTTTGTAAGCAGCACCAAATCAACTTGTCAAATAAATCGGCAAGGCAAGAGACGACGAAAAAATGCATCTCCTTTTCTCTCTCTGATCTCAAGTTTCAATTGAGATTTGAAATTATGATGCGACAGTCTCGATCAAGTTGCAAAAAAAAATAGTCACGTGCTCTCGGAATCATCTGACAGACGGCAGAAATTTATTCATCGCGATAATACACTTTTTACTGCATTTATTTGCGGTCTTCATTTTTGCCAGGGGCCCTGGAGAGCCCTTAGTGCGTCGCACATTAACGCCGCCTCTCCACCCGCAGCCCCCCAAGGATTTTCACTCAAGCACCCCTGAGCAGGAAATCCCTCAATTATCACGCGGAGTCTGGGATTTCAGCCGACGAGGAATTAAAACCTTGGTATTGACGCTCACAATTTTAAGCTCGGCGTCCGCCATTGTTGACAAATTTTTAGACAAACCAAGTCACAATTGAGAAAGAACTATTATCAATATAATTTTTCAAACCAATTTATGGGAGAATGGTACATTTTGCTAATTTGATGTTTCTTAATTTGTTTGCAAACAAGTTTAATCTTTTCCCATAGTAATATCAGCTCACTTATAATATAAAATTATTTGATAGCTTGGTAGTTTTAACTATTTTAAAATTATTGATGAAGGCTAATGTCGATAAAGCTAAAAATTAAAGAAATAAAACGCCAACTACACACTTACACAGGTGGATGATTTTAAGAACTATAAATAGTAGCGACATTTGTTTGTGCATGAAATGCCATCGCATTATGTTTGGTAAACTAATCTGGTTTTGTAGAAATAATTATTTTATTTCATTTTTCACAAAATAAAGTAAATGCATTAAAATTTGACTGGATTTTTTGCAACATTCATATTATCAATAGTAAAATTGGCATTTTCCTGGACATTTCGTGCGCGCACAAAGCAGATGATTAGAGTGATGACAAGTGTGACCAATAATATAGTTGCGCTTACACCAGCTATTATGATTGATAAAAACAAACCCTCTTCTTTGTGATCATCGTTCAACGTTCCATTCTGACCAGCTAAAAATTTTATAATATTAAATTTAGTCAGATTAACTTAAATTTTTTCCAGAAATTATTGAAAATCGCTACACATCATTAATCTTATTTTCAATATAAATTTAACACTGTTTAAACAGTTTAATAAATTGATGGCAGCATGTTGGAAAAGTAAATACATGAATAATAAAATTGTGGATTACGTGCTTCGGTGATCGCAATCGGAGCTTTGATTGTTGTTGTTGTTAAAGGCTTCAGAAATGTTTGATTTCTCGCATCTAACAATAAGGTATAATAAGAAGTGCATAAGATAATTTTTTAGTCGTTTTCAAATCAACGCATTACCGCATTTATCAGTATCAATTTGTTTCAGTATCGTTTCATTTTCTTTTACTAACAATAAGCATTCCATCCTTACTTTTTCTCTATCATTTTTGCACTTGCACTCCGTTTTCACATTATTGCTGATGTTGCTAATAACGGTGCAGTGTGAAAAGATAATGAAATCTGTAATGCAGTTGACTCGCTCGCAGGACACTAGCAAATTTTTAATTAAACTTCGGTTAACTTCATGAATTGCAAACTTACAGCAGTCAAAAAATCCGATTTGATTCCCCTTTTTCAATGGTTCTGATGGGTACCATTTTCCATCATCATTGCACGTCAATAAAGCCTTTTCTCCTGGCTTGGATTTGCAAGAACAATTCAGATTTTCACCCGGCTCATATAAATCTCTCAACTCTTCCTCGAATTTGATGTCTTGGTTAAAAGAGTTTTTTCCATTGCAGTCTACATTAAGAAAATGAATTCAGTCTTGAAAATTAAAATAAAACATTCTTACATCGAGCTCCAGAGTCAGAGGAAAGCGAGAAATTTGCTAACAAAATTTCCAAAGCGATCCAGAAAACTAAGAATCCGGTTTCCATATTGTGGGCAAAAGAGACAGACCTCTTCTAGAAGCACAGAACCTACGCAATACAACCAAGTTTAAAGAGCGGAACTTCCTCGCTCATATCTTTTTACTTTATTCTTAGGTATTGCGGTTGATAAGAATTGAGATTGCGTTTGTTACAGTTTAAAGCTTGATTTATAACAAATCAAAATTATTGACAAGGCAAATGGAATTTTATTTCGAGAAATAAGCAGATCACTGATTACTTTCAGCCTTAATTGGATTGGGAAAAAGGAAAATACATCTTTTTCAGATAAGTATTATTTTTAAATTGGGAATTTTATAAATAAAATAGTTCCATTGCATTTAAAAAATTTATTTCTTTGAATTTTGTTGTTTAAGGTTCATATTAAAATTCACTTACATTCTATATTGTAGGCCAAATTGAAATTAATTTTAAAATTGTAGTTAATTTGTAAGTTTGGAAATAATAATTTGGTAATTTTTAATTGTCTACCTCCAAATTATTTTTATATTTTGTCAATTTTCGTCCTCCATTTAAAAAAGAAAAATGAAATCTAATAAAGAATACATAAATTATAAATGTATACGAATTTCCAGCTTATTTGAAAGAAGAAAAAACGAGAGTTGTCTGGGAATTTGTAGAAGGGCGAAGTGCAAACAAGGCATGTAGTATTCCATCCCCTAGAGACACAAACGCCTTTGCAAAGGGAGATGACTCAAATCGTAAATAACTGCCGGCAATATCCAACTGTCACTCGGCTCGAGTCGACGGGAATTAAAGCGCAATTCACGTCAATGGAAAAGCTCTACGCAAACAAATCTCAATGCAGATAGGCGTAGCAATAGCATTTGCATCCAATAAGCGGCTGTTCGCGTATGATAATGACAACGAGCGGCTTTCGCTCTCTGATTGCTCTGTAGGAGGTTTGTGAGTTTAGTATTGTGCTGGATAGAGACGCAACTCACAGACGAGCCTCAAAGAAATAGAATCAAGCTTCAAAATCTCAATCTGCTGGAAATATGAGAATTTATAGACTGTTTATTGGAAAGAAGTGTTTTTAAATTTACTCCAAAATAAATTCTGGATGTAAGTCTTTGCGAATGTTGTCAGTCTATTTTAGTTTACATGAAACACATATAATTTTATTGACTTTTTATATTACTTTAATTTTTTGCGCAAAGAAATTTAAATTTTTTAGAGTTTTTAATATGATATTAAAATTTTGAAATCGCCTTCGTTTTAAATAATTTTTTTTACTTTAAAAAAATTTTAAATAAAAAAAGAATAATCATCATTTAATTAATAATTATTTTTTACAAAGGTGTTCCAATAAAAAGGAACAAAATTACATTCATAGAGTAAATTAAGTCGGACGGGAAAAAATCAGTGATTTCGGATTGTATTTTGTAGTTCTCGCAACATTGGTTTCAATAAATACATTTTTTAAATTATTATCAGTTGACAAATAAAAAATTATTTGTGGCGGATAATATTGCACGTGGGCGCATCTTATTGTTGGTCCAGGTACAGTTTCAGGACGCTCACGTTTCACGGGACACGCACGTTTGGAGCTTCAATTAATTGGCCGCTCAAATTGCATCAGCTCTCGTCCGTCGGACGCGCGCGCTCAGATATAAAAAGGCGTGGGCCGGGAAAGAAACCGGAGAGGCGAAAGGTCTCTCTCTTCTCGTGCTCGGCAGGGCGTATTATTTTGTATTCTGATCCGGAGCACGTGCTGGGCGAAGACACGCCATAAATACGCCCTGGAAAAGGGATAGACAAGAAGGCCTTTCTTTCTTTCTTTGTCTTGATCGGCGAATGCCGGCACGTTTTGATCAAATGTCAACGCGCAAATACTTTGGGGCCGCAATTTTTTATCAGCCGCCACCACAATGCAAAGCCGGGCCCATAAATAAATCAGCGCCCTCGAAGCGAAATCACTGTCACCGGATCGCATTTGCGTCGCGCTTTTTCCCCAGCTGGAAATTTGCATTGTAAAAATGCGCCTTTATCAAGCCAGAATTTGCATCAGAATTAAATATGGATTCGCGCGTCAACCAATCACCGACTTTGTGAATTTAAAGGCTCGCCTGGTGTGAACAGGTCTCTCTGCAAAGTTGTTGAATATGCAGGGGGGCTTGACCTGGATAAAGAATAGAGATATTCATCTGATATTCCAGAACAGAGTGCATTTTTTAAGCCATTCTGATCAATTTCGTGTCGATTTCAAAAATATTTCTAAAATTCGCAAAAGGTCTTTTTTAATGTTTGCGAATTTTTATCTTTTTTTTTAAGGTTGTTAAAGATGGAAAGTAAAGTATGTACCAGTTTGAATCAGAACATATTTTAGCCTAATTGATTTATAATTTGGGAATCACTTATATTGCTGATTTGTTTGTTGTTTTGTGTCTTTTTTAGCAGCACCAGTTTTGCTCTTAAAAATCTCAAAACTAATCAAATAGATCTAATTTACTCTCAATTTTTTGGTTTATTTTCTAATTTCTTAACTGCGCAAAAAAACTTAAATTAAATATTACATTTCATTTTCAATTTAAATTTTAAGTTAACAAAGGCTAATTTATTCAATATCATCAAGAACTGTTAAATTGTGAGAGAAAAAAATAAAAAAAACTCCCTGGACAAATTTGTAACCACATTAAAACAAATGATTGCAGTTCTTGGTACACATTGTTCATTATCAATGTTACATTACGAAATACGCAGAAATACGGAAATTTTCAATAATGGTTTGTAACAAAATTTAGCAATTAATGTCGTGAAAAATTTGTATTACGATTAAGAAAAAAAGAAAAACCGATTTTAAGCCCTCTTAGCGGAACTATTAATTTAATATTGACAATTTAAAATCCGCACCATTACTCTTCATCAAATTAAATTCAAAGCTCTTAATAAATTAAAAGGAAATTTGCTATTAAAGTGCCATAAAAAGAATTGAACGATGAAACTGGTGTTCTTCACTGTCATATTTTTCAAACACTATATAATTTATATCAGAGTACGAAGAAGTCTTTCTGTTTATTTAATAACTCTTTCAAAGTGTCACTTTTGCTGCTGGGAGAAAACTAAAGTCTCCTTGTCGCAAGACCCTTCGGCGGCGACCCAGACAGACACTTCATTTAAATCTAATACCCCATAAAATTGAGTCGTAAACTGCCACTACTTTTACTACCGCCATATGGCACACCCATTATTCAAAAGCACATTTTTCTTTATTTGTCGCGAATTTCTCTTGCTTGTCACTTCGCGTGTTTTGATCGGCGCGAAAATAACTCGGTCGAAAATTGGCACGTCGGCGAAAAGAAATACGAATGAAAAAAAAAATGTGACGAGCAAAATGCAGAGAGAAAGGGCGACGATCGATCGATCGCCGCGAATTCTGGTGAATGTTATCGGAGCAAAGAGACCTTTTTGACATGGTGACAGTTCAAACAGACAATCGGCGGCCGCATTTAGCTGCAACAATATGCCGCATTCATAAAATACACAGCCAGCCAGCGGGGCATGTATTTATCTACCCGTCCATCCAACCATTCGCGCCATAAATACATACACGTCGCGAGTACATTATGTATGGAGCAGCGTGCAAGGCAATATTGCCGTTTCCAGAGCACCGCGCACCGCGGGCCAGACCTCTTCATATTTTTATTTTCATCCCAGAGTCAATAACAATGGCGAATGTGTATTTGAATATCGCGCACAGCTCTGTGTGCCCTAGTGACAATAAATGCTTATGGCGAAGGCGCTGGTGCTCGACTTGCAATAAAAGATGGCAGTTTTCAAAATAAATCATGCATTGTAAACGAATTTTTTGAGCAGTTACATATTTTCCATTCGATATGAATAACTTTACGGATAACATTTAAATATTTATAAAAAAAAAATCAAAAATAAATATTTTCTTGCCCACTTATTGATTTTCAAAAAATGGTTTACAACTTTTTAACTGCAAAAACAGATGTAAAATTTTTTCTGTGGAAACATGGTGTATATTCACACGTTAAAGTTTTCTTCTTAAATTTATTTATTTGTGTTAATTGGTTAATTTTGTGTCTCTAAGAAACTCATATTGCACTTACTGGAATGGTCTTATTTGGAGTTTGATGGAAAAAATTAAAAATGACATTCATAAAGAGAAAATATAAAAAATTTCATTTATAAAATCTAACAAACCTCACGATTCTCTTAGTCAAATTAGCTCATTTTCATGATCTACCTAGATTTTAGTTATTTATCCTTTGGAGACTTAACTTTAAAGCGGTTGCAATATTATGAAAAGTTGTTTGAATTTTTTCCTCAAAAACGTCTCGCAGTCTCACACCCATCATCCGCCATCCAGCCCCGGCACCATAAAAGCTTTTCAGTTGACAAAATGTGAGCACTTGAACGTGTGCGTTTTATTTCGGCAGCGACGGCCGCAAATGCAATACAGCCATAAATACACCAGCCAGTTTCAAATGAGCATAAATCATGCACACCGCTATAGCAGTCCACAGAGATAAATTTATGATATTGCCGGGAATATTTACTTTGTATATTTATCCGTTTTGGAGCGCACAACATACAAACACACACGTCAAATCGGTCTCTCGCGCGCGCATTTTTACATTTAGGGCAATCACGGCAATAAGCCAGAAGCTTTGGCTCTGCGCAAAAAGGCCAAACCGTCACGCCACACATCAACCGACTTTTCCACCTCTGATAAATTTATCCCTCACTCAAAAGATATGTTTTCGGAGAGATTTTTTTCACTACTAAAGTCCTTTAATTGTCTTTGGAAAGGCGAGTATATTAATTGAAAGCACACGAGCAGAATTGTGCCTTGGGTTGTTCCTGCATTTGCACACGAGAGCAATTAATTTCGAGCACTTTGGTCGTGCACCAAGTACAAATGCTGCTTTTGTACCGACTTGTTCCATAAAATATATATCACTCGAGATAATTAAACTTATGAAGTGCGGCAAAGTTGGAAAAGTTGGCATTTTTCATTGCACGAGCGAGAATTGAAAAGCTCGGCCGTTTATTAAATGAAAACTTTCTTGATTATATGAGGAGAAAAAA